TTATAATTTATTTATTCATTTTAAAATATTTCTAAAAATCTAAATGTTGATATTTTTAGTTTATAAATTTTAAATATGCCTGATTTATTATACAACGACTAAGTCCACATCAAAATCCTCATTAATCAAATTTATAGAAGATTTAGCTTTATCAAATACTTTGCCCCTACTTTCTTGTAACTATTCAAATAATTTTTTCATCTTTGTTTGACAAAGTGGATACCTTATTGTAATATTTATAAATTTTTAAAATACAATGTACTAATTTTTATAAAAATGATACACTGAGTCATAGGCTTTGGAAATAATTATGTCAATATTTAATAGGTATTATTACTAAAACATGAATATGATATTGATATCATTTTTCATAAATTATTTTCCATGATCAAGATGTAAATCAAAACTATTATTAAAAAATTAGTCACAAAAATATATACTCAAACATATAGACTTGACTATCATGAGTCATTTACTATTTTAGTGAAAATGAATATAATTAGAACCATGTTATCATTAAAAATAATCTTAGTCATAATATATAATAATTTAATGTCAAGAATGAGTTCTTACATGGAGATATAGAGGAAAAAAATTACTGTCAATTCTACATAACTATCAGTATGATTTAGACACTGGATATGATATGGGTTGAATCCATTTTAATTCGTTTGAAGATTTTAGAAAGAGAATCTACTTTCAAAATAGAAGATGTTAGAATTCAAATAAGAGAAAAATTATGTTCACTTTAGAATCATGTAAGTGTCTATTATTTATAACAAATCCATTGGAAAAGTTTTAGACATACAAACCTTACACTACAAGCCACACTAAGAGATGCACATATTTCACCAAAGTAAAACACATGATCTAACTAAAAAAAGAGTTCAAATCATTACTCAACTATTCTCTAGCATCATCAAATCTGAATCTCTTTATAGATATATCAAATTAGGTTTAAATCATTGCACAAAAATATTTTACCATTGAAATATTAGTTATGTTTAAGAAAGAAATACCCACATGCAGTGAGTATCATCAATAAAGGTAACTAATCATTTATTTTCTAAGATATCAACATTAAGACATAAACCCCATATATCACTATGAATATGAAAAAATATAACTTCAGTTCATGCAAATTTTATTTGAAAAGATGCGTGAATGTGATTGAAAAGTTCACATACATCACACTTAAGAGTTTCTACAAATATTTTTTGAAACAAGAAGTGAAAAGAAATCTTCAGTCCTAAAGTAACAATAACCTAAAGGAGCCAAATATGATAAAGGTCTTTATGATGCTCTAGAGATGAATTCATTTCTACAAGTGCTCTAATCATCTAAGTTATAAGTCTCACATCATCTCTATCAGATCTAAGATGTAGAGTCCTCCACATTCTGTAGCAACTCCAACTCTCCATCCCTAAATCTTATTAAATATCACACAAATATCCTCATCAAAAAAGATATGATAAGTTGCATTCTTAACTAGCTTTTTAACAAAATGAGATTAGTGAAAATTTTAAGAATATGGAAGACTTTAGTAAGGAATCCAAGAAGGTTAAGATTAAAGTTGTTAATGCCAGCAACTATGAATAGTATATCATCAACAATTGACACTTTTTAGCCATTTGATCATGGGCTATAGGTGAGAAAATGATAAGAATAGTTTTTCATATGATCCATTGCTCTTGATATAATACCCATCATCTAGGTATGTCTCTAGATGGAGCTTAAATTCTAGGAGAATAATAGAACTCACTTGCTGACAAATTTGTCAAGGGTGAAGATTGTTGTGCTATCGTCACCTTCAATTCCTCTAGTTCAAGGTGAAGTCTCTTTATTTCTCCTAATAGAGTTGAGTTTATATTTTTATAATTGATTGTGGAGTTGACATGATCAGAAGTTTGAGTAGATGATGAATCAGTTGTTGGATGCACTTGATTTACACGATTCTCAAAGTTAGAATTTAATATTTTATTATAGAGTTTATAACATTGATGTTTTATATGACATGATTTTTTATAATTTTTGCACTATAAATATCTCTATAATCACTTTTTTGAGATTTTCCTTATATAATAAATGATTGATAAAATAAATATGTAATTTATTTTTAAGTTTTCTATTGTACTGTAGCTATAGGTTTAACCATAAATGTTGCATTCTCATATCTTGTGTAGACAACATCATTTTTTGATGACTCTTTTTATTTAAAATGATGTAGATCACCTCATCAAGATTTAGTTTCATATCATGTTTCAAAATTTATAGTATGATATTGTCAAATGTTAGATTCATTCTAACAAGAATTTAAAGACATGCCATCTTGTTATAAAGTTTCACACAATAGTAAGTTCTATAGGTTTTCTTTTGTCCCAAGATTAAGATATTAATCAAATTTCTACCACAAGTTTTTTAATTCTCTCACATAAATCATTACTGACTTGGATCCTTAAATAATAGAAAGAGATTGTGTCTAATTCATATATGTGTAACTTATTATTTTTCATCAAGTATTTCATATGAACTATCTCCTACAAATCTTTTGAAGTCTTTAGGAAGAAGAAATCTCTATGGATTTGCATAATCATAGTTACCTAAATCTAAGTCTTTATCAATGCATCCTCTTCTCACCATCTTCAAAATTGACATGATATAGGATCTAGTTTCAGATCCTCCAAGTGATTAAGCATCCCTCACCTAGTAAGAAAGCCCTTAATATATGTCGACCACTGAATTAAAATATAATTAATCAATTTGAGTTCTGTGGACATAACAAGAAGTTCTATCATCGATCTCGACATTACAAGATTAGAGTCCATCACATAGATTGGTAGTAGAGATGTTGCATATTGAGGTGTCACCTCCTTCTCACATAGAGTCAAGAAATAAAAAATTCTCACAGAAAAAATAAGTTCCATCTCCTAAGTCATCAAGAAAAAATCACAAATCAAATGTCCTTAAGAAGAAAATTACATAAATGAAAAAAAATCTCCTAAGTCCTCAAGAAGAGGCTCATAGAAATGAAGTAAATCTATTACATGGAGAAAGAATAGAAAAGGAGAAATCGCACCTAGATTGGCTATGATATCATGTTGAATTTGCTTCAATCTCTTTGAATTTTTGAGAGAGAATTTACTCATTCAAAATGAAAGAGACTTGAATTTGAATAAGAGAGATTTTTTTTTCACTTTACAATCATGATATTAGGGTATGTTATTTATAACAATCGATAAGAAAAGTTCTAGACATACGAACTGTGCACTACAAAATACACTAAGATAAGCATGTGTTTCATTAAAGAGAAACACTAGATACACTAACACACAATATTTCAACAGTATGTAAATTGCATAAGTCATTGTATGGATGTAGTAATTATTTCAGGCTTGGTTTAATTGATTCACTAAGGTTATGATAGTGATGAGATATAAGCAATGTCTAGGAGATTATACACTATTTATCAAACATTCATTTTAAGGGAGAGTTATAATATTATTAATGTACGTTGTTGATATTATTTTGATTGAAAAAGAAGTAAAAAAAAGAATATATAACTTAATATTTACCTAATGAATTTGAAATCTAAATATTAAGAAGGTTAAATAAAATATTTTCATAGGTTAACATAAATATATTATGACTTTTAGTAAAAAAATTGATAAAAGTGATTGTAAACCAGTAAATACATAGATGAATCAAAATCTTAAATTTAGTGAAGATGAAAAGGATGAAGAAATAGTGAGTGAAGTGTATCAAAGACAGGTTGGGATACTCATTTATTTATCTCATACATGTCTTGATATTACTTATATAGTGAGTATGGTTAGTCAATTTATGTATAATATGAAACAAGCCCATCTAGATCCAGCTCATCAAATACTACATTACCTCAAAAGGTACCCTAGAAAAAGACATTTTATTCAAGTGAGGTGTGGGGGATTATCTCTAGAAGTCTACACTTATGAAGGTTAGAATTGATCAATTGTTGATAGAAGATCAATTGCATTTGGAGGAAATTTTATTACATAGAGGAACAAGAAATAAAATGTTGTGGCTAGTTCAAGTGTAGAAGTAAAATTTTAAGCTATACCTCAAGGAATATATGAAATACTGTGAGTGAAGATTATTCTCAAATATTTGAAGATTGAATTAAATGGCTAAATAAACCTCTATTATGAAAAAAAAAACAATAACTATTACACACAATTCAGTTCAATCTGATAAAACCAAAGATATCAAGATTTATCAGCTTATGAGTTATGTAAAATTATGTAAATATGATTTTTACATCATGAATATCAACAAAGTTGTGGAAGTCTTCATCAAAGGTTTAAGGTGTAACGATTTGTATCATCTAATATCTTGGTTGAGAATATATGATATACATTCACTAATTTGAGGGGGAGTTTCAAGAATCATGTATCATACTTTTTTATTATTATAATGGTAGTTTCTTTGTCTCAAGTTAGTCCGGTCCATTTTATTAGGCTCATGTTATCCTCGTTAGTAATACACTAGACCAATTCAAGCTCATATGACTTATAACGGGAGAAGAATAAAGCTTGGATCCAATCCTTCTTTGAGAAAGACTAGAAACTAGGGCTTCAATCATTCTCTCACTTTCTCTCTTTGGTAGCTCCATCGCTCCATCGCTCAATATCTTGATCATAGAATTTCTGAAGGTTGGAGGAGAGCATCTGTGATTATCCAACATACAAGTTTTCACATCTCAATATCTCTCCAAATTAATTAAATGGCATCAGAATCGAGGAATGCAACACTTTCAGAGCATATTAGTCATGACAGGCCGTTCCATATCTAAAAAGGAGTAGATAGTACCGGTCAAGGAACATAGATGCTGATTCAGAGTAGAGACCTAAAAGGCTGCTCCAACCCTGCTATATAGAACACCTTTTCAGACCCTTAAAGTAGTACCGATTGAGGAATATAGACATTTTTTCAGACTCTGAGGCAGACCCTCTGTGTCCGCCCAATCAAGCAAGGCCCAGAGATTGGGAGCGGCAGTGGCAAGTGCCCCCCCCCCCAGGCTCAGTGGCCAGGGACCCGATGGGAACTGCCACCATTGACACATACTTGGATTAAGAGAGAGAAGTTGTCAAAGTGAACTCAGTGAGGTGAAGTGGGTCCAGGCATCCTGCAGTAAGAGAGAACAACCTCAAGGACAGGCCTTTCTCAAAGGAAAAATAAACCCGTCTGCTCAATAAATTATGTAAATATAATGCAAAATTGGAGATTCAACAAGCTGGGTAAGCCCAAAATCGGTCGAGTCAGAGTCCAAAGCCTGTTCTCTCTCTCTCTCTCTCTCTCTCTCTCTCTCTCTCGCTGTCCTGTACTTTTATGGGGCTTTTTCTCTAGGCCGGGGTCTTGAAAAGATGCCTGAACTTGGATTGGCCTGGCAAGCCCCGGGCTCAGCCTGTTGACACCACTACTTACGAAGAAAATAATCCGCAGTATTTTCAACCCAAGTATTATTTTTATTAATGAATAAATTAAAACCAAAATTATTAGCGAGCTTTGCAAGGCCTTCAGTGTAAAATCCCGCAAAGATTCAGAGAGGCGTATTGCTAAAAAAATCCAACGTGCAGAGGTGCCAACGGGCCGGGCCGGGCCGAGCCAGGACCATTTCAGACCCAGCCCAGCCTAAGGCCATTGGTCTTCTACAAGGCCCTGACTTATTCTGCCTCTGATAAAAGTCCCATAAAATGAGCTCCGGGCACTTAATAAAAGCATATCAAAACTTGGAGGATCATATAAGCTTATCAAAGTGAAGCTCAAAATACCTGCAAAATATCGAAGACCTTCTCCGCCACATATTTATGGTGCATCTCGGTGCCCTTCTGCTGAAGCTTATCAGGGTGCAGACACAACAGAGCCTTCTGATATGCTCTCCTTACAGCTGCCGCTTCAATAATATCAACGAGTGGGACTGTCTTCCATCCACTTCCAGGCCAAAGAACCTACGGAAATAATATAAATAATCACCAACAAGAATTTTAAATGGTAATATGCGATATATATATACACACACACATATGAATTGGCCGGCTTGGTCTAAGTTCGGCCCATTTTTTTTCTGAGCTGGGTCTAGGCTTCGAAAATGTCTGGCCCGGAAACTAGGAGAGAGTATCTTCCATACGACATGGCAATCCAATGACTTCCCACCTGGCAATCCGCCTCTCCCATGCGTCATTCACAGGAGTCCAGCTCAGAGCATGGCCCGACTGCTGCTTATCTCTCTCTCTCTCTCTCTCTCTCTCTCTCTGTATATGCATGTGGGTACATTTATGTATATTTGACATGCCTAACGTTGGGAAAAATAAATACTGATTTCGTGTCAAAATATTATTTTTTTATATTTTCTGATCACACAGATAACTCACATATTGTAATGTTGAGAGCAACGATCTGATGTTCCCTTCCTTCCCTTTGGACCACTCTCGTATCTTAGCATCTGATGCCTGAAGCACACAAGTGGGTCAGTTTTCAACCATTTCAAGGGTGCGAAATTTATGCAATATTATTTAGTATTTTTCCCCTGGAATTATTCAATATTGATCATATTTACTTGAATTTTTTCTCGATATACATCGGCCTCTGATACTTTATTCTGGTTTTGAGATAACTCCTCGACCTGAAAACCATCAGAAATAAATCACTGGCTTGAATATATTTGTTATTGCCGACAGTAAATATGCTCTCTGAATCAGCATTAAGCATACAAGAGAATCATAAATATTTTATGGTAATAAAAAATTTCAAATATTTTTGAAAATATTTTAAAATTACGCTCATAAATTACGCTCCTTCGCTTTTTATGGTGATAAAAATTTTCAAATATTTTTGGACACGAAACACCGCAGAGTATAAAGTTGACTGGGTCAAAATAGGATAGCCATTTCCAGGGGATCTAGAAATAGGAAAGCCCAGAATAATGAAGAGAATATTAGATACCAGGCATCCATCGATATTCTCAAGATATTCCTCGTCAATATTGCAAAACGATACATCAAGAGCATCTGAAGACAAACAAAGAGAAAAAGGAGGGATTAAAACATGTACGAGTACATATGATGAAGAAAAAGGGCCAGTCATTAACTCCACAGGTGGCAAATATTAGACCGTTATATTTTATCATGAGTGAACTCAATATGGATACTTGATTTGTTTTTCTACAGCCTGAGAAACAAAGTATGCCTCATTGTTATAATACACATGAAATGGAAAGAGATAATATACTTCTTTGCCTATATGCAAGCATCTATCCCCTCGTTAATGATCTTATTTTGAATTAGATGGACTAATAATTTAATTTGCGATAAAATGTCTGCTTCAAAGACAAATACAGTCTAATTCCACAGTCCATTTGACCAAGTCTAAAATTCAACTTGTGAATATGACTTTTAGAATAGTCTCACACCGAAAGGAATAAATAAAGATTTGTAGTTACAGAGATTAACTAAATAAACTCGTGATCAACTCATTTTGTATTACATGTCCTAAAATTTTATAACAATTGTAATGCACGATAAGTAAGGATACTCAATTTGCAAATACATTAATCTACCATATGTGTCAAATCATTCTTTTGGAAGAATATCAATTCTTCTCATGTCAAGTCAAAATTGATGGAGACCGATGGTCATCCTAATAGATTATTCTATTTGACAGGAAACACAATGTATGATTATAAATCTAAGTGTGCAGACTAATTCTCATCTACTAATGTTAACTGAGTGAAATTTTATGTCGAGGATATGTAATATAATAATCACACAAGCATAAGAACGCAAAAAAGAAAAACACAGATGCCAGCTATCTTGGTCCACGAAGAACAAGATAAAGGTCAGGCACAAAAAACCAGAAAGCAAGGCAGGGGAAATACGGTGCTGGAATCGGTTTCCCTGGTCTGATAATAGGAGTCAGGACCGGAAGCACACAAAACCAATGGGAAGCTAACAAAAATTTCTTTGTAACTAGGGAAAGTACGATCTGCGGATATACCTACTACAATGCTCACCAAAAACCTCCAGAAACATTTACCTTGAATTTGACAAGGACTAGTTTTTCGATATCACAATGAATTCCATACGGGTTTTTTCATTAGCAGCCACTGAAAGTATCAAAACTCTAATCAGTTTTATTACTTAAGTTTGAGATTTCCAATTGTATGGAAACCTTTCAGTTCAGATGCTTTAAAGATTTAACCCGATCTGATCATTGACCTCATTGTCACAAAATTTCAGGTTTCTCCAAGAAAATCCTCAAATGACCCTTTTCACCCTTCTCCATCTTTGCAACAGGGACACACCTCCCTGCTCACGTCAGGAAATGACAATAAGAGATGCCCTAGAAGCTGAATAGAAAAAAGGCACCATTAACAAAGATACAGTTCAAAGACGCAAATGTTCTCTAAATAAACCTCACAGAAAAAAAATTCAAATTCTTTTAAGCTATCCTTCTTTACGAGGGGTATCAAGAATGAAAAAGAAAAGTGGATTTTGCACCGTGATCCCCTCCTCAAAGTTGAAATAACTGAAAGAGAAGATTCCGAAAGCATAGATTTAAATGGACTAACCAGATAACAATACCGGGGAGGGATCTACTTCGGAAGTAGAATCATCTTTCGTTTGAAAAGTCGCAATGTTATCAGAGACTGGTTTCACTGTCTTCCCTGGACGTTGATGCACCTACGTACTCAGGATAAGCAGGACAATTAGCATGAGAAAGAATTTCTGTTGTAAAATAAAAGACAAATACATTTTTTATGGTCCATTTTCTAATAGAGAGCACGTTCTAATGGCCTTGTATTTTGTTCTTCGAAAAGAAAGAAAAGGCTTAAACGATTTTTTCTCAGGGACATACCGCCATAGGAGTTGACCATCTTTCATCAACCACTTTCTCTTCCACTTCAACTGTATTGGCGACATTACCACCTGTATGGTCCTTCAGTCGCCCCTTGTCTTCATTTCTAGTCCTCAACTTTTGAGTTTGGCTTTCAAACTTTGCAGTTGGTCTTTGGCTAGCCTCGTTATTGAAAATTTTGATGAAATCTTTGACGTTATTGGCTAGCCCGGATCCTTGGCCTTCCAGAGTCACATGAGCTAAATGCTTTGTTTGTCCACCCTTTTCAGCATGATATGACATTGTATTTTCTTTGGTTGTATGCCCGATATTCAGAGTATCTTTCAGCTTTCCTGTGTAGTTGTAAATGAAGCTTTTTCTCTTTCTTGCCTGAGTTCCTGTCTCTTCAACTCCTATTAGAAATGAGATCAGAATAGTAGTCGAAGATATAATAGAAATGACGACGATTTGGATTCTTATTGTCTATCTTGGAAATATGTTTTACCTTCCTTATCCTTGACTTGGTGATGAAGATCTTGTAAGACAGGATTCAACGATTCCACAGAAAATTTGCTTCCGCCATACTTGCCATGGGTTGCTATCTCATCTAAAGCGGATATGGGAGGGTTCGGTTTTGTTTCTGCGTTCCCATGACCCAGAAAGTTGTTCATCGCACAACAAAAATCGGGGGTGAATAAGAGAAATGGGCACAAGTAGCAGCTGATGGAGATTTACCTGATTTATCGTGGACATCATTTATGTCAGATTTTGCAGCAGATGATGCGGGAAGAACTTTCTTTGCATCCTTCTTCAATCTCATATCTAAATCTCCGGCTGCAGAAAGACCATTAAATTGGCTCACAGATTCTTTGCTTAGAGTGTGGGAGGTCCTGCCTTCTTGTGACGCAGTTTGACTGTCAACGAGAGGAGTTGCTCCCTGCAGATTCTTGGCAGATCCTCCACATACTCTGCTTGCACTTTTGTTCCTGTTTTTCAAATTGTGCGGCATAACTAGCGCTATTTCTGTGCTTGCCCATTTGTATATGGAGAAGTGGAAATGGCCTCCACCACTGTATGATGATCGGCCAGAGTCTTCTTTGTATCCCTGTTCGGTCTCATTAGCCCCACTTCTATCAAGTTTAATGGCTTCCAATGGCGTTTGTGGACTATTGAGGCGCTGGAGGTGTGGAGGAATCTTGTAGATGGAAGGGCGGTTGACACTTCTTGGGTAGTTCTTTGTTCTCGCTGATCGACGGGCATTAGCAGGCGCATGAAGGCTAGATAAATCCTGAACACTTTTCTCGGTCTTATCTCCAATGTCTTTATTAGGAGAGATAAATCCTGCATGATCTGAGCCTTGGACCGAGCTTTTGGGAAAGTTGAAAACATACACACGAAAAAAGTATTCACATCAGTGTCAATGAAACAATTAGCTAACTGCAATTTCTCAAAGCGCCTTCGAATTCGTGAAAAATATCAAAATAAGGTACTGAGAAACACATTCATCGCCTATATAGGAACCCAGGGGTAAAATAATTGCTGTAGACATGGCCGTGTAAACTTCCTTGCAGCGGATTTGTTCTATGGAGTTGACTATGAAATGAGCGCAAAATGGACTCCAATTCACTGTCGCGGTGAGTCAATATGGTATGATCACATTCTTCGAGATTCTATGATGATGAAACAACAGAAACTATTGATTCCCCATATCGAGGCAAAGCCGGAGGACCACCTTCTACCAAATTCACAGGGACGTGACATAAACCAATGCAGAAGAATGGACGACAATGGAAACCTGGTTTCCGCGGCAAGAGATGAGCCTCCACTGAGGCCGTCGATTGTGGGCGGCGGAGGATGGGAGGGACTGAGCGCCGCCGCACTCGAGGCCGAAGAGGCGGAAGGCCCGTCCGTCCTCGGGGAGGAGCTCATCGATTCGTTGCCTTTGAAAACGTCGCCGAAAAATTCATTCGTCAAATGTTTACGGTGACCTGGACTACCAGTTCCCCCGGAGGCGGGATTCTCGACGTGAGAGGTAGACCTTGGCCGGCGAGGCACCGCGACTTCCTCCCCGCCTTCTACTCCGTCACCTCTCACCCGGGACAGGTACCCGTCGATGGATTCGCTGAAGCCATGGCGCCCCTCGAATCCGGACGAGGTCCTCGGGGGGCCTCCGAACACGTCGCTGAAGTCGACATCCGTGCTTCTACGCGAGACGTCGCCCTCCTCCTCGCTCGACAACCTGAATAGAGAAGCGTGTCCGAACAGAATGTGATCCCGACTTCGCAGCATCCTCTCCATCCCCCAATCGGAAGCCAAACTTCCCCAAATCAGACTCCGCAGATGGCGTCGGCAACCTCTGAAACCCCCACCATTCCCTCCCTCCCTTCGAGCACAGGACCCTCCGGCGCCCTTATCCGACTGCACACACCAACAATACTGTGTCTGTGTGTGTGTGAGAGAGAGAGAGGAGCTCCGTCTGGTTCAGTGAGCGTCCACCAACTTCCACAGGGAGAGGAAGACGGAGATGCGGGGGCGGGGTCTCGTTATTCTGGCGCCGGAAATTCGGAGAAACCAGTGAACGTACGACGACGAGACATTCCCTGGGCCAGGAGACGGCACGCAGTTATCCGGGCCCACACGTCCGGCCGCGACTCAACCCGAGAATATTATCGCCATGTCACTGTCTCACCCTCACCGTTGACTAAAAGAGTCGTCAACTGTCACTGCGCGCCAGTTAGTTCCAAAGCGCGAGGGATTTTCTCAAAGCTCATAGTTGACCCCCTAGCGTTGACCACGTAAGTCACCGGTAATTACCAAAAGGAAGTTGTCTTCTATACAAACCACGTAGTGATTAAGTCACAAACGGGTCTTAAGAAGGAATTAAAGCGGTCAATATCGAACATTTATGGCACCATTTGTCTTTTATTTTCCAATATGTAGTAATTTTTTCAATATTATGATTTTTTTTGTTTTTTTATGATGGAAAGCTCCAGCTAGAAGGGTTTTTACCATATATATCTTTTTCACATTTTCTAAAATATATTAATGTATAATATGTGGGCCCCAGTACTAAATGTGTGGACCCAAGCTAGTGCGGGGGAGTTGACTGAGTAGAGCTTCTGAATGTCGGGGTGAGTGTTACTACTTACGTTTAAAAGAAAATGAATTGAATTATATAATTATTTCTGCACGAAGAATTATTATAATAATTCCCCTTTTTTCTATTTTTAATGAAAATTATTATATTAATTCATGGTTCTTGTATTTTCTCTGGGAAAATGTTTTTATTTTAGGGGTTTATACTCCGCCGTCCACGTCACCTTATCTCAGATAAGATTTTATTGACCGTCAGATTTCTATCACGTCATCTCAGTCGTGGATCTGCTGTCGCCTTTGCGGATGAGGCCCCCTTGCTTCTCTCTGTCTCTCGCGCGCGCCATAACCTGCCCGGGAATTCCTCCGCCGTCTCTTGTTTGTTTTCTGGAAGAGAGAAGGTTCAAGAGAACTCCCCAGGGTGGAAAGGAGAGCTCCTTCTTCCTCAACCCCTTGCCCTATTTTGTTTCTTCTGGCCCACTGCATCTCTCTTGCGTCTCTCTCTCTCTCTCTCTACAGATATATCTACATTTATCTTCTATGGTTCTCCTGGCAACTTGAGGCTTTTTGTGGGTTTCAAGAAATCGCAGAGGAAGAGGAGTAAACAGCAGGGGCGAATTTTGTCGAACGTTTGTGACGTCTCTCCGTCGTCGAGAAGATTTGAGTTCCAAGCGTTCTTCTTCGCCGTTCTTCCGCGAAGGAAAATCTCACGCACCCATCTGATTCCGGTCTCCTGGTGGGAGTACAATGGAGCCGGGAGGAGACGGCGGGGTGGCTACTAAGCCGCCGGCCCCTGCTAATCCCGCGCAGAGGACGTCGGCGGATTCTCAGACCACCTCTCCCACTTACCCGGACTGGGCGTCAGCCATGCAAGTTGGTTGATCTGGAGAACTCTTGCCAGTTTTCGGCAATTTTTCTTTCCACATTTGGAACCTGTGCAAGCAATCTTCCCTGTTCTCTGCAACGCAGGTGTTCTACGCGGGCGGACCTGCTGCCTCTGGGACTCCCCAAGTCTTCTATTCCCCTCCTCCCTCCCTCCCTCCTTTTGTCTGGGGAACCCAGGTTAAGGTTTCACCTCTCTCTACCCTCTTCCCTTTCTCCTCCATCCTCTCTCCCTGAATTTCGTCGGGTGCCTTTCAGCCACTGACATACGAGACTCCAATTCCGCATGGTTCCATGTTCCCTCACGGAGGCGCGTGCGCTCATCCGGCTGCACTCACGGTAACCTTCCTTCCTGTTAGTATGCGATTTTTATTTATTGCGAATTCTCCCAGAGAAGACCGAGACTTCATCGTCATGAGCATCCTTCCCGAACCCAATGAACAGAGTGAAACGGTGGCCAATGGAGAGAAAGAAGCGAAGCCGCCAGAAGGAACCGATTCAGGCCCAACGAAGGCGTCTGATCGTGGTCCGGATAATGGCGGCATGGGGGGTGGGAGCTCAGCTGATGTCGAGAAAGGGACTTCTGGTTCCGACACGTGGTATGCCTTCAGTTGTAGTCAAACGATAGATTTCATCAGGGGAAGCAGCTACCAGCTGACCAGTCAGGAACTATGCAGAACAGCATACGATTCTTTTCTTCATTATTTTTTTTTCCCCATTCTATGCATAATCCTTCGTCTGTTCTTTCTAAAAATGTCCAGCAACGAAAGTGGAGGTGAAGAGTCCTCTAAAACCAGTAGAGAGGATGTGAGTAGTTCTTTTTTTTTTGTTCGAAAATATACAATTCAGATTTTTATTGTATGCTTGTTGAACATTGTGGAAACAGGGAATAATATACTTGAATATTTAGTCTAATCAATAGAAATCTTGGGTTTTTATCATGTGATTATAATTTATCGAACCGACGTAACTATTATTGACTTAATTTCTGCAAGAATATTTGCCAAGCAGAACTGTTCTTCCTTGTATTTATGATGAAGAGGGAACAATACTCATAAATATTTGCTATAATTAATTGGAATCTATGGCTTTTGGCCTGTGGATAGAAGTCGATAAAAAAGCTATTATTTCCGTAAATACAGAGCTCATGGCCATCTAATGCATTAAATACAGACTATTTAGCCTGAATGACAAGCTTTTTACCCGATATTAATCGATCTCTTCCCCTCTTCAGGATTTATCAGCATCTGCGAAGGGAGGTTATGATCAGATCTTCCCAGGTGCTGTAATATATCAAAATCCAGACATTTTTCTCGCTTATTTAATACCCAATTCAGTCTTTAATTCTTCCATGAATACTTATCTTCGAATCTTCTTTCTATAGTTGACTGATCTCTCTGCTTCATCTCCAGTAAGCTTGGCACTGAGTTTCCCTGCTGCCAGCTCGCATGATGGGGTCCACCCGTGGAGCTCCTTTTGTGCTGGAATTGGAAACATGGAGAAGCAGGGGATCTTACTGAACCCTGCGACTGCCATGAACGGACAGAAGAAGCCAGTTCCTGACGACTTCAAAGGGATGCAGGTGAGGGGGCGGCCCATTTGGTCATTCTTTATCTTCCTATCTCATCCCCTCTGTAGAATCTTCTAGTGAAGTATGATATTTCTCTGAAGGAAGGTGGGGCTTTACTCAGCGGCTTTGTATCTTCTTTCTTCTGTGATCTTGGTAGGATGAACACGAAGAGAAGAGACAGAAGAGGAAGCAGTCCAACAGAGAGTCGGCTAGGAGATCAAGAGAACGAAGACAGGTATTCCAAAAATTGACCAACTTTTATTGATTATTTCTTATTTTTTTCGTACTAAATTAATGGTCAATTTATTGGGTTCTTGAATCTTGGTGGGCAGTCCCCAAAGTTCTCGACGACCCTGATTATGTTGCTCTAAATTAGGACAGATTATACAGAACTGATGTAGAATATTATTGAGATAATATTTTCAACAGGATGAGGTTAGACTTTATTCATAAAATCATATCATCATCTTTAATACAAGGCTATAAATGCATATGTATCATCTTCCCTATTTGACTTTAATTAAAAACTATACCATGATGGCTAACTATATATAAAAATATGAAGAAATAATATGGTTCTTCTTAGGATCCCACTCGGATTCTTTCCACACATCTCATTCTCTCTCTCTCTCTCTCTCTCTCTCTCTCTCTCTCTCTCTCTCTCTCTCTCTCTCTCTCCCTTCGTTCTATCAGAAAGAATGTGAAGGGTTAGCGAGGCAGGTAGCCGCGCTGAACACCCACAACGCTGACCTGAGAAGTGAGATTGACCAGCTTTACGCAGAATGCAAGCGCATAGGAGCTGAAAACGCATCAATAACGGTTGGCCTCTCCCTCACACTCCGAAGAAAGAAAATTTCTTGGCTCTTTCCTATTTTCGTCTTTGACTTTTTGATGCCCTTTGCCCTTAAGCTGTCAGATGTTGACTCGCCATTAATGGGAAGATGCTTTATATTGGCAGGAAGAACTGAAGGCGTTATATGGGCCCAATGTGTTGGTTGCCTTGGGAGATTAGACTGGTCTGCCAGCTATTCTCTGGTTCCAAATGCTAATGACCACAAGAAACATGGGTCATCAGCATCCAGGAGCAAGCTCAAAGGCAACTTATAAGCTCTGAAATTGTGGAAAACACAGGAATTCAATTTTTTAATTATTTCAGTGTTCATTCATCGCTTTAGACAAGCATTGAAGAACAGCTCCATTATGGTGTATGCATGCTAGTCAACCTTTTTTTTTTTTTTGGTCAAGATCTCTTTATATTATGGTGTATATATATATATATATATATATATATATAAAATTTCATGACGGGTTAATGTTTCAGAACATCAGCGACTAAAATAGAAATGAACGGTGATTGAGGAATTTGTGTGGCAAAAATGGACGAACGACCTTTTTCTGAAAGCAGATGACTAAATCGGTAGGGAAACCAGCCGAACTTATGTTATTCAAACCACAACAGCCAGGAGGAAGTGAAAGGCGAGGAATACGAAACATCCCAGAAAGCTATTCCCATCTCAACTCAAGAGTCACAGATTCGACCCCTCTCTTCGATACAACATGAAAACCACACAACTACTATCCAGTGGGTCCAAAATGGGCTGGCATTCATTTCGCGAGAAATTCAAAGCCCAAGAGTTCGCCGCTTCTGTCAGGGATAGATTCACAGAGAGAGAGAGAGAGCTACCAGTCAGAACCATCAGGGAACGGCTTCAGAGCATCTTTGTTCCCATTGACGTAGTACTCCACAAGGGCCTTCATTCTTGGGAGCTTGTCTGGGTGGTAGTTGACGTGAACAATAACAGGCTTTATCTTGCTGAGGTCCTCGTCCTTCCTCACGCGCTTGAACAGGACTTTGCTGTTCATGAAGAGATATATGTCCATAGTCCTCTTGGAGGCGTGGAGCCCATCGTATCCCGGGTGGGAGGGGAAGAACAGCTCCTCATTGAAAACTGCCTGGTCCCAGGACTTAAGCTCTTTTGCAAGCCTGTCAGCCACCCGATCAAGGAGCTCAATTGAAGGAATAGTGGGTCGGATGTAGAAAAAGCCAGAATTGAAGACCCATATCCTCATCGTGTGGGCGTATCTGGCCCATCCCATGGAAGGCTCATCAAAGACGTCGTTGAATCCATAGGCCGTCATGTTGCTGTGCCCATCGCTCATGGACTCCACGTCCGAGTCTCTGTAGAGATGATCAAAAGGATTCTGCAGGTAAACTATGTCAACATCTGAGAGGAGGATGCTGTAACCCAGCTGCAGGAACTCTCTCAGGATGCGAAACTTCAGCCCAGAGACGGCGTGGTTGCCGCCAGTCTTCGCAATCGAGTCGACGCCCTCGTCAGGATTTCTCCGATACACAGGAACATTGTTCGTCTTGCAGAATTCTTCGATGTTGTCATCCAATGCCACAACCAGGTAATTTTTTATGCCCACCTTCTTGATGTTCTCGAACCACACCCCCAACATATCTTTTACGTTGGTGTTCGCCAGACAGACTATCAGCTCCTTCTTCACGGCCACTTCTTCAAGCAGCTTTGCGAGCCTTGGATTGACAGATTCATCGGGAGCGACCAGTGGGTTCGTCCGCAGGGCCTTGACGGTACCAAAGGGACCAGCTTTGTGGGTATCCCCAAGAACCATGACCTGCTTTTCTAGCTGATCTTTCCCTTGCTCGGCCTGTTTAAGTGTCGTGGAGAGTTCTCTGACTTGGGTCTTCAGCTTTGCGTTCTCCTCCAAGGCCACGGCCAGTTCAAACTTTAGCACGTCGATCTTCTCGGAGGAGTCGCAAGAAGAACTGACCTGGGAACAGATAGAAGAGGAAGCAAGTGAAGGGTAGTCATGACATACAATTCAATGGCACCGAAAGAGGAATGAAACTGATCTTTATATACAGAAAAATTTGGAAAGTGTGATCCCTTCCTATTCCCTACTTATTATAGAAGCCTGCAGTTGACCCCTACCAGGTATCAAAAGGAACTTCCAAAGGGATAGATGAGAGAGGCTAATCAATGAGCAAGATCAACCCACATGTTTCTAATATTTTTGACGAGTACATTGTTTGGCAGAGGAATTATCATGGATTCCTCAGGCTCTGACCTTGGTGCACGGAAGAGACGACCCATGAGAATGAGGATGTATACCTTCTCTTTTATTCTTTTTCTTGTTTGGTGGCAGATCTAGACGCTACACTTCTAATTAGCCGTGATACCACCTTTCTGTGAAGTGACAAAGAAGGAAAAGCAGAGATTTCTAAATGTGAACCAGATTTTCTGTGACCAATATGAGGGAATTAACGGTCAAACTCTGGGGAAAGATGGAGTCAAATCTCCTGATTTCGATGTAAGATAGTGGAAAAAGTAGGTTCCTCGTTTATCAATTTTGACAGAGAGATCAGATCCTCGTCTCCTTCTCGAATTCAATTAATTGGGCTTGTAAAATTCCAAGAAATGGAAAGTTCGGGCCGATGTTCTGCGCTTCAATCGAACAGTTTCAATCAACAATTATACTATAAAAGATAGTTTATCAGAAGTTTCCACATGCAATGTCATTTCCTCTTCTTCATAAGGAGCGTAGTACCAGCAGTAGTAGTATTCGCAGTATTAATAGTAGAGAGAGAGAGAGAGAGAGAGAGAGAGAGAGAGAGAGAATCCGACCTTGTTTGACTCAATGTTCCGGCGACCCTGCAGATGAGCGGGATTGCTGGGGAAGATGCCATCGGGGTAGAGGAAGGCGAACACACATCCCACCAAAACTCCGATCCCAATCGCGACCGCGATCCGTGATCCGCGTGACCAGGGAGCGGACGAGCCGCTTCCCCTCATCAAAGGCGCCCCTCTGCTGGCCATCGTCGCACCTCCTCTAGATCAGTAATGGAGGAGCGACAGACCGAACAGATCAAAACCTAACCACAAAATACAAGAAGAGGGAGACGAGTAAAAGACCCAGCCTCAGGAACCCTAGAGATCTTCCTCTCCCCCGCGATGAAATCTGACCGGAGAAGATCAAGAGCGGCGTAGGTGGGAGGTCGGCCGGAGAGAGAGAGAAGGATAGAGAAAGACAGATGGAAAACGACCCCGGGACAAGTTGAAGACAGAATTCGAAGGTGGATGGACAGTCTAAGATCATGCCATTTATGATGCTTAATGGTCCATAGCATCAGTCGAAACGTAACAATCCCTACTCTCCGGTCATCACTCGGTGCGTATCCATTTGTATCGACAATCCATACGTCGATGAGAGAGGCCGTCTCTATACTGGTACACAACAAATTAAATATAAATAATAAATATATACCACCTGTCTACGTCTACAATCGTCGTCTCATCTCTCCCTCTCTGCTGGATGACAGTTTATTTATTGTATCTCGCCGTCCGTGTGCGAAACGTCAACACGTGACGCACTAATTTGAATCTCTCTCTCTCTCTCTCTCTCTCTCTCTCTCTCTCTCACTACAGTTCACCCGCTACGGGGTTAGCTGTAGAGGGCCGCCCCACTTCATATCGGCCCATACTCGTTGTAGTTATTTAGCCCAAGGAAGATAAGCCCACTCTGCACTTGTCGGCCCATTAACATGGCCCGCCCGTGAATCGGATGATGCTACAGGAGCCCACAAAAGATGTTTTGGTGTTTGAATTGCGGCCCACTTCTGCTCGCCTGTTCCCGACGTTGAACAAAAGGATCCAGGCAAAATACAAGCGGCCCAAACACAGAGAGAGACGGAGAGAGAGAGAGAAAGAAAGAGAGAGAGGGAGAAGACCCATTAAACAAGCTACAGTCTTTAACAGAGGATGTGTAAGTTTGACTCACTGGTCAAATGAGGTGACGAAGGAGACGACGACGGTGATATCGTCGAGCTTACCGCCGGTGTACCAGTAGCCGGCCTCCTGGGCCGCCGTCGAGAAGGGGGTCTGACCGTTGCGGTCGAGGGCCCGCCGGCGGGCGAGGGCGGCGATCTCCTCCGCCGCCGCGTTAGGCCCCAACCCGTCTCGCACCGCCCGTGCCACCACCGCCGTCACCTCCTTCCCGAAGAGATTGTCGAAGAGCCCGTCCGTCCCCGCCACGATCGCATCCCCCGCCGCCACCGGCACAGTGAAGACCTGCCCCAGAGAGCGAGAGAGAGAGAGAGAGAGATTTGTTTCAGTCAACAAATCTAGTAGCAGCAGTACAAGTAGTATTCGCAGTAGTAACAGGGGAGAGAGAGAGAGAGAGAGAGAGAGGGGGGGGTTGACCAGCTGACCTGGGCAGAACTGGGGGGGTCGCTGAGGTTGCCGCTCTCGAGCTGGTAGGGGAAGTTGAAGTCGTGCTGCTGGGGCGGGGACTGGAAGACGACGGAGCCGTCTCTGACGAGCATGAACCCGCTGTCCCCGAGGTTGATGGCGTTGATGCCCTGAATCAGGAAGGCGAGTGGAGGCATCAAAAACAAGGGATCCACAGGGGGGGGGGGAGGAGACGGAAGATCATCGCTGACTTTCTCAGGAGACATCGAAGCCTGCAACTCCTTTACAGATAAAGTCAAGGTTTATAAGAAACATAAGAAAGATTTGGGCGAACCTGGTCAGTGAGAGCGATGATACAGGCCGTTGATGAACCCCTGGCCTTGGTGCTTGAGTGAGCCCTCTCGAGAACCCTCACTGGATCGATGGACCCCTTGGGCTCTTCCTGGATTGCCGAAACAGAATGAGACATGAGCTCACGAGCGTACAGCCCTGAGTCAACGCCCAGGTCTGCCCATCCGCCGACACCATCTGCCACACCGATGGCCTGCTCGGCAACGCATATGAAATGGGCATCCTCTCCTCCGGTTTCCTCCTTAGCTGGGTGCGGCAGATAACAAGACCCCGATGATAGCCTTAGTTTTCGTTCCCCAACCACTCTCCTGTACGCAAAAATAAATCAAATCAATCTCGAGATATGGAATCGTTTCGCAGATTGCTGCCACATTCTTCAAACAAAAACCACGGCGTCAAATGAAACAGCCGGAATAATTTTTTTCTCTGTGGGGATAGATCCTTTCACGGGTATTATTCATCATCTTTATAGCATATCGTTCAACTCAACTCCTTTCTTTAAGTAGATACTTGGAGATTCAGACCAACTATTAGGGGAAATAAGACTCAACAAATAGTAATATTTTGGCTGAATTTATAATTTTCAGCACTGGTAAAAAAAGAAGAAGAGAGAACTGAATCCAAAAACAGAAGAAATTCATGTCCTCAAAAGCCACGTAAAAACCATTGCTTGTATTGTGCCCCAAAAGAGAAGATAATTCTTTCAATAATATTGTCTATAGTTTCGTCAGATTTAATTGAATATTAAAAGAGGTTATGGAAGCGGGGCTTGCTTTTTCTCATAGATACTAGGCTCCAGAATCACAGAATGGAAACTTTCATCTCTGCTAAACACGATACACATTAACGCAATAAACAATTTTGAAACGTCCTAGTTTTTGAAAATCCTGTCGGAGAAGCTTAGGGTTAATGTGCCGTTATTTGGAAAAATGTCTTGGAAACAGGATATTGCAGTTCGTCCTGTTAAAATTCTCTTCTTCGTATGAGTTATTACAGCAGAATATCTGATATCACGAATAAACACATAAAATCGGATCGGGGTACCGCAATTATAATCTGGATTAGTCATATTTTTTGAATACGAAGAAAGAAATTTTCATTTCACCGCATTAAATTTTAAATTTTCAATCGCATATGTGGGAGTTAAAAATGCAAAACTCCTAAATCTTAAGATAGACTACGCGTTTCTCAGAACAGACAAATTATACGCACAGACACATATATCTGTTTGGCAGCTGATGGCCTAAAGGAAATTGTGAACATTGGGAACCAATTTTGCCAATGCTTCGCATTGAAGCAGCTTTATTAGGCAACCTACACGTTGCATTGCTCCACATTAAAAATAATAATATAGATTAATATAATTATAAGACTTTGTCAGACATAAATCTTCATGCACTGCTGAAATGAATGATCGAGATTCTCAAAATTTTACCAATGTGCAAGAAAACCAAAAATAGTACAATAAATTGCCATGCATGCTTTTCATTGAAAATAACTAAGAGCATAACACGAATAAATGTTAAAAATCAAAGAAAACATACTGATCAGGTGATACCGCAGGATTATCAAGTTGATCTTGCTTTGCAGATCCATCAAAGGTCACATCTGAGGCAGCACGGGTAGAGTACGACGAAGCAGGAGATGCATCGAAACGCTTGGCTCCGGCCTCCAGTAAAGGACTACTGCTCCAACTTTTGCCTTGTATATTTGACCAAAAGCATCTATAACTCATATTTTTGCCACGAGGCTCTCGACTTTTGAGGTTCTTCACACCTCTGTAGCAGCCTATCTGTCTACCAGGGTCGGCACTTCTGTAGCAATCAATCTGTCTACTACGATCAGGAACATCTACCCAAGTCATGAATTTCATCATCCGCCTATTTCTACTCAGGCTGTCCAAGTTTCGAACAGAGAGCTCGACCCTGCCCAATAGAGAACCACACGCCGCCATTTATCTCCTTTTGTCTCGGACAATAGGGATACAGCTCCGTCAGCTCCTAAAACCAGTATCTCATCACCATGGAAGTGCAGGAAATATCTGACTGATCAACCCTAGAAACTCCCGACGTCCAGAAGCAAACGCTTTCCGGCGGCCAGACACCGGCTGTCCTCTCTCACAATCCACTCACCACAACCCTACTCAGGAAATGCAGAATCACCACCTCCCAGAATTATGGAAGTCGAGGATAAAGATAAGCAGGATATGCGAGGCAAGGAACTCTCCCAGATTCTTTGAATACAACAATATTCAGCCAATTTCGACGAAAAGAGAGGTAGATGGCATCTTCCCACTATCGCACAGCAAGCATCCTGCAGCACAGAAAGTTGCTGAAAATCACTTCAATCGTGATAGGTCAATGACCTAACGTCGGTAGTCGATTTCAACTGCAAATCCAAACCAGAAGAGAATCAACTAATACCGTCCGGGAGGTTCCGAATTTGGTTCTCTACACAAAATCCAAAACCCAACAAACAGATACGGGCGGAATCAAGAAACCACGGCAAAAAAACCTAACCTACTATCCTCGCATAGCAGAGAGAAAACCTAACCTACAATCCTTCCATTGTAGAAGCACGAAGACATTGGAATTGCTTTGCGGGAGAAGAAAGCAAACCCTTGACCGGGATAGGCATATGAACGGAAGACGCGCGACGCTACTCAGAATTCAAATGCGAGGAGGGGCCTGAGCGCGGGGAACATATCCGAGATTTCTCCACCTCACGGCGCAAGGAAACGCCAGCCGGAATCTATCAGGAGATCTTACCTCCACAAGCCGTGAGTCGAGCGAAGACCTCCCATTCATCGGGGGCCTCGTCTCACCAGAAGAAGCAGCGGCCGTCCGGCGGGCGACGTTGAGCTGTGGATATGGTTCTGGTGGAGAGCAGGAACAGACCACCTCCCTTGTCACGTGCCTCGTTCAAAATTTTGCAGTAGTAGGCACGTGCGGATCACGACAGAGCGACGAACCTCGAGGATTCCTTAAAAGTCATAAAAAATAGAAAGAAATATGCAATTTAAACTATTTACAAAAATTCGACAAATTTTTATTACTTCAAAAATAATTAACAGCATAAAAAATATATCCGTTTATATTACTATTTTTAAAATTTTTAAACACTACATTTCCGCTTTTCTTCTGGGCCTGGGACTCACAGAAAAAAGCCCATAAAGAATATTAAATTCCCAAAAATTATCTGACCCTCCGTCCTTCTCTCTCTCTCTCTCTCTCTCTCTCTCTCTCTCTCTCTCTCACACACACACACACACACACACACACACACTGAGGTTTGTGGCGAAAGTTGGCAGCCCAGCCCAGTAAAGCTCAAGCACACGAAGAAGAAGAAGCAGAAGAAGGGCCCAGGCTCATTAATCATCAGGGCCAGACCGAGCCTAAAAAGCCTAATGGGCCCCACAAATTTGGGGTGGCACGCTCTACGATCCGCCGCCCCAGACTATCCGGGCAGGCTAGGGTAGGGGACAACGGAAAGCGGAATTAAGACCGGGTTCCTCGGTGGGGCCCCACTCAGTCCGGTGGGACATAGAACAACAGGACAAAGAAAATATTCAAATAATGAAATTAAAGCGGTGATATATATAGGCTACAGTAATCTAGAGAGAGAAAGCTAGAGAGAGAGAGAGAGAGAAAAGTCTACAGAAATGGAGAGCTGCCAGAAGCCCGACGATGATGATGATGATCAGTGCCCTCCCATGCTTTCGCAGGAGTGGTGGCAAGCCCGAAGGAGGTGATCAGAGCAGAGAGGCCACCGCCGGGGGGGCCGCCGCCCAGGCCCAAGAGATCCAGCGTAGCAGGCTTTGTCGCGAAGAAAGACGGCGGCGGCATCAACAGGTTGGGCAGAGCGGCAGAGCCAGCGCCGGCAGCAGCGGCGGGGGAGTCCTGCTCGTGGAGACCAAAGCTTCTGAGGAGGGAGGCCCCGGAGGCGGTGGGGCCCATCTGGGCGGCCTTCTGGAGGAGCGCCGTCGCGGATAGGTGGGGCGACGGCGGGGAGGCGGCGAAGGGGCGGCGGTCGAGGGAGGAGGAGAAGAAGGTGGAGGTGCCGCGGGAGAGGGAGAGGGAGATGGGCTCCAGGGGAGTGAAGTCCGGTAGCGTGGGGCTCCGGGAGACTGAAGCTGCTGCAGAGGAGAACAAGCTGGCAAATATGCTCGTGGCAGCGCTGCCGCCGGCGGCGGCGGTGTTGCTGCCGCTGTTGTCGCCGACTTGGTGCTGCGCCGGTGGGGGCGGAGCCTGGTGCAGGACTGTGGCGGCGGGCTCCGGCTCCGGCTCCGGCTCCTCCACCTCTGAAAGAAAGGAAAATGTTACGATCGTGAGAGGAAAGAATTAGGGCTTTTTATAGTCTTTTAGATTTGTGTAAAAGGTAGAGAAAAAGAGGATAGTGATGACTAGAGCGTCAGTTTTTCTCCATTCTCGACAAAGTTTTCCGCAGCTGATACGCGTCGAGATGGCGATCTAAATCTCCTCAGAACAAGAACCAATGGGTCCTGAGTCTGAGTACGAAACCCTAAAATGTGGGTAGTTTCTGCAAGATCATGAGAAGGAAGAGAAGAAAACCCAAAGTCTTCCTTCCCTCCCCTCTCTGTAGTTTAAAACTGGACTCCGGATGGAAGAACAGATCAGACAAAGAAGCGTAGATTCAGGAAGCTTCGCTCCGGAAGAGAAGAAGAGACGAGATTTTGTCGTCGGAAGAAGACACAGATTTTCCACCGTGGGAAGAATACGGACCTTGTTTTGGCCGCTCTGCCGCCGTCGGCATCTGCGGAGGCGGCGCGGGGTTGACCACTGCCGAAGAGGGGGAGGACGATGATGACGCCACAGCCGCTGTGCCCCCCTCCTCGTCTCCCACTACAGTGGACGCCGCCACGGCGTCCTCCGTGGCAGTGGTCAGCCCCTTGGCGTTCTCCTCCGCCAGCGCCTCGCAAAAGGCCCTGTGGGTCATAAAGCTGTCCTTCCTGCGAATTCATGGCCAACGTTTAAACGGAATTCAAAACCCTAAATTGCGCACATCGCGCGGGGAGGAGGCGGGGAGGTACCTGGAGAAGAGGGTGCCACAGTCGCAGCGGTACTCTCGAGTGCCACAAGTCTTCGCGTGAGCCTTCCAATCCGACTGAACGGCGTATTTTTTCGAGCACTTCTCGCACTCGAACTTCTTCTCGCCATGCTTCCGGCAGAAGTGCTTCTTGATGCCGGTGAGGTCACCAAGAGCTCGAGAAGGGTCGTGGTGGACGCAAGAGGGTTCGGGACAGACATAAACACGTTTCCGCACCTCCTTCCCTGACCGCTGACGCAGTTTCCAGGGAAGGTTGTGGCCTCGCAGGTGGAGTTGCAGGTTCTGGTCCCTCTGAAACCCCTTGTTGCAGATTTCGCACACGAATCTGTTCGTCGTCATCAGAGTCTTCGGCGACAGAGCAATGACCTCGGCGTTCGGATCTGATAATTGGAACAAAAATCGATCAGACACCAGATAGCGCCGAAGAATAACAGTATCATCCAAGCGACGACATGGCTGTATCCTATATTCACTGTTATGTTCTTCCCAACCAATAATTACCTGGCATCCCCGGAAGATTGCGCCTCTTCTTCGCAGTAGTCGGCAGCGGATCCACCCGCTGGTCGCCGGCGGAGACACTGGTCTCGTCAGAAGCAGAGTTCGACGCCATCACAGATTCTAATCAACGAGCTATGCCACAAGCTACAATTATCCCACGAATCAAATCCAGGCGCCAACTGGAACACAGGCTACAAAAACTCGACCGCCAGCGCGACAAAAAGAAGTCCGGAGATCAAATCCACAACCAAAGTTACCAAAATCCCGGCGTCTGAACAATCACCGAGCGGCTCTCCAGCTTCTCCCCCACGCTAACCTCGATCGATTCTCCCCGCCGATCGACCTCAAATGCGCCGCCAGGCAATCATTCACGACGGAGCTGTAGATAATCGGCCACAGACAGTCTCCCACCTTGCAGACGCCATCATCGAGAACGGGGGGGCGGATGGAGACGACGAGCACCTCTGGAGATCGCACTCGCCTGCCTTTGGAAGCGGAAAGGGGGAACGACAAAGACTTAATGGAGAGATAGAGATAGAGATAGATAGAGATAGAGATAGATAGAGAGAGAGAAGAGAGAGAGAGAGAGAGAGGAGTGAGGACTTCAAAAGTGGGCGGGCCAAAGGTAATTAAAGTAGGGCCAGGTGGGCTGGACCTGGGGGTCGGCTTTAACCCCGGTTGGGGATGGGGTCTATTCTCTGAGCATCCACGTGTCCATCGTGTGGGTGAGCAGACCCTCCTTTGTCGTCTAGCTCCCGGACTCGTAACCACTTATCCTATCCGTGGCGTGCACTGTACAGTAGTCCACCTTCCTGTTTGAGATACCCTTGCGCAACACCTTTAGTCGCTGGAACATCGTCGAAGAAGAGTACGTGACCCGATGGAGTTTTTGTCGTTGGGGAGTATTTGGCACAACCCTTATCCTGTTCCGTGAGGAACCGGATTAATATACCGTCTATCGCGGACAGCAGGACATCGCACGGTCAAGAGGATCTACGAACAGCGACAGATGGATCTAGCGTACGGTCCTCCCCTGTGACGTATTGGAGCAATCTTTTCGAAACATTACGTAAAATACCCCTATTCGAGAACCAAATAAATGGACTACAAAGGGCTCTTACGACATTTCACTGAAATTCACGGACTGACGCCAGGCCGATGACCGTGTAGAGTCCGGGCCCGATAATCAGTGGGAAGTTGAAATTTTTCTGTAGTATGTTTGGGTAGGCGTCGTCGGAAATCGGATTCCACTGAAGGTAATTCCAAAAATACCCATGTACAAGGGGTCAACGATCCCGTCAACGCCTTTTCAAAACACAACCAATAATTAATAGCTAACTGGAAGTCGAGAGGGCAAGAAAAAATAAAAATCAGAGCTGTCATGCAAATCGCGTCTTACACACGAAGCGCGCCTCCGCGGCCGCCACGGATGAGGAAGACGAGAGCAATCCCTCCGGACAGACCTGCGGGGGGCTACGACGTGTGGGCACGAAGAACAGAAGAAGGCAGATGAAAGATGAGAGAGAGATAGAGAGAGAGAGAGAGAGAGGAGTACTTCAGGATCTACAGCATCGGTAGATCTCAGCCCTCATGGAGTCGATGGGCGAGTGGTCGAGGGTGTAACGTTCGGGGCCGAGATAGACACCCGTCTTCTCGAGCAGCGCCAGGCCTTCCTCCCGTCCGTACTTCTCAGAGTACAGTCTCAGGTACTCGATATCCTAAGAAGAAGAAGTTCAAACTGAGCCGTCCGATCCGATCGAACTCGGAAGGGGAGAAGGAAGAGAGAGAGAGAGAGAGAGAGAGAGAAAACCTGTAAGCCGCTGAGGATGCGCTCTAAGCGGAGAGAAGCGACCGGCTGGCTCGACGAGAAGGCTTCGCCGGGGTAGAACAAGACGCCGTCGCCCGGCGGGAGGCCGCGGCGGAATCTTATCTGCACGCAGTACGGCGCCGTCATAATCTGAAGCTCTAGACCCTTCTAGAAGCATACATAAGAAGCTTCCAATACCTCGGCGCTGGGGACCGTCGCCTTGTCGTAGCAGTTGGCGCCCCAGTAGAGAAATCCGGTGCCGCCTTCCTTCCACACTCTCCACATGACGGCGCGGTGCTGGGTCCCACGCATCCCCAGATGCCAGTTTGGATGTGGGTCGGTGGGCCCCATGCACACGTAAGTCCACCATTCCTGAACCAAGCATAATTCTGGTCAACGCAGATCAGATTCTGAACGGGGAAGTCCACGCCTTTCTGGGCACCACTGGGCTGGTTGAGGCAGGCGCCCTGGACAGAAGGGCAAAGGCAGAAGAAGATGCTATACCTCGCCATCTTCAGGCTGCAGCTCGGAGAGTATGTCCTTGACCAGATCCTCTCGATTGCCCAAGACCCACTCGCTGCAAATGCATGAGAGGAAAGCGTTGGATCCTGGAAGGCTGAGGTTCATCTGATATGATTCCCTTCTCATGAAGACACACAGATTGCCACTCGGATTCATCCCGGAAGTTCATAGATTCCTGTCTAGAAATCAGGCAACACGGGAAAAAAAAAGAAAAAAAAAACAAATCGAGAGCAAGTCCACTCAGTCAAGGCGGATCAAAACCATGGTTTCCTTCATTCTCATTGTGGAATTTGAATCTGCCCCTCTCTCTCTCTCTCTCTCTCTCGTATATATATATATATATATATATATATATATATATATATATATATCAAATGAGGCCAACCGGAAAAATAAAGAGAAAATAATAAAGTTTTCATATGAATAGGAGGCATGATGAAGAATATTAGAGATATCAAGCACGAGAAGAAAGCTATCTGTACCTCGTGCAAAATATTTGAGTGTGAGGACGAAGATAAGTTGGAACCTTAACGAAGGCCTCAAATGAATTGCCAGAAACAGGCGCATCGCTGGGCCCTGTAAACGAAGATTGACACCAATAAATAAATAAATAAACATAGACTCTGGGTACAAGCGAAGAGCATCGGAGTCATAAAAGAATGATCTTGGGGGCGGTAAACATGAGCCCAGAGAGAGGTCACAAATCATGTTTGTTCCCATTTTCATGGAAAGAAATGACTCGTATCAAATGAGAACTAGTAAAGAATGAGGAAATTAAGATACCACCAGCAGTCTTTCTTCTATAAAAAGCTGGAGGCACTCATGCCATGAGCAGTCTCTCATGGCATGTTATAGAGCATTTATAGGAAATTTGACGTGTAAGTTCATCACTCTGAACACCAAAGTTTTTTCTAAAAATATTATTCCATGATTGAAGCGAATCCAACTGGAACACTTAAGCGTAATGTTACAAGAATATAATGTTAAAAGAATTCATTTCCTGTAATGTTACAAGAATTTAATGTTAGGAGAAATGAATTCAATGTTCCAAGAATATAATGTTAGGAGAAAGTAATTCAATTTTACAAGAATATAATTTTACAAGAATTCATTTCTCCTTGCTTTCCAGAGTCTCTTTTATTATTTCTCCCCTGTAATTTCCTTGGGTTATGCATTTCTTACTTTGAATCTACGGTGAGAGGCCAGTCCACGCTCAACAGGGACTTGTGAGAAAAGTGGGTGTCTGTTGGGACATTCTTCAGGCTTAAGACAACCATTCCTTGCCACTAGGTTGTGAGGTTGAGAGAAGACATTGGTAGGCTAGCGCATAACGAGAAAGCGTCCTCAATGTCTTTGGACTCCAAACATGATTATATCTGGTAAACGAGCAAGGGATATATATTCAATGCATGCGGATAGAAGCAACGAAGAAGAATGCATCAAAACCAAGCTTTTTACCGCAATAATAAGTGGTTAGAACACGTGCATCAGGTGCATAGGATCGTATGTCAGCAGACATATCGCGGATAGAATTGTACTGCTCCAAATTAAGTGGCTGGACAGAAAAGGAAAAATTAGCAGGCCAATAAAATAATAAATAACAATGAGGGTGCATTTTATATCTATCGAATTTTTTTTAAAAAAGTCAAAAAAGGAAAAAAATGAGTAGCTGCATCAAGAATCTCCCTACCTCATCCCACAAGTAGAAGTAGGCTTTCTGCCAATGGGGTTTTGATTTTAAAATCTCAACCTCCTTCCTCAGAGTGTCTTTGGCAGCATCGTTACTGTTTTACATTAGTGAGCGACTCGACTTGTCAGACTAAACGAAAGAGGTCAAGGGAAAGTAGATTTGACAAAGTACATATTCAGCCGCCCACCAAGATAGAATAGGAACATATGGCACAGCATATGCTGCTAATCTCGGATTCGAATAATATTTATCTGAGTTTGGATGATCAGCTGCAGAAGAAAAGGGAGAAAAAAAAAATCACTTAGCTGGTGAAAGACGTATTAATGAATTAATAAAAAATACCCAAGATACAGGCAATTAACAGAGCAGTCTCGATGATAATATTTACACATCAATCCTTCACCTAATCGTTTCTAGGTCTGAAAGTGGTACCGTTGAATAACATGAATGAAAAGTTTCAAGCCAATAACTGGACTGAAACTTTAACCAAAATCGTATGGTACGAGTAGGTGAGAGATTTTATTCAATTTACTGCCAATAACTGATTGGTCGAATTACCTGGCCAAGGGCAGGTGTATGCTAAAACCCGCATGCTCTCTCCCCACCGGCAGAAGAACGGACTAATTCTATACTGCAGAAGCCACTCGAAGTGTTGATCCAACGCATTGTACCATTCATCAGTCCCATGCTTCACACCAAAGCGGTCCTCAATGACAGTCTCAGAAACCTAAGTGAAGTTAAAGAAGTTTGTAGGGGCGAGAGCATTTTATCAAATAACTTGTTTCCCCGCTGCCAACGTTTCTTCACTAGAATTTCTATAGCAGTGGTATAAAATAATGTATTTCATCAGAGTAATTAAGGGTTCAACAATTTATGTAATTATTATCTCCGAACAACTGAGAAAAAACGAAGCGATAGGGAGTGTAAATTCGCAGACAAAAAGGGAGTATTGGCATTAAGAGTGTAAATTAGCAAGCGCAAATGAATGGATAATATAAGAAAGCCAAAGAAAAAGAAAACAGACTGATGACTGGATCTAGGTGTGAGCACTGTGTGACAGATGGGCCATCAATTGTTGAATTGCAGGACAATATGAAAATTAATGGCACAGATGGATAGACGGGACCAGGTTAGGCAAAAAATTGTTGACCCTCATTAGAGTGGAGTTGGCTTTAACAGATTATAAGGAAATAACTAAAGAGGCTCCTATTTATCCATTCATTTCTCCCAGAAAGTAAATTGCTTACCCATCTGGGCCAGAAGGGATTCTCGAAATGGAGAAAGTAAATTGTCCATGAACACAAGCATGGATGATACTAGAGGCAAAAAACTAGCAGAGTAATAAATGGATGTAGAACCAGCAAGACAGTATGACAGAGAAACACTGAGGTACAAGAAAGAGCGAAAGTCTGATCACACAATTGTAGACAACTTATATGTACCTGGCTTCTCATACGAATTTAAAAGAAAATACCGTAAAAAAATCGTCTATTGTGGCTTTCGTAGAAGATTTGAAAATTTTATAACCATGTTAAGAAAAGGGAATATTAAGCTACACATGAAAGAAGAAATACTCGTAACTGGAATGGACAGGGCATAACTGATGAAAATGATGGCTCCTTGCATGAAAACGGCTATGTATGGCAATGTCACAACCGAGGTAAAACATATTCGTGAATGGAATGGACAGGCATAACTGATAAAAATGGCGGTTCCTTGCATGAAAGTGGCTATGCACGGCAATGTTCAAACAAATTTTCCTTGTCTTTGTGTGTACTTTATTTTCTTTTTGAATTTGTGACTCGTCATGATCCCAATATTGATGAAATCCAGAAGCATTAGCGTCAGACTGCCTGTGATTCAATTCTCCACTTCTCGAAGTTCTAGTCTGAAGCACCCAGTACTTGAAACAATGACGAGAATAATCTAAGTTAAACCTTAATCTTGTAAGTGCCTCCCAAACATTAGTCCTCCAATAATCACTTTCCACCAAAAGTTGTATCAAACACAATAATGACAAAGTTTAACCAATCAATCCGGGGAATACTAGAATAGAGAAACCAAAAAAGGATTTGACAAGGATAGCGACCAACTGTCAATCCAATGTGACGCTCACTTAGCCTAGTAAATACTTAACAGATAGATGCAGAGGATAAAAGATACTGCTGAACAACGAATGTCAAGTTTTTATTGATGGATTATAAATCACAACTGCTTCAGGAAAACAAGAACCGCAGGGCAAAGAGATAAGCTTGACATATAAAACTAATGACCAAAATCATGTGGCAGAAAAATGTAGAAGGATACACCAAATACAGCTGGAAGAGACGGTGTCAAAGGCAGAGTGAACTCCCAAACTGTCACACATAGTTTCAACCGGACTGAAAGATTAGTTACAACGTCCTCTTCCATCACATCACTATACCCTGGAGAAAATTCACTAAAACTTGGCGACATCAGAACTCTCCTTAAAGTTGAAGTTGCAGATTTGACTCTCTCTACCTACAGGAGAAATACTAATGAGCATGAAATGTCAGTGCCTGTAACAAGAAACTTCAATGAAGTGTTCTATGCCCCAGTAGCTACCATTTCCTCAAATGGACTTCCATCTATGGGATCAACTATCTCAAGACAGTTTTTCAGTTCCTGGTACAGCTGACTCTTCTCATTTTTAGCCAGAGATTGGTTTGCAGACCTGTACGAGCACAAGATAGATAACACAAAAAATACAGTATCCAGTAAGCGCCCGAAAAAAAATCAGGATTGAAAAAATTAAATGAATAGGAAACAGATCAAGTGGAGATTTTAACAAAATGTACTCTGCATCAGCTGTAAGGGCTGTTATAAGAAGTTGCCCTTCATATTGGCCGGGTGGTTGTCCGCAGGGAACATCTAGTGATACCCAAATTGATGTTGTCTCTCTGGGGAGAAGAACATAGGATCATTTACTAACCATTAAGTGTACGCCCATAATACTGGAATCAGAAAGGAGGTTATGAGGAAAGATCACTGTTATTTCAAGGGACAGTACCCGTGGAAAAGGTTGATTTGACTAACTGGTAAATCAAGCGGCACAAGAGCATCAGGGACACCTAAGATAGGCACCACTCGTCGCAGAGATAATGACTGTCCGACAAGCAACCTACCACAAAATTAAAGATTGAATATCACACGATAAGAGCAAAAAATCGAAAATGTTAATGATAGACTAGAATCTCTAAAGGGTGGAGATGTGCCCAACCTGTCGCCAGAGGGAGAACATAGATCAGAACAGTGAATCTGTACTGCACCAGCGGTACCCGGCCCACCCCATGAAACTTTAGGGCGCAAAGCTATTTGAACACTTTCCCTCTCATTTCTCGCAGCAAGAAGAGATATCTTCAATAGAAATTTCATAGTTAGGAACAGTTTTTAAAGGGGCCGATTATAATTATGAAACAAAAGTTTTGGATTAATGACAACGAAAATCATATGGAGAAATGTCTTACAGGTTCCAATGGTCGAGGTATTTCTTGTTGGCCAACGTTTGCTGTGTTTGGCATGCACCATACATGTAAGAACTCTGCCGTGGGAACCTTTGTCGGATCAATTACCCGAGGGGATGAACACGAATTGTCAAAGCCACCGTCATTCCAACCATATCCAGTCCCCCCCCCTGCGACTCCTTCCACTGGGGGCACAGTTATGTACACTGGGTCTCCACCTGAATAGACGAGCATTTGAATAAGATCGTCTAGCATATATGGTCCTAGCATATGCATTTTCCTTGACAGTTGTGCAACATGCAAGGTACTACCCGCTAATATACACTAAAACAAGATAAAGTGGATAACATCAATTAATATAGGCCAAATGCAGGTAATGGAGAAACTGGAAAGACACAGAGTTCAATTTTAATACTTGAAGTGAAAACATCTTTGCAGGTAATTCCAGGATTTCCATATCATTGTTCACCATCCACCTTAATAGACCATGGAATTTAAGTTATTCAACATGTGTATCCTAGCCGGTATCCATGCATGTAAAGCTAAAGCATGAATCTCAGCATGGGAAATGTAGGGCTTCATCATAGGAGTCTGGAAAAAGATAAAACCCATCTTTGCTTCGCCATATCAGAGAGATAATGAAAATGATAAGTGAATCTGATTAATGAATGTCATAAACCTGTATAGTCATAAATATGTCGATAAATTGAGAAATTACATAATTAGCATGATCTTATTTATATAAAGATGTAACTAAATGGCGACAATAGGAATAAGAACGACCTTGAAGGGGTCTGGCCCAGTATGCAAATCAGTATGCATAAATATATCAAAATAGGTCAAGGCAAAAGCCAAATCATGAAAATTTTGATCACATGTGAAATTGACACCAACTTCATGAGGTTAAGCGGAGCAAGTTAGACATCCCTGAGGATCAAGATAAAAGAATGTGACGGGCATAAAACATGTGGGAAGGAAATGAGAATTTTCACACACTAAATGCGTCCTGTTCTACTACTTTCCAGCATCTACGACATTAGATATTCTTATCTTCCTATCTTTTTTTAATCAACAAAAATATGTTGGAGCCCAGATGAATGGTTCTCCCCTTCTAGATGGCTGAATTTAAATTTTCCTGGAAAAGACCTTGCTTGATGATAATAGAAGGCACCATGATGTATCTTATTTTTTAAATATCTCAACTTGAAGAAAATAACCTTACACACTATAATCCCTACAAAATATTATACAATTTTTCACAACGAGAAAATCAACTCGTCTAAAATTAAAAGGCCATGCGTTTTGCAATAAATTTCCTTTGAAGGCCAATTCAGAGTTACTTCAAATCCACAAAATGCTCCAATAATTCTGATGGCATAATGACTCAGAAAGAGTTGAAAATAAAGATAACGATGTGATCTACATAATTATCTATAAAAATTTAATCATAACACCCTCTAAATTATCCTTTCTTCTCGTTCAAGATATGACTTGATTCTGCTAGAGCTGTTTTACAGGGGCGGGGAGGGGGGAGTGGTTTTGCGCATTGATAAGATCATACTAATGGTACCTAACGTAGGATCAAGTGCTCCAGCTTTCGAATTTCTGAAAAGTTTAACGCATGTGATGTATATTGAGTGCTAAAAAAGTATAGGTTCTCCTTTTCTAAAAGGCCTGGATGACACATCCTGAAAAGACACGAGCCTTGTAATACTCGTTTTATAAGCTGAACGCGAGTCTTTATTTTGTTGTGCCACTGTTCATGGGATCAGTGAACGTGATAAGATAGCAAGGGGAGTATAATTTGATGAAGATCAACAGAGGAGGATTATCCGACGAAGAAAACAAAGCCTGTGAAATCTTAGGCACACTAAGCCAAAGTTTTGACAAATTCAAGGCAGGATAATGAATTCACATACGAGTATGACGGTCCCAATGCCGTAAATAAATCAATTGAGGCCAGAAACTTCCAGAATCCACAGAATTAAGGCACGATGATTGGCATATATCCTTCCATGCACGATCGAATTTCCCACCAAAGTCACTGGCCGTCGGGTTGATGAAACAGAACGACTACGAAAAGAAACAGAAGTGGGGAAACCAAGAACATGGAGGAGAAATCCAGGGGAAGAGAGACCCTCTCCGTACCTCCCGCATTGTCCATTTTCTACTGCTCCCCACGTCACTCCCACTCTTCTGCCGCCCGATCTGAGGATCGCAGGAACCTAGTAACACCTGCTGCTCCGGGATTTCATCACACCTGCAAAGGTCTCACCACAAGGTCGCATCAAAGGAGGAAGATATTCCTCCTTCCGCCTCCTTCCACCTCCTCCTGGATACACCTCTGTGGCAATCTATCTGCAGCTATCCGTCGATGGCGAGGAACCGTTCGACCGAACGACCCGAGAGGGCCTCCAAAACTTATAACTTACCAGGTTTCTTTTGATTTATTAAATATCCAAAAAATAATTTACCCATTAATGAGGGAGCCATAAACTTTCTAGTCATATTTTTCCTCCATAATTTAAAGATATGAGTATCATATATTATTTCATATAGCCGTATTTTCCCGTGAATTAAACTCGTTTACTCATAAATATATAGATAAATTTGAGAAATAAAATAATTAATATGAAATTATTGATACAAAAATGTAATTAAATGGCGATGATAGGAATAAGAACGATCCTAGATGGGGACTGACCCAGTATGCAAATCGGCCCAGTCTGGGAACAAAGTTCCCCCTTGCCACGTGCCAGTCAGGTGGACACCCTTCCGACAGCAAGCCGGGCCCGGGCTTGCGCTGGGCCGTGCTCGGGCTTAACAGATGTCAGACCCAGGGCCCCTTCCACGAGGATAAATAAAAAATTCCACGTCACATTTATGATAATGAAAAAGAATATCCAAGGAAGGCGACTTGAAAGACACGTGACTAGAAATGCGACTTCAAACGTGCGCCGGAATCCTTGGATTCCGTCGCGTCAGCTAGGATCACCATCCAAACACCCCGATTCCGATTCCGATTCCCATTCCAATCAAGTGCAAACAGTGAACTCGTCCCCCGCCAAGAAGCTTGACCTTAAATGACCGAGGGAGAGCCAGATGGGTCAGAATTATGGTGATAGAGAGAGAGAGAGAGAGAGAGAGAGAGAGAAATCGGTCAGAAACCGATCGCACTGGTGATTCCAAAAACGGGAGGGAAGAGAAGCGGCGAGGGGGGGATCGTCCATCGCTGCTGAACTTATCGGAACCGTCGAATAAGAACAAAAATTCGTCAATGGGATTCATAGAAAAAAGCAGTGAATGAGGATTTGACCCGCAATCATCCGAGAGTTTTCCCAATAAAAAGAAAGAATATATGACTCCTAGCAATTAACTCACACCGGGATTCCCCCCGCGTTGACTTTCGCCTATGTTCTACTCTGAGCTCGATCGATCCATCGACACATCCAACCGAAAACGGCTAGCATTGACCTTGCAGCCAACTATTTTGAGGTAATTCATATAAGTCAAATCGAAAAATTAATTCAAAATAATTTTAATCGTCCAGAGATGATAACTTAAATAACCACGTAAATAAGCTAAGAAGTTTTGGCCCCGTGCTCACCAAAAGGCCCACTCCTCTTTTCCGTGCACCCGGGCCGGGGCTTCATAACGGCCCGGGAAACTCAGCTGGCAAGTAGGTACATATTCATACCTAGATAAATAAATATATATTCATCTATAGTTAGAAGCATCGGTGGGCCGGAAAGCCCAGAGCCCATTTCCAAAGCCCAGCCCGTTGATACCTCGGGTTGAAAAACTCTACAGGACTTTAAAATAATAATAACAATAATAAAGGCGGAGGGACTCGATAGTATCATAACCCATAAAAAAGGAAATAAAATTTCTAAGAAATCGACTAAAAATGGACATCTGACCCTGATTCTTCGCAGGTCCCGATTATATTATATGCTAATGAGCAGATTACAGGCTAATAATAGGAATTCTATTTTTCAAGCGAGAGTAAGAACAGGGGCGCTCGAACCTCAGCCATCGTAGTCTCCCTGGGAAAACTTGGTCTCCGGGTAGTACACTGCGGAGACCTGGTTCCCGCCGAATTTCCTCCCGTTCAGGCCCATCCGACCTCTGGAGGAGCCGTCCACGTCAGCGTACTCCAAGAACACCTGCCAGCGCCGCCGGAGCAGGTCAAGTCTCAGGAAACCTCGGTAGATCACGGAGGGCAACATTCATGAGGAAGCAGCTAAATCTTTTCAGGATTAATTAGGGACGGGGAATTCGGAAATAAACCCTCCTTGCCATTGATGGCAATATGGAGAGAGAGAGAGAGAGAGAGAGAGAGAGAGAGAGAGAGAGAGAGAGCTGGTGAATCTCTGTGATTTTTACCTTTCCAACTCCAGGAACGGTGTCACCGTCGGGACGTGGCCGGGGAATGACCACGTTCAGCAGCGTCCCTGCGTCCCAAGTCGTTTAGAAAGCCGTTCAGAGAAAAATTTCTCAAGCACTCAGAGATCCTTCCTCTTGCCCTCCCAGGATATATATATATATAATTTATGGAAACATTAAGCATGAAAGAATATTTTTTTGAGTACCGTATTTCGCTCCTTCGGTCTTCATGTCTTCGAGGATGTCTTCATACTCCTCGTCATCCCTCAGCTCGTCGGCAGAAACCACCTGGGTCAGACACAAGACCTTGGTGGGGAGAGCCCCCGGGTTGAACATGAGCTGCTTCTGCAAAGACCGCGTTTTCCCAATATTAGAAACTGAAAGAAGTCGAACAAAAATAAAAAAATTGAGTTTTTTTCCCCCCGGAAAAATCTCTCCTTTTTTTTTCTTTGGAGTCACCTGCAGAGCGACCTGCTGCTGGGCATGGAGCAAAATGCTTTCCTGCTCGGGCCGGGGCTGGGCGGCGCCCTGGATGGCCCGCCTGACGGTCAGCGTCTTGTCTCCCATCTTGATGCCATTCAACGCGGCGCAGGCGATGTCGGTCACCGCAGGGTCCTGGTAAACGCAGAAGGCGTAACCCTTGGAGTTTCCCGTCTCCCTGTCCTTGACCAGATTGAACCCCCTGAGGGGACCAAAGGATTCGAGCAGCTCTCTGATCTGTGATTCGGTGAAGTAGTAGGGGAGACCACCCACGAAGATGCGGTCGGGCCCTTCGAGGGCGCCGGCGGCGCCCAGGCTGAGCCCCACAGCGGCCAGGTTCAGCTCCGGGTTCGGCTGGCTGGGTCCAAGCGCCGCCGCCAGGGAGGGGTTGTAATCACTGGGCCGCCTCACCTTCACCGGAGCTCCCTGTTAAATAGACAAGGAAATTGAAAAAAAAAAAAAAAAAAACCCTCTGCGGAATCGTGAAAACAAGTGAATACATACATACTGGAAAATGTTAAATCTATCTATATATATATTTATATATATATATAGTTTTTTGGTATGGTCACAGACCTCGAAGATTATGCCGTCCAATGCCATGGCATTGCTGGCCTCTTCAACCGACCTCATTTCCACAAAGGCGAACTTCTTATCGTGGTTTATATACACGTTGACGACAGCATCGCCTGGCCAGAGTAAATAATCAGGCTTTTCGGTAAGGATTGTGATAAAAGTATGCATTCAATTAGTATATGAATAACGTTAATTAAATGAAGGCAGGGATTTAAGCACGAACCAGGGCCAGCTGTGTTCCCTCCTATAACAGCCATTACCTGGTTGAAGAAGGTTGCCACTGACTGCACCAAATATTGCCCGCAAAAAGGGTAAGATCCAGGCAGTAAAATGCCAAGCATTACAGAAGGAGTAGATATTCAGATGTAGATGAAAAATCTCACAAAAATGGGCAAATAAAGAGTGATGAATTCAGCTTGACGGAATGGAAGTTGGAACTGATAAGAGAAGAGAGAATCCGCTTCGCACGGACTGGGTCAGGTTTAGGACGACGGGAATAGAACGCTCAAGGATTGAAAGAAAAATGGAAAAAGAGCAGGTGGCGATAAATAAATAAGTTTCCATTGTGAAAACCTGTTCATTGGCAGTAGGTGAAAGGCCGCCAACATATACCCGCCGCGCATGTCGAGTTGCCTACAAAAAAAAAGAAAGAAAAAGAAAAAAAAAAAGCCGCACTTTGTGATCAATGATCGTGATCAGACAGAAGCCACGATGTTGCCATGTATCGTCAAACATACCTGTTGGGTCATTGCTTGGACAGGCACGACAGGGATGGCTGGGAACTGAAGAGGCACATAAACGCTTATGAGTGATGAAAGAAGTGATGACAGAGAATTAAAGAAAGAAACTCCAGAGATCATCTGAAAGCACCTACCTGCCCAGGCAACATGAGGTTTGCGAACATTCCAGGAATAGTAGGTGCGATCGCTGGCACCTGACCTGTGGAAATGAGACACATTAATGAAGATACCAAATGGAATGTAGAGGGTTGGGGAGAAGCAAAGGAAAAGAGAGCATGATCATCTTCATCGGTTTGCCCTCGCATGCAGAGGGGCACACCCTCGTCTCTTGTGGAGGAATTTATCAAAGTGAAAATGGCAGATTATTATCAAGTACTGGAGGAAATATTTGTAAGACTACCAAAAAGACATTAGTTGCCGGCTGAAGACGAACAAGATCCATCAAACTGGTGCACTGATTCCTCCTTCTACATAAAAGCTACAGTAGTCGGCTCAGGCCCATTGGCAGCACAGTGGGACAAGTGGCCCAAGATTGCCTTTTTCAACAACATAAAGACACAAAGAAGACAAACAAACAACCAAAAACAAGAAAACAACCAAAAGTGGCTCTCAGTTTCAGAATAATTGTTAAATAAAAGTATAAAAAAGAAAAAGTAATTGAGGACGTCCAAACCATTTTTATCAAGATAGACAGCACGTAATTTTCATTAGAAGAATGGATGGCGTTGCTTACCAAAAAAACCCTACGCAATTCATATGAACCTTCGTCTAGCTACAAGAAATGAAGATCTTCAGACAAAAAATAGGATGCGCAGTATGGGGAACATGTACCTGTGGGGGTAACAGCAGCTACCATCGCAGTTGCAGGAGGAGCCATGTCAAATCCACTGATCCGTTTACTGTTTACAAAGAAAAAAAGTTGAGAAAATATTGAACATAAAAAAGAAAATATAAGACAACTCACACCCTTAAATCGGAAAGAAATGTAATGAATTCCAAAAAGTATTTCTGAAGTATGTCTACTAAAATTAAGAATACAACTATTTAATTGGATTTTACTATTCGAATGTGGCCTAAGAAATTAACAAATCAAGACGCTAAATCTTCGTACACATTGGTACACTCTCAAAGCTCTCACTCACTGAGGAACGTAAATATTGCTTAATGGTTTTCTAGTATCACTTGCTACTATCATCCCCTCAACCATTCAAACTACGTAATGAGCGTTCCACCTTGGCCAAACCCTGAAATGGAGCGCTCTAAGTAAACACCAAGTTTAAGTCGCACATCAACCTCCATAACTTTTCAAAAATTCTGAAGCAGGAAGCATTGTTCGCCACCACCCGAGAAGCAAAAGATTCGAGAGTCAAGGCGGAAAATGCATTCCTAGATAGTGGTCTAATGACAAGGGCCGACGACATAAGCTTTTTAAGAAAACCATAGCCTAATCACCCACTACACTGTTTATTTCATAAATTACAAGCAGGTCATTAAAACTTTGACCTAGTTGATTTTCCAATGACTTAAATACTCATAAACACCAATCACATTTTACCCAAGAGCTTTAATGTTTTAAATCATTGACTATTCCATAACCAGCCCAAATGCCCAAGGCACTTCATGAAATCCTACTGCGTTGTTTCCTAGATGAAGAATCTGGAAGAAAATAATTACTCGAAAAAAATGACCACCAGAAAACAGAAGAGATTCACTTTTTTTCGCAATAGCTACCTATGAAAAAAACGGAGCTGGCTTAGATATTTTAACAATTGTCCACCCGGATCTAGGACATCAACGTTTGTTTGAAAAGATGACAATATATTTGTGGAAGCATGAAAGGTGACCTGACCATTATTCGACAACGGAAGGGAGTCGAATGATACGCTCTGTATTTCAGTTAGTTTATTATTCTTTCGACAAATTGAGCCACTGACAATAACATGTTGCATTCGACTAAGAAAAATGAAAAAAGGTATACATAGAAAACTAAGGGGTCAAAAGGCATCATCTCGAAGTAAAAAGAGAAGAATAGATTTCTGAAACGTCACTTTGAAAACCCAGCGTAAGAGAAAACCTTTTTACGGCAGAATTCAGGGTTAACAGGGGTGGCATCAAACCTTTTGTACCACAGAGTAAGATGGTTTTAGATATCTTTCAATAAGATCACGGAAGGCTATCACAAAAGTTTCGCATGTGAGACATAATTTATGAAAACATTGCAACAGACCTTTTAGACGTTGAACGAGAACGAGAACGAGATCTTGATCTGCGGTCAGATTTACTCCTTGAACGGGAATGAGATCTATGCCTATGTCGTTCCCTTTCTGTCCCATCATCTCTATGTCTGTAAGAAAAAACATTAGGTGCAGAATATAATGATGACATGTAACAATATAGGAATTTTAAACACATGAGAGGCAAAGGCCAAGCCATAGAACTTTATCGTTCTAACTACGGATCCACGGTAACCATAAATACATCTTTTAGAATATCAAGGACATACGGTGACTTCGTCATGTACTAGGATAGAAATAGATTCATTCATCTTTCGTGTGAAGTCATAAGAAAATCCCACGTACACTCTGAAATTCTATGCGAATCCGCTAAATTTACACAACCTCCAGCCAATCCTAACTGTCTGTACTTACTCTGCACTTGAAAATTCTACACATGCAAAGAAAACGGATGACATATGAAGAAAAACTCTGAGTGCAAGTTTTTCTACAGAAAATTTAAAGGAAGTATAAAAAAAACCGGTAAATAATAGTGACTCATTATCAAGTCAAATATTGAACAACAATTAGCGAACACATGTCTGAGATGCAACCTTGACGCGATTCCATCAAATCAAACACAATTAGGATGGCTCGCTTTAACACATTCATGAGCAGAAAAAAGAAGAAACATAATGTCTCAGAAGATTATATTATTCTCACAAATGTAAACTAAAATTGCACAGCAAGTTCAAGGGATCAAAATCTAATTAAACAATAAGCTGGAGATATTTAAGACATCCAAATCGTAAATCGGACACCTCTCACGGTCACGGCTGTGGCGAGGTTCATTGTCTTCTGATTTGTGTCTACTATGCTCTTTTCTATCACTTCTGTCTGGGCGATCCCTGTGAGTACGCTCCCGTTCCCTGTCTCTGTCCCTTTCCCTATATTTGTCCCTGTCCCTTTCACGCACTCTATCACGTTCCTTATCACGAGACCTACCACGATCTCTTTCGCGTTCCTTGTCATGATCCCTTGATCGCGCCCGGTCTTTCTCCCTCTCCTTTTCCTTGTCTCTGCTCCTAGAGGACTCGTGAGAGTCATACTGCAAATGCCAGGTGAAGTCAGAGCCCTCACATATAGTCTCGAGGGGAAGCCTAATTCTTGAAGATCGAAAAAGAAGGCCAGTGCACACACAAAGGTCCGCCTACAATAAACCCTACGCAGCAGTTTAAAGTGATATGATTATGAAGAAATATAAGCAAAATCTTCTAGAAAAGTCCCTGAGACGATCAGATATAACTTCGGCATAAACGTATTCAATCGATAATCGCGAAAAAAACGCAACCATTGGACACAGATTCAAGAGAAGAAAAAAATAGGAATAGGGCATCACAATGAAGAGAACACCTTCGTTCAAATTGAACACCGTACAACTTCACATTCTTCTCAACTCCGAGAGAGCAAGTTCACATGCCAACATCACTCTCCACCTGAGCCCATCGTTCATACTTCACAAGGAAAAGCTCCAGAGTGCAGAAAACGTACCTGGGATTTGCCGTCGACACCTCCGTCGGCTCCCGCCGTTTGCCGCTGGAGAGGCGGGGAGGAGGCTCCTCCGAAGTTCTCCCGATAACCCTCTCCGTTCCCCTCGTACTCCCCCATTTCTCTCCCCTTCCTCAATCGTCTTCAACAGCCCCCTTCTAGGTCTCACACCATCTCTCACTAGCCCTCTTCCGTATTTATTTCTACTATAGGGCGACGGAGAGATGGGAGTAAGCGGTACGGAACTAATCGGGTATCGGATACCGGTACAATCCGAGTACGATTCACTATCCGTTTTTCTCGCACTCCTGGGAAACGGGCCAGGCCGGGATGGGCCAAGCGGACCCGTAAAGGCCACGCGAAGCCCATATCTATAAATCCTTCATATATTTTTCCGAAGTCATGTTTATTATTCCAACATGTGTTTTTCAAGTATACCAAAAACTTTAAAATGATATAAATATTATTTAAAAATACATAATTAATCAGTAATTTACAGCCACGGGTCCCGCTAGTTTGGTAAGACAACCGCGTTGGGCCACCTCAAAATCAAAATCATTTTTAAATTAACTGCTACATTTTAACGAAATAAAATAAAATAAATAAATAATCGAACCTCTTTACATAACTTAACAGGTTAGAAGTACTATGGAGCGGGGTCAGACAGAAGGCATTTCTTCTAGCTCTGACTTTGTAAAACGTGGCTGCAGTTGGCGAATGCCTACATATGCATACAATTTTTGAATAAAATTGATGATCAAATTCTAGGGTCATACTCGGGTACCAAGTCCAGTGATAGAGAGAGAGAGTAGATACCTAACAACAGATAGGGACCAGATTGATCTATTTGGCTACAGAGTTCATCCGGCATATCTACACCATTTGATTTGAAGATAAGAAGCATCATTGGACAAGGTTATGTACATAAATTGTTGTATTTACAGACTGAAAAGTTTGGACTGTACATTTCTATCCTTTCTGAAGAAGACGAGGTATCCCCCATCTCCTGGGCGTGTGGTTGTAGTATTTACATCGTGTAAGATAAATAAAAGCAACTTTGGTTTTTGAATTGGTGGTGTCAAAGATGCTCAACCCACATGTGTGTGAGAGAGAGATAGAGAGAGAGAGAGAGAGAGAGGCGTTCGAGGGTGTTATAAGACCTCGCACTTGAGCCCACAAGTGTGTGTGTGTGTGTGTGTGTGAGAGAGAGAGAGAGAGAGAGAGGCTAAGGTTGAGAACTTGGACCTTTCAATGGGGACGAAGATTTTGGTAATCTTCCACTCTGCAAGAGGACGTCGTAGTTCATGGAGGCAAGTTGGGAAAGATTCTGCAAGACAACCTTGAGTCAGCGGTTGAAAGGTGAAGCATTCATCATCGCATGGCACGGATCAATGTCAACCAGTTCTTTGGGACTAATCTACGACCAATTCGGACTGATCCAGCCGGGTTCTTGAGATAACCATGGCCGATTAAATCTGGTCAGCTGATCAGATTCCAGACTTATTTGGCAAAAAAGTATGCAGAAGTCGACAGCTAAAAAGTAGGTTCAAGAATATTCACCTTAAAAGAGAAGTTGATCCCGGAGAGGTCAACGCGAGGAGAAGAGGACAAGTCCCTCCATTCACATGATTGGTCCACCTGGAGTGTGGAAAGCACGAAGGTTATGATGGTCTGAGTTTTAAATATGGATGATTTTCAAGATATGGATACACAATAAAAACTTTAATCGAGAAAAAAAACCAGACATTTTCTGTCGATCACCAAAAGAGGCACAGAATGGGGGGACGTCAACGGGCTGGCTGGGGGTCAGACCTGGCCTCCCATATATTCATATCCATGCACGAAGGGGAGAGAGAGAGAGTAACACAAAACCGGACTCACGAGTTTGAATGCCCAGTTCCCTAGATCATCTCAGAGGGATCACCCAAATTAGATTCCATACTCTATATGGTCAAACCCCTAATTGTATCCCACATTTGACGCATTTACACATGAATAATCTATAAATGTATGTCAAGATAAATATAAATGTCCCTGAAAACATGTTAAATTCGATCTTGTTATTTCCTAATCAGGGCCTCTTAGCAAATATGGTGACATAAATAGATGAAGCTGCACCCAAGTTTGGCAAGGCGCGCAAGAATAGGAATAATGCGATGAAAATATATGAATGAAAGTATGAGGGTGAAAGAGCATACGTCGATGACCTCGTAATGTGAGCTCGAATCAGTTGCCTCGGAGGGGCAGTCACTGGAATTCGGGTCTTCTGGAGTCTGCAAGGAGGTTGACGAATACCGCGACAAGAAGTAGCTCGTGTCGTCGGCGCTGTCGGGATTTGGGATGAAAGCAGCCTGCAATCAAATCATGTGGGTGTAGAATCGGAGGATATTGAAATGAGCCCGCTAAGAGTAGGTTACAATATCGAAGCGATCTGGGCAAGATCCGGGCATGAGAACGAGGATTCAGGGAAATGTAGACAGACAAAAGTCAACGACTGGTGGCAGCCGCAGTTTTTATTTATTTATTTTATTAAAAAAATACGTTGCCCATTTAATGCTCCATGAATATAATTTACTGGTCAAATATTTTTCCAAAGTATATTCGTGTGAGGATTTGAAGCATATTAAAACCTAACTGAGGATGAACGGAAAAGAGAAACGATGGTATGACCCGCCAAACTACCTTCTGCAAGGCGAGGTTGCCCCAGTCCACTGTCCTGAAGAAAGGGTGCGCTTTCACCTGAAAATGAATAAATAAATAAATAAATAAACTAACGCTAAAAAAAATAAAATGAGAGTCGTGTTGACACCCATTTTCAGCGGTTCGATTCAACAAGATGATGAAGCATATGAACAGAGACGCATTGTTAAGGATGACGACCTCTGAGGCACCATTTGCACCAAGGCGCAGGTCAGGGTCTTGAATAAGAAGCCTGCGGAGAGAGAATAGGAGAAGAGGGTCAGAGGACATAGCTTAGGTAAAGAAATACTCATGAGAATGCCAGTGTGAAACTCGCAATGGCGCCAGAGCCCAGTCAGATATCTGCGGCACAGAGGGATCTCCCACATAAGAAGACTAATGAACTTCTGCCTAGGGTTGACTTTCTCCTAGATCATGCAAATCGAGCCTAATCTTAACGGCCAGGTATGGTACAGGTACTCATAAAATTGCAAGTCAACGGCCAGAGAGTCCTCCATTGTTAGGGTCTCTCCTGAAGTCTAAACTAGGTTCGTCCGCTCTAACTCCTAAAGAAGAATAAAATCCTCTTCTTCACGTCCAAAAAATTACAGCAGCAGTGAGAAAGAATGGAAGACTACACGAAATCAATTGAGAATGGTGGAAAATAAGTCAACAAACCTCTCGATCAAGTCTTTGGCCTCCAAAGACATCTCTGATGGAATGTCGGGCCAAGGAATTTTCCTGTTCAGGATGTTCTCGAAGATTCTCTGTTCGGAAATAACCAGAGGAAATTTTTTTATTGAAATCAACATCCATATACGAAGATATAGATCTAAAAGTAGAAGTTAAGAAAAAAAAACCCGCTATATACAGAAACATCGCCGTGGTATCCTCAGAGTTATTCAGTTTAACCAATAAAATGAAACGCATATATATCATTCAAATATCATCACCAAGAATTGTTCAGGCTGAAAGCTTTCCATCACAGGACCATCAATTCTACTCACATAGCGTGTCTCTTCTCCTGTTTTCCTAACTGGCATGTGACTAAGAATACAACCATAGTTACAGTGTACTGGAAGAGCTGGATGAAGAAAAAATTTAAAATAGAAAAGTAATATACATGTCGAATCTAAAAAAAATAAAAATTGATTGATTGCTAAAAAAATTTCCAAACAGTGCTTCTCGTTCATTGAGCTCAACTGTTAGGTTAAAAGTTGTTTGAGGTCTCATAAAAGATTGCAGCAAAGACTGAATGTTTATTGAAAAATGATTCTATTTACCTTAAAATTACAATTAGAGAATTGAAATTTTCAGGTTAGAAACCACAAAAATTAAAAATGAATAATTGTCTGAATTGAAGTGCAAGTGCAGGCAAAGAACTTCAAGCAGGTTATGAAGAAAAGACCAATTGAAGTATAGGAACCTCAGGAAGCTCGGCTGTGAAAGGTGGAATCCCAGTTAAGAACTCAAACAAGATAATCCCTACTGACCACCAGTCTGCAGCATTACCTGCAGGATTGAGAAATGGAAGAGTGAGACATCTATTTTTGGCAGTGTCGCATGAAAATGAGAAAAACGATGCACAGATGATGTTTCAAACCATGCTCAGCTCCGAGAAGAATTTCAGGAGCCAAATAATCTGGTGTTCCTACTGCAGAATGCCTACTTCCCTTCTGTTCTTTGCAAGCATCCTCAGTAGAATCATGCACATCCTGAGGGTCTAAAAGCATGGAGTTACTTTTCCCAGAACCAGACAAGTCAACTGCTGTGTTGATCAGTCCGATTTGTGACAAGCCAAAATCTGTAAGCTGGTGAGGAGAAAAGTTTTCAACATTATTTCAAAACAAGACAACATAATAATAACATAAATATTAGTGACCAGATATGGCTGGATATTTGCAGACAGTGCACCAGCTCATAAAATAATGGCACAAGTGTGGTAATTTGGCATCTTTAGAAGATTCCTTGAAGTTAAACATTCTAACTTATTAAAAAAGAAGGGAAAGTTATTATAAACTTGTTATCAACCCACCTTAATATGTCCATCTCGTGCAATCAGAATATTATCTGGCTTCAAATCACGATGCACAATTCCCAGTGAATGGAGATATTCTAAAGCAAGAACCTAATACAATAAGATTTTGACGGGAACAGATGAGAAAAAAAAGCTTTCAAAGAACTTTCATAACAGAAGAATACACAGTTTCCCACAAACCAGCTCAGCGATATAAACACGAGCAATGTCTTCCTCCAAACATCCAACTTTTCTAAGCAATGAATATAAATCACCTCCGTTGAGATATTCCATAACCAGATAAAGGTTATCTCTACAGGTGAATGAATAAAAGAACCGCACCTGAAGGAAGAGATAGAAAAAAATAGATTACTTTTAAATATAGAAAAGTACCATCAAACAGTATAAATAGCAAATCCTACATGTTTTCCATGTGTCAAAGTTTTCACTGAACGCGTCTGAACATTATAGAGGACCACCAAGAAGAATCGAGCAGCAAAATCATTCCTCGGTTATTACTATTTAAATTAGAAATAAAGCTCCGATGTCAGCTGTCTTGGAGTGATAGGAGAGGTCCTTTCACATTTGGACAACGAGATTTTGAAAGATTCAGAGAATAGCAAATGAGTTGGAAATCAGTTTGACTCCTAATCAATAAGCACGAAAATTAGAGTGGCAGAGGTTCATTCCTGTCGAAACCAGAAGCACCTAGATGGTTAGACAAGGTACTCACCACAAATGGATTCCGGACAGTAATCAATATGTTGCGCTCCGCTAGTATACGTTCAATGTCATTTTTTCGTATCATGTGCAGTTTTTTAAGTACCTGTCAGGACGTGAAAAGCCGAGCACTTAAGTTTTTTTCCAAATATCAATGACAAAAAAGGGAAGAGTAGATAGGTAGATCGCCAATATCAGAGTCAACTGAGTCCAGTTGTGGTCAAGGAAACTTAAGAGCAAAAAGGAGGTCACAACCTATGGATAAATGTGGAGTTTCGACGAAAGTATTTGGAGATATAATAATTATTCAAATTGCTGCAGTTTTGCAAGGAACCAAGGGCATTGATACAGAATTCGTATGAATGTATGACACGTTAGATTGAAATTAAAATTGACAGCACTAAAGCACTTCGTGAAGGTAACACTGTCTCATATAAACCTCATGAACAGCACCTTGATTGCAAATAGATCGCCAGTGGTCCGTTTTCGTGCAAGAAACACCTCACCAAAGGCACCTCTGCTTATTGGTTTGATGACGTCAAAGTCATCAATGCTTGTCCGCTCTTTATGTGATAAATATGATGGAGTTGAGGTGGTAGACTGGAAAGAATGGTCAGTGGAACATCCTCCACCTTCTTCGAGTTGTCTTGCTTCATCAGAACCTTTATGATCTGCATGTTCCATGGCCAGACGATATTTTCCCCTGATTTTCAGCATCACGATCAGCCACAATTTCTTCTATTCAGTATTTCAAGCATAAATTACAAAGAAAGTTCTTCAAGTCCAATAACTTACTCCAACAGGTTCTTTAGGCGACTTCCGAATGTGTCCACTACAAGGCCTTTTTTCTTATTATGATACAAAACGTTACACACATTGTGAATGCACGTTTTCAAATGCTCCAACCCCCCTCCCATTTTAAGATCAATATTTTCAACCTTTCGAGCGATTTGAGCAAGTTTATTAATCTGCAAAAACACAATTCATTCATTTTTTAAAAAAAATCAAAAAGTAGTCAAAAAAACGTGTAAGACCAAGAAAAAAGAAATATTCCCTCTTCAGAACAAGTAGTGATTATACTTACAAAAAGACAGTGAAATAGCTTGAGTGCTTGTACAATTCAATATTTATAAACGTGAAAAATTGAGAAGAAATAGCCCACCTGATTTGCATCCTCCAAATGAGAGGGATTACCGTGCTCTAGCCAAAACAAGTCGAAGTGATTTGCTCTTGGAGTTGATGTTGAGGAAGCCGGGGTCATGCTTTCATTTGAAGAAAATGCGACAGAAGATCCAAGTTTCATGCTCAAGCAGCCTTTCAAATTATTAAAATTTGAAGACTGAGAGTCATCTAAGAATGCCGTGTCCATTTCATGAAGGTCTTCAAACATTCCTTCAAGACCTTTATTGTGCCACTCGACCACTTTTGGGGACTGATTATTGGATCCATTTACTGAGCTGACATTCTGTATTCTTGATGTCTCAGGGCTGCTGCAAGATGGATTGATGTTTTGAGCATGAGACTCGCATATTTGCTCCAGTAGTTCTGACATTTTTGCCAAACGATCATCCACATCCAACCCTTCCAAATCACACTTGTCAGCATACGCACATATATAGGAATGTGACTCTAAGTTTGCTGTAGGAACATACACTTCACATATCCTACATATGACTTCATCCAACTCCTCTGAAGACTCCTCTTGTTCATGAAGCGACTCCAAATTGTGTCTCATGGAACCTTCTCCAGGAAGACTGTCCTCGTGAGGCTGTGGAGGGAAAGACTTCATGCCGTCCATACCATAATTTTTTGTTGGATCGGACGCAATCTGAGGGAAGTAGGATAATGATGAAATTTAACGAAACTGAAATAGTAAAACAAATCTGGGCGTCCATGCATTACTCCTGCAAGGGTAAAAATATTACCTCCGGGAGCTTTGGATATTGATTTGGGCGCGTATTGATCTGGCTGGGAGTTTCAGTCCAACCAGCAGCAGGCTTGCCAGGCTTCTGTGACCAACCCATTTCAATGACCGGAATGCTTTCCAGACACTCCCTGAACTTGTGAAGAGAATCCTCACTGATAACCCCACCATCTTTCTGAAACTGCAACAGTCTTGTGTAACGAGTCACAATAAAGAGCATACGTGTAAAAAGCTGCTTCAAGACTTCTGCTTGACAATGTAGTCTCCGCTCAGCAAGTTCCTGGACAATGCCTTCACATATTTCACGAAACTCATTGCAAGACATCTCAATGCAATTCTGTGCAAGAAGCAAGAGGTCCTTAGTAGGACCCTTAGTCTCTGAAAGCAAGTCTTCCTCAAGGATCTCAGCAACGTCACTTGCGAAAGCAGCAAGCTCCACATTCACCACTTCTTTAGCAGCATGACACTTCGAATGCAATGATCCTAAAAGCTCCTGAATCATCGTTCGAAACAGCTCTCAAATGAGGAATATGAACTACCATACCTAAATGAAAAAAAAACAACGAATAATTTTACGCTGATGGTTACCCCTGATTCAGCATCTTGCAAAATACAGAAGAACTGCATTCTCATTGTGTTGCATGGAAACTTGAATCTTTTTATTCTTTTTAGGGAATCAGGGGAAACAGGGAGGAACTATGCTATTAGCAAACAAAAACAGTACTAACAGAAGTAATACCTTCAGATCACTGTAGCTACGAGCTCGGGGTTGAGAAGGACGAATGCCGCCCCTTGGACCTAATTCATGGGAAAAACTTTTCTTTCCCTCTGGCATCTTTTTCATGAAATTACTTCCATACATCGATCGTTTTCTGGTCACGTCCTCCAAATCGACTGACTGTTTGCTACCCACTAGACCCTTACGTGGCATCTTTACTTCTGGTTTTTTGGTCTGTGGAACGAAAATTATGCAAAAAAATAACTGGAAATTTTAAAAATGGAAAATGAATATACATGCTAACTTACTGGTCGAACTCAGTTCCTCCATACTTCTTAACAAGGATTTACCTCAAGTTCAGGAGAATTCCCAGAAATTTTATTGGAGTTGTTGACAGTGAGATATGATGAGAGCCAACGAGCAATCTTCTTCCCTTTGCGAAATCCTGAGAAGTAAAAGAAGACATTCCCCCAGTTAAGGAAAATGGCTTGCTTCGCAGACAAATAGTATGAAATAATGTCAAGACCATGGTCACACCTTGAATGATGCACTAAAACTTATAGAAGACAACTTCCAATTGCCAGTGATGTACAATTCAGATAAACTGATAAATGGGACCATTGAGAATGAGAAAAAGTACACAGAAAGGAAAGAGTCTGTTCAAGAAGCACACATCATTATACTTTTTGGACGGAGAGGTTTCTGCTGGACTTATCGACGGATCCATTGCCATCATACTAACCATCAAAGGTGAAGTTCTAATCAGTATCACTTTCTTCCTGACTAGAATAGCAAGCACAACCTGACCATAGGTCCTTTTCCATCGGTTCTCGTCTAGTTCTAGCTACCAATGGCAACAGTGGATATCAAACATGACTGAAGCCTCATCCTGGCTTATTGCATGCATCCAAAATCAACTTAAGCACGAATCAACACCCCGATATCTCGGCCACGCGAAACCTAACTCAACTTCACTCGTGATCAGGACCAAACCACACAGATAACGATCAGACTTCGTTAATTTTCCAGAAACGTAAAACAGAACGGAGGCATACCTCCAATTCAAAAAGATCACCGCAAAATTAGACAGAGATACAAACGAATTCAATTAACCTTTAGCGTCGCCAGACCTCCGGCTCCCCGTCGAGTCGTCCGAAGTCCTCGGGCCTCTGGCGCCCGAAGCAGCTCTCTCATCCAACCGCGCAACGGGACGTGCGGGGGAATCATCGCCGCCGGAGCTGTCCTCCAGAGGGACGCGCCGGGTCTTGATCCTGTTCAAACCGGACGGAATATCACCTCGATCCATCTCCACCATCCCCACCCGGAGCAGCAAGTAGAAAAAAAACGGTCCCTAGAACCAAAAGCTTCCCTCCCGCCCCTCCCCTCGCAGGAAAGTTCCCGGTGACAAGGGCGGCGCCAGGACACCCGCCGGCCACCGCATTTGGATCCTCACCCCTTCAGAACGACCTTTTCCCATCTCTCTCTCTCTTCTTCTCTCTTCGCGAGACGACTTCGCAGTCAATAATTTGGGTAAATCTTATGACCTAACTTCTTTTAGAGAGAGAGAGAGGTCCACTCCCAAGTGGCTGACCGTATAGAGGGTAGTTGGTACTTGGTTGAGCTGACCGGGATAATGGAACGATTTCCGATAATGCGCGTGCTGCACGTGATTGGCGTGAAAAATCCAATCCATTGCGAGCGGCTAAGGCGGCTTCCGGCCAAAGCGATTGACGAAGACGGGCAAGTGGGCTGAGTGTGGGCCCAGCCCACTCACGGCTGGGGAGGATCCATTATAATATATACACATACATTTGTAAACTGCCCAACAAGGGCGGCGGCCGTTCGGCATAACCTGGTCGGGCCCATTCTTCATGAAGGCTGGCGGGCTGGGCCCGATAAAAAAACCCACTCCGAAATAAAACGTAGAGGAAAACAAATCAAGGGATAAAGATAAAATAAGAGAGTCGGGGGGGGGGGGAGTGACCAGCTGTTACGTCTTCTTGGTCAGGCGGAAAGCAGAGAACTGACGGGCGGTTTGGGAGGCTGAAATGGGATCCCCAGTCAACGCCGAAGAAGACAACGAGCCCCGGTCAACGCGATGGCAGGACGTGCGCCGCAGGATGTCGAAGAGGGAAGCGCTGGATGCGCCGTCCGATGATGTCCGCTTGAGGACATTTGACTGGGCCTGCGAGGCGCTGACCCTCCCCGGCCCCTTGTTAGTCTTCGGTGGCAGGTCGCCAGGCTTCATAAGAACATCAGAACATGATTAATAAAGAACATATATTTATTTAATGAAGAAACTAACTGACTTCAAAAAATCACGCCTAATAAGAAAATTGTACATAGTTTGCCCAGCGGAACCTCTCTCTCTCTCTCTCTCTCTCTCTCTCTCTCTCTCTCTCTCTCTCTCATTCTGTAACAATGACAGTGGGGCTTCATAAGAATCCACTCCAAGGTAATCAGAACCGGTTATGAATCTTACCGCATCAGGAATAATTTCCGATGAGCGGTCAGAGCCCCGACTGTTGCTGTCGTCGCGACCAAACACAAATGATCTGGACACGGACATGCCTTGTCTGAGAGATGACGTCAGCGGGTTGACCGTTGTTCGCCCCAGAAATGAAGGCTGTAATGTAAGAAGAAACCTTGAGAGAATATCCAGTGTAAGTGGATAATTATAATTATACGGATATATATATACAACCACAGAAACTAATACAGTCAAACGTGTGGGCTAAATGGGGGCCTCAAGGGATGGAGAAAGCTGAGAGCCAAGTCAACGAGGCCCATTTTTTCGTAAGTATAACTGCGAAATCAGGTCTGTGGATACAGAAGTCAACGTGGGGCCCAGTTGGCTAACAACTGAAGTTCCGTTATTCACTGCATCTGATCTACAGAAAAAAGATCTTAGAGTAGAAGTCAACCCTACCTTGAAGGAGCTTCCGTTTCCTCCTACAGCCAGAGTATCAAAATTTGCTGAAAGAAGGGAGGTCAGAGAGTGAATAAAAAATATAAATAAATAAATAACCAGAAGTGGGAGATATTACCTGGTAATGAACTGGGTCTCCTTCTGGTATCAGGAACGGTGTTTAGCTTTCTGATGAGGCTGAAGACCTCTCTTGAAGTCTCATCCTCCTCAGCGGGAGACAAGACCGAGGATCTCTCTACCTGGGAGGTGGTATCAGAGACTGTGGAGCTTAGAAACAGACATCAGAGAGATGTCAACAGCCAAAAAGATAGTTGACTTACGGTTTGGTGAAGAACGAGGTTACCACGGAGCAGCCGCTGCTCTGTTTCCTCGTCATCTGAGATATAGGCGTCTTCTGAGTCGGTAAACATCTGGGCCATCTTCTCCTTGGCCTGTCGGGCATTTTGACGAGCAGCATTCACCGGGGGTGGATCGCTAAGGGGCTCGGAATCGTCTTCCTCGGGCTCTTCCTCATCTGCTTCGTTCTCAACGATATATGGACCTTTCTGCTTTGTGTGGGAATTGAGCCTCTGCAACAGATTATCAGTCGCAGCAGCATCTTGATGCTGGAGCCACCTCTGATGGAGCTCGTTCCTTTTCTCGGCATCTAATGGTTTCTCCTTGTAACCAGATGCGATCAGACCATTGAAGACCTCAGCTTCATCACTATCATCGTCCTCATCTTCATTTTCGTCATCTTGAAATCTCATTAGATCGTGGTCACTGTCGTCTTCTTCCTCAGCTTCCTCATCCACAAAACCCTTTATAAGGTCATTTTTCCTGCACAGGTTGACAGGTACTGGTTCGTCTGGGCAAGGATTGATGTTTTCTTTGTCATAGTCTTCTTCTTCTGATGAACTGGCCAACAAAGAAGGAACCACATTATTGAGAGTAGATTTGAAACAATGATTCCCCAGCTACAGTAACCAGGGCATCAGATAATCAGACTGCTACGGTAGAAAAGACTAAATAAGGTATGTGTTCTCATGCGATGAAAACACTTCTGAGATGGCTCATACACTCCGAATAGGACGGGCTGCTTATTGGGAGGAGTTGGTATGAACGGGATTGAAGCTCGATTCAAGCCACAGTCATTTAAAAACGCAGATCATTATAGAAGAGTAAAGGTGGAAAAGCAATTGCAAACTTCACAGCAACAACCTGTCATCTGAAGCGTCAGAATTGTGACCTAGATCAACACCGAGCAATGAAGGCACCCCATTATCATCATGAATTTCGTTGATACAATCGACAGACTTGTCATCTTCGTTGTTGCAATGTTGAAAATCGTCGGCTGATTCCTGAAGCAGTAAAAAGATTCAGACAATAACTATCCAAATAAAACTTTCAGAAATTAAAACAATCGGAATTACATCTCAAAAAATTCATACACAAAATAGGAAACCATACCTGTACGCCACTGCCCGGGGTGTCCTCTTCACTTCTTGAAATCTCACCCAGGTCCTGCACATTACGGGTTAATTTAGAAAGTTGATCCTAGATGGACAATAGTGTCACGCAACTGAAAAAGATAGTAATAGTCTTCCAAGTTATTTCCCATGGGACATTCTTGGATTTGACGATTATCCCAGCAGGTGAGCTCCGATTTTGGTTTTCTGACAATATTAAAAAACGTGATTGAATGTAAAAAGAAAAAACTTTGGCGAGATGATGGATTAATGTTGAACATGATCAGGATTACTTTGGCATTTTCGTTACATCAAATTAACAGAATGTAGCCACCTGCATGCGGCAAGTGTTTGCAAAAACATCACAGGCTGAAGTATGTATGTTCATCAAACACGAAAGGAGTCGGATACGTCAAAAAGGTTCAGTTAAATATTCGACCGTCCCAAGTTTTAGCAGGAAGATTTTATCCAACGTGGATACATGCTAAAGATTCTTGGCAACTAGGCAACTTACAGAACTAAAAATGCTGAATGGATGCACAGGTGCATACGTGTGTGTGCATACACACATATTTATATATGTACAGGTACATTATATGTGTATATATGAACACAGAGGCGCACACACATACAGTGTCGAGTACGCTAGCATGAAATTCGCGGACCAAAAACCTAGTTATTTACGTACTCCAGCTTTAGACATTCAGCAATAACAGTGTTTAAGACTGGACAATCAACTTCAGCAAGCTGATCAGAATCATACCTTTTCATTTTCATCGTGCGATCGCAGGTCTTTAGCATCAGAAGTGACTAAGATTGGACCATGAACTTGAGGAAGCCGATCTGCATCATTTGTCACAGTAGATCTGCAGACAAAGGATTGAACAAATGCAAATTTGAAAAAGAGAGTCCCCTGGTGCATTGATTTTGTTGTAACTGACAATAAAGACATTTGGAAAATCAGCTCTACCTCTTCAATAGCTCAAACTTCCTTCGCCGAATCTTTTCCAAAACAGAAGATATCGGTTTATCCGCGATTATCACTGGCTTAAAAAACGCATCTCTCGTTTCTGAGCCAGAAATGACATTTATCACTTAGATTTCACAGCAATGGTAAATTGATTTCACAAGGTTACGAGATTGTGAATTTATTTTTTCCATCTGATTCACCTCGCAGCAGTTTCTGAGATTCAGCGTGGAGATGTTCCAGGTACACCTTCCTTTCCTGTTAGCACAGAACAATGATGGAAGTGAAGGACACATTCATACAATTATAAAGAAATAACTTCAAAGCAAGAAATATCTTCCTGTCTTCACGACCTTCTCGAGCTTCCTCTTTTCGCGAGCAGATTCCAAGAGTTTACCGTCCTTACTTAGGCGCTTCCCTGAAGCTACCTTTTTCCTTTTGGAATCCTCTTGACCTTCTTCCATGCTGAGCCTCTTCTTTGCAGATATCTTCTTCCCCGGCTCATCCACTCTTTCCCCAGTCCAACCGTCTGCATCATCCAGTCCCCCCACTTCCTCAGACACTTTCATTTCCGTTTCACTGTCAAAAGATTCAACTCTCGACTCTTCTAGACGACATTGAACCCCGAACAATGGATCCAATCCATCGTCGAAATCCGTCTCCTCGTTTTGACTCCCAGATCTCGCCCCATCCGGGGACTCACCATCCTCAGACGCATCATCTTGAGATCTGGAGAACTCTGGCCATGGGCGGCTCGCAGGAGAATGGCGCATCGGTAAATCAGCGACCTCGGATGCCTTCTTCAGCCGTTTGAGCATTCGGCGGTGATTCTGGGGGGAAGCACCCTCCGGGAGCAGCAACGTCCCCTCCTCCTCCACGCCCTCCATTCCTTACCAGCACCGGACAGCAGCTCGAGAGGAGGAACTCGCCGTTCAGAGGTACCGGCGCGGGGGGGAATTGGCTATCGAATCGCCGGCCAAGCGGGAGGCAAAAGGAGCACTGAACCCTTTTTCCCGCCAAAACTTCGACACTGGTGTCATCGATCCGCTCCACGTGTCTCATCTGGGGGGCATCTAAGAATGAATGGGAAGTGGGTCCCATTGCCACGTATGCGAATAAAGTAATATTTCCGAACTATTATTGTATTCGTAGGTCATCGGTCTTCGTGACGGCTAATTATTATTGTAGGCCCATTAATTATGGCCCAGGCTCATATTCGCTGCCTGAGGAACCTCGTCTGTGTTTCCTCTCAATGTGTGAGAAACGGATACCTTGAAGCCCATTTTGACAGACTGCACCGGCCTACTTTTCATAGGCCCATTAAATGTATCGTACAGGCCCACTTTCCTTTATGGCCCAGGCCCAAATTTATGTCTGGGCCATGTCTGGTTTTCTGTTTGGCCCAGGCTCATTTTCCTTGCATTATATAAATTTCAAGACTGCTCACGTTGAGTCGAATGCGACCTGGAGAAAACCCTACCAAGCAAGTGTGGTCTCTGAGAACCCCGGCGGGCTCTTCCCCTGCGGCCGCCCTCTGGCGTCCTCTTATTCCGATTAAATGAGTTTTTCTTGTAGGTTTGTTCGATTTTCTTCGCCTCCCAGTTTTTTCTCTGTAGATCGGTTCATCTCGGGCTCCAGATCTACGTCCTGTGGTTGGAGATCTTGTGGACATGGAAGCCGTTGCTCGCTGCCATCGACCTCGGAGATCGGCTAATCCTCCCCGCCTTTCACCATTTTCATGATACCTGCTCTATATCGGTCGAACGGATTTCTCCTCTCGCCATAGATCGATTTGCGCTTTGTTTTACGTCACTGGCGTCTGCCGATGAAGGAGCTCCTAGTGAGGAAGAACAAGCAGACGGGCGGTCTGAATCTGATGCCGTGTTGAATGTCTGCACTCGTATCCCATCCGATCGGATGGCTTACAACCTGAAGGATCCCCGAATCTCCATCTACACGAATCCCATCAACCTAGTCATATTCACCGATTTTCTCTTCCGATCTTACCAAGATTTTCTTCTTCCCTCAACTGCTATGATGACGATGCATCCAACTATGTCCGGACGTCTGAGACATATCTATGATCGATTTATGCAACGTATCTGAGCAACCTACCAAGTTTTTCCTATTCTTAGCAATGGTTCCAAACGATATCGATCTCTCAATTTTCGTCTAACCAGTGGATTGCATCTCTTTACCCTCTTCTCAATCGTATGCTAGACAACAATATTGAGAGGAGAAATTTTGGTGCAGAGATCGAGGTGTTTGGCTTACCAGCACACTGCTGAATCTTCTGATCTGCATCTGTGTCAAATGGTCCAATCCACACTCTCTTCCTGGTCACTCTTCAGTTTTTTATCACGAGAGATTTTCACCACGACGGCAGATGATGCATGCTCTTATTGTACACTCTGAGATCCAATGAGGACGCAACTCCGCTTATTATCTGATGCCATGTATGTATATATCTGATTTTTTTTATTTTTTCAATCCGAGAATGATGATGATTATCACCTGTTCTTTCTTTCGCCAACAGCTATAACCTGTACGCATTCCTTCTGGACTGGATCCCGCTTGAAAAGGCCTGAAATCAAATCTGCTGATCGTGATTGGATTATGTTGATTGAAATGTTCTTCGTTTTAATCCACTCCATTAGTGGACGTAATCAATATTCTAATATTAAAAAAAAGAGAATTCGTAGATTGGAATGTGCTTCTCCTCAACTAGCTAACGGAGGAACCATCAGGACTGATGGATTGAATACGCTATGAACAGTTTGCTTAAGTATAATTTTATGGGCCGTTCTTGAAATATTTGAAAGGCCCAGTAGAGGATCACACAAGGGTCCACCCGACACGTGGAAGACGCCGACTATGGGCTCCAGGAAGCGGGGTCAAAGGGGGAGGTCAGCGAAAATATTGAACCATGCGGGGGTAAGACCGTCAAAAATATCATTGAATAAATGAATGCTACGATTTTCCCGGGCTTTTTCCATTCTTCTGTATGCTTGTCGTCTGTTCTGTAAATGGGCGAGAAAGAGAGAGAGAGAGAGAGAGAGAGAGAGAGAGGGCTGGGCGGGGCGGGGGTGGTCGGATCTCACCCACATACACATCTAACTGCCATTTGAAAGAGAGTACTAACGGCTACATTAGGAGGGCTCAGAGGAGGGAGCCCCCCAACGGCCGTTTGAAACGTACATACGAGGGGATCAGCGGCGCTTGGGCGGCGGCCGCGAGTCGTCGACGAGATCCTCCTCTTCCTCTTCTTCGTCATCTTCGTCCTCCTCCGGCGGCGGGTGGGCGACGCCGCCCCTTCTCCTCTTGTTGAGGGCGGAGGAAGAGGAGGGAGGGGCGGCGGCGCCGCCCACTCTCTGCTCGTCGTCGTCCACCTCGTCCTCCTCGCTGACGTCCTCATCGTTGCCGCCGTCTACGTCGCTGAGCCCCCCGTCGATTTCCGTCGGGCCGATTGGCTGCACGAGGAACTCCGCCACGTCCTCCTCCTGCAACTCCCCCAACGGATAGGTTATCTATCAGTTCAGCTCCCGGGTTGTTTTTTCCTTTTTTAGGGTGCCAAGATCACGGAAGAAATAATCCTCCAAATGGCTAGAGAGAGAAAGAGAGAAAAACCATGGCTAGAGAGAGAGAGAGAACGAAAAGAAACATGCGGAGGTGAACGAAGCATGGAGGGAGTTCATCTGATGTGAGTGAACAAAAGATTTTTAGGCCAAGAGGAGTTATAAACTGATGAACAAACCCATGGAGGGAGACCGTGTTGAATGAATTACCCAATTCGAACATGACCCAACAAGAACTAGTAGTGTTAAAAAAAAACCCAAAAAAAATGATGACTTTCCTTCGATTACAATTAACAAAAATAAAAAATCTTGAAGGAGATCCACTTTGAAGTGTGAATTACTTACCGGATGAACTAACCCAAAGTTTTGGAAGGTGATAAATAAATCATTAAAAAAATATATATATATATAACTCCCAGAGGATGATCGCAACAAACCCAGATAAAAGGAGAATATAATAATATGCTAATCCATCGCAGTCTGGTCCCATCAGACATAATAAGGAAGAAAGATATGATTAAATTCGGGAAGAACAATCCAGCAACAGGAGTGCATGAGATGTCATTCTAGGAGTACAATGAATACCAAGGAACCCTTGAGAAAAATGTCAACAGTGATTCAAGTACGGGAAGGTATGGATAAGAAACGGTGATTATAGATTGATATATATATATATAGTTCAGCAAATAATGGGAACGGAAATTGGATCAGAAAAATCACCTCGTCTTCGGCATCGTCGTCGTCGTCATCGGATTCATGGCCCTCATCAACCTCTGGTTCGTCGTACTCTCCAATCTCTCCATTCTCATCCTCTTCTGCTAGTTCATCGCCATCGATCTCCCCCTCCAGGCTTGCCAACCTCCCACTACTTCCAGCTCTTCGACTGTCGTCGTCTTCGTCATCCTCGTCGTCGTCTTCATCATCTTCCTCGTCGTCCTCCTCCTCAACCCCATCTTCTTCCTCACTGTGCACCTCCAGCACGTCCTCATCCACCTCTTCTTGATTGATCTCTCCTCCCAGGTCCTCTTCTTCGTCGTAGTCCTCCACGTACTCTTCTTCGTCGAGTTCTTCAGACTCTTCATCCTCCTCGTGCCCCGAGCCTGATGTAGCCACATGGAATCCATTGGACAGGTCTCGAGCGTATCCATTTGTTTTCGGTCTCCCACCAATCTCCGGCTCCTCGTCGGCATCACTCTCGTCGTCTTCATCGACATCCAAAACTCCGCCCCTCTCCGAACTGGAGGCGCCACCATTAACCGCCTTCCTAGCTCGATCCTCACCTTCGATCTCCCCGCTGCCAGGATCGTCCTCGTCCTCGTCTTCGTCGTCCTCCTCCTCTTCGTCCGACTCCGGCCGCTCGTTCTCATCCGCATCCATCTTGTCGAGGTACTTCAAGGACCTGATCAATCCGAAGACTCTGGATCTGTAATCCTTGATCCTCGTGACCGGACACTCGTAGAGGTCGAGGGAGACCAGCCGGAGCCGCGCGAGCGGGGCGAGATCTTCGAGGAACTGGATCCGGTTGTTCGACAGGTCGAGATCCCGCAGTGAATCCAATCCCGCCTCCACAAGGAACTCCAGGCCGCCGGCGATGCGGTTGTCGGAGAGGATCAGCCGCTGCAGATTCCGCAGCCGCGGGAACTTCTCCAGCGACGAGACCCCCACGTTCGCGATCGACAGGTGCTGGAGGCTCTGGAATCTCTCAAGCAGGGCCGGCGGGGGGAGCCGCCCGTGCAGGCACTTCACGGCGCCGTCCAAGGTGAGGACCCTCGGCGTGGCGGAGGATTCCGGTTGGCCCTCCAGCGCCGCCTCCACGGCTCTCTCCCAGACCTCGTCCATCCGTGGTGGTTCACGGGTTCTCGCCCTGTATCTGCAGAAGAAACCAGGAGGAGCAGAGGTTCCGCACAGAACAGATTGACAGCAAGAAGACTAGCACCGACTATCGATCGGCCGGCCGGCCGGCCACCGCAACCTCCTCCGCGTATATCGCGTCGCGTCCTCCGGCGAATGGCGAGCCAAAACCTAAATCCGCCTCCCACTACACGGAGACGACGAGGGGGAGACGGAAACCCTAGCGACGAGATTAAAAGGCCTCTTCCCAGTTTTTAATTGACTCTGCTAATTTTCCCATGTTTCCCTCTCCCTCTCCCTCCCCCATCTCTCTCTCTCTCTTTCTCTCTCTCTCTCGCTCTCTCACGGCTCCTGAAGGGAAAAGAGAGCGGAGCACAGAGTTCTCAACGAGGAGAGTGAGGGAACCGCCCTCTACACGCCCTTACGTCAGCATCCCAATCCAGTCATTGGGCGGTGTGCTCACCGGTGTTGCCCGCTACCCCTCTTCTTGTTAGGTGACGATGCCCACGAGCCGTCTGTGTTTCTAGGGGCGCGTTGGAGGGGAGCTACAATGACCGTCAGATCGTCAGCCGCGGATCGATGACGTGGTCGATTGGGCCGTTGCGATCGCTCTCCATGTGTTTGTTCCCACTTCTAGGGTTTAGAACGGAAGGAACATCCCCCCCCCAAAGAAGAACTATCTACGGATATGCCATCCGCGTTCGATGTTCCCCGGTCGCAATAGAACAACGCCTCATCGGGGGAAAGTTCTAACTGACGACGTGGGCACATTTTTGCCGTAAAATCCGTGAGCCCATCGAAACGATGCTGGAGGATCCGCCGCATCCTGGCACAGCATATCCAGCGCTCCTGATAATTGAGGAAATCGACTTTAGTCCCATATCGAAAGTTTGAATCACAGTTTTTTGTTGAAATATAGAGCAATCCTTGTCTGATTGCCGAGCCCGGTAGCGTGGGCTTGTGACCCAAGTGGGGGCGTGCGGGTGGCTGATGGGTTGGATCTCGGGTTGCTGGGCGGGTCCGCCGGGCTCATACCCGGCTCGCCCGTTCCAAGTCGGCGAGTGTTCCACGCGGCCCGAGCGAAGGCTCGTCGGCCGAATGGATCCTAGAGTGGAGGGCACAGCGCCAGGCTGGTTTCACAGAGCAGCGATAACCTCCCGCTCTCGACGGTGGAAGGATAACGGGCCGGTGCTTGCCGGATCCAAATAGCCCACGATCCGGATCACTATTCTACAACCACCTTTTTTAGCCGAACGGGTCAGCCCTTTTTCGCAGAGCACCATACGCTTCGCTTCACTTGACTTTGACGAGGCTATCGATGCTGTCAGTGGTTCTTTACTGAGTACAGCTGGGCAGCCCACAGAGTTGTCGGAGGATATCATCGGCGCTGTCCACAACCCACAATGAGTACTGGGAGAAAAAATATGTAAAGATGACCACTTCAAGTCTTGGTTATTCGGGTCATGTAGATTCCTGTTACTGACATAATATTGGATAACGTAGGGCAAAGTCAACCCACCTTCAGTGGACGTTTTACGAAGAACCGCCAAACGAAAGTCAACCTGTTGTGTTCTAAAAGGGCTGACCCGTTCGGCTAAAAAAGGTGGTTGTAGAATAGTGATCCGGATCGTGGGCTATTTGGATCCGGCAAGCACCGGCCCGTTATCCTTCCACCGTCGAGAGCGGGAGGTTATCGCTGCTCTGTGAAACCAGCCTGGCGCTGTGCCCTCCACTCTAGGATCCATTCGGCCGACGAGCCTTCGCTCGGGCCGCGTGGAACACTCGCCGACTTGGAACGGGCGAGCCGGGTATGAGCCCGGCGGACCCGCCCAGCAACCCGAGATCCAACCCATCAGCCACCCGCATGCCCCCACATGGGTCACAAGCCCACGCTACTGGGCTCGGCAATCAGACAAGGATTGCTCTATATTTCAACAAAAAACTGTGATTCAAACTTTCGATATGGGACTAAGGGTGGTCACCCCATATCCCGGTCTCCACGGCGGCCAGCCCCTCCACTCCAACTCCGGCAACTCCGCAAACAGCACCGCCACCGCTACCCCGCGTCACCATTACCTCCTCGCTATGCCGTACGATAGCTCCGCCCTGCACCAGCCTATCCCCGTCCCCGGCCTTGTGTCGACGAAGCCGAGGGGTCTCTCGTGGAGGCAGATGGCTCTGTACCATCCAGCAATCTCCTTTCCGTCGTCCAGCGCCATCTCCCAGCCTGTTGGTCTCCATCAAGCTCCGCTCCGCCGGGTGACAGTTCACCGGAGACCCATCTTCGCCGAATTTCCGCTCCGCCGGGTGACAGTCGCCGGAGACCCATCTTCGCCGAACTTCCGCTCCGCCGGGTGACAGCCGCCGGCGCCTACCTTCGCCCTCTGGACTTCGCACGGGAATCCGGAGAGTGCCCTTCGAGGTCGTGGACACCCCTCGGAACCCTCCGAACACCCAGAATTCCGACGATCGCCGTCGCGACGCCTGTGTTCCTGGTTTTAAACTTATTTAATCTTCAAATTAATGATATTCTTCTTGAATTTCAGTTTTCGAAAAACTTCTTCACTTCATTACGATCCACTGGGCGTTTACAGATCTCGATTTAATTAATCAATCGAATCGCCTATAATCGCTTACGCAACAATAGCTGGGCGGAACTCTGTTTCTACCCGAATCACTGTTCTTCGGGGAGCTGACATTCGACTGACGTCAGCACCCGAAATTCCCATTTTCCCTAATTTTTGGGGATCTTTCTATTCCATATATTTTTTTTCTATTTTCCTCTATTTATGATTTAATCATCTCATCATTAAAATCCTCTTTCTTTGTTATCTGGAGCTGACGAGAGAATTAAATTTATGAAATTAATTACGGAAAGAGGTCGAGATTCTTTAATTTATTTTCATTATTGTTGATTATAAGTGAGAGCAAAGTCCTAGCCCTCCAATGGTTGACCTTTCTGAAAATTTCGTTATCTCCCATTCTATTACTACCACACTTAACTGTTCTTGATCTACTTTTTTCATTGGGCACTATGTCAATGAAATGACTTTGGTCAACCCTTTGACGTGGCCTTTACTAGCTGCTCGCAATTACAAATGGGAGCAAAGTCTTTTTGAGCCAGCTCCTTTTGAGCACGGTCTCAATCTCACAGTGCGCTGAATTCGGGACGACAACAGGCTTTGACGCGAGGAGCCGTTTAAGTCAGCATGTTGACGTTGGTCAGTACAAGGAGCGCTATACAGCCATTTTTTCTCTGAGTTCGGGTCGGTACCACCCAATGCCTACTACGCCCAGAATTAAAAATTTCCTCCCCTAAGTCAAAAGGCCCCTCTATGGTTGACCTTCCAAAAAGTCCATTCCTCAGTCTCTAGACACGGTGGAAGGATCAAAACGCTCTTTTCATGGAGGATGGGGGGAAGGTGGGAGTTGAGAGAGAGAGAGAGAGAGAGATGGGTATAAAAAAAGAAAAGAAAAGACCCATTTCCGACGGCCTCAAACTCCATTTGCCGCAGCTCTCTCTCTCTCTCTCTCTCTCTCTCTCTTCCTCTCTCACTCTGTCTCACTCTCTCTCACTCTCAAACAAACAAACAAAAAAGCCAGTAGAAAGCAGGAGCAGGACTTGAAGGAGTACACGCAAAGAGGACGGATTGCGTGGTAGAAGAAGGAACCCAAGCGAGCGCCAAATTACCCGCCGGAATGGGAGACGGGGGACGTGGTGAACTGGCCGTCTTTGAAGGCATGGACGAACTGCTGAGGCAGCGAATGCTCCACCTGGGAAAGGGATCGAATCGAAAAAATGATAAATAATAAATAAAAAAATATGGGAATTTAGGGTACCACCAGGTGATCGATCATATCTGCAAGCTCTCGGGAGGGGTTGACCTTGATCCATTAAGTGGGCTTTAAATAATAAATAATAAAATACTTTCGACAAGGGGGTGGACGCATACCCAGTCATCTTCGGAACTCGCACCCGGCACCATTACGTTGACTTCACTAGACTTTGCCGTGGTGATCGATGCTCCCAGGGCTTCTTTACCGAGGTACAGCTGGCAGCCCGCAGAGTTGTCCACGGATATTGTCGGCGCTGACCCCTAGATGTGTCCACAACCCACGATGAGTACTGGGGTAAAAATATCCAAAACTAAACACTTCAAGTCCGGTAATTCGGGTCATGAAGGATTTTCCTTCACGAGATTACCGTTTCTGACATAAGTGTTGGATAAGGTAAGAAAAAGTCAACCCAACTTCAGTTGGTACGTTTTATGAAGAACCGCCGCGGGAAAGTCAACCTGTTGTTTTCCTAGGGATACCTACTCAAATCTTACTCTCTCGTCTTCCCCATGTAGCTTCCATGTCTAATCCATTTCTCTATGTTCTCCTGGTTATGCAGGAAAATAGACAGAGTGCAGAGAAGGAAAATGCATGGGGTAAATAGAGAGATAGGAGCGCAGAGATCCCTTCTACTTCCAAAGCGATCCAGTGGGATGGAAACTGGAGACTATGTTGAGAGAAAAATATATAAAATAAAATAAAATAGGGAGCTGCGATTTTCTATAATAGCAATATTCGAACAAATGCTCTCATATAATACCTGACACTGAACCTCAACACCACTGCAGTTGACGACCTCACAAGCAGCTACAACATCCTGATTCAATAACATAATTAGAAAAGAAGCCATTATAAGTAATTTTAGCATCCAAAAGATGCAGATGTAGAAATCAGTATCTGCTGCTCACAGTGAAAACAATCCCCATCTTCGTACACTTGTCAACGGTTATATTGTTCACTTTCCCTGTAAATTATGGAAGGAAAAAGAATCCAATTAACTTTGCATAAAAATAAAAACAAGAGATAGAAATAAAAATGTGAATACAGAACGGCGTTGTGGAGAAACACACAGATTCGTGCTATCACCTTTAACATGCAGAACAGAGTCTCTACATCCATATACGTATACAGACTGTTTTGTGTCACAATCATCAACGACCAGATTCCTCTTTCCGATCTGGTTTTCCACAGCCCATCTGCCGAATGAAGCCATGATGAAATAAATCGGGCGTGAAGTATCTTCTTGAGAAATCAAAACATTAATTTCATGCATTCATCCAAGTTTTCTCACTTGCGACCCATCTGAAGCTCCAATCTTGGCGGCCCTGTTTTAGAGAACGACAATGGACTGGTTCGTAATTCCTTTTCACTTGATGTAACGACTCCACCTCTGTCACTCCGATTTTTGGACTTCATGTCATCGGTTACCTTTCTCAGGCCTGCAAGAAATATTTCCATAAAAAACGGAGCCTAAAAGATGTCAATTCGAAATGTTGTTTTCCACAAAGAGACATCATACCAGCTGTTACAGACTTGGTCGAGCTAATCTCCTGAAATACAGCAGACATCCCTCCTTTCGGTTGTGATGGTGCAGCTTCGGAGCTAAAAAGTGGTCCAGATGGAGGAGGAGGAGGTGGCGGAGGATCATTTGTCTGGATGGGTTTCGCTGCCGAAGCAGAAATAGAACCGGAAGCTAGAGCCTTGCCCGCAGCACCCCACTCAGGACCCAGCGGATAAAAAGACTTCACAAAATCCCGTAAACTGGGCAGGTAAAGCTCTTTCAGGGATTTTGCCCATTCCACATGGTTTGCATCCTTATTTCTGTACTCCACAAGGATCTGCAAAATAAAATGCAAACTAAAAAATCCACTACCCCAAAATCGTTTCGTTCTTTCAGAATATGCAGGCATCGTAGTAAGCAGCGAACATTTTCTGGACGATGTCTAACTTCCTATGTTTGCAACTCAGAGAAAATTAGTGGCGTAAAAATCAAAATAAGCCCAATAATTCATTTTATCAATGTGCCCCCGGGCATCACACAAAAAGAAAAGCTACGTTTTCCATTAGATAATATTAAAATATCATAGGGAAATTTTTTATGCACAGTAAAAAGAAAAGAAAAATTACAAATATGTTGCGATGTTAAGGGTAAAGCTACGTTTTCCCTTAGATAATATTAAAAAGTATTATTTTCATTTAGCAATCAGTAAAACCAAAGTAATTGTAATTGACATGTTCATAGGGAAGGGATAGAAACAAGGAAAATGTACGAGCATTTGGTCTCTAGTGAACTCGGCGAGACTGATATATATACATAGACGAGCTGTTGTATAACCCTCGAGTTATTTACTTAAAAACTAAGACGCAAAGGTTTCCAAGGTGATCGCAGGCTGATTGTCTGGCAATCCTCATACCTGATTCCAGTGAAAAACCAACAAGCCGATTTTGAATAGGAACAAAATCGTACACTACCATGAATTGGGCAACAGATTCTTTTTATATGTTTATAAATAGTTTATTGCGAGAATTTTAGGTAATCAGTCGGCTAAAGCTGTTATACATAGTTGATAATGCACCATTAAAGCAAAAATTAGCACGTTAAGCATGCAGTATGGGCGAAACAATGAAAGAAAATGTTGCACACCTTGTTATTGTAGAATTCAGCCATCTGCCAACTCTCTTCAACGTGTGCAATTGGAAGACTCATGCCTTAGAATGAAAAAATAAAGGATGGAAGAAAATATAAGCATAAATAATGCGTCATGTTCGACAGAAGGAACACAAGGAAAGATCTACGCAAGAAGACAAGGTATAACCTTCACTCACCACAGTCTTTGCCAGAGTAGGCAATCCATGCCAGAGCTGTAAGACTGTCGGCAGCACTCTTCAAGTGGTTGAAGACCTCAGAACGCCTTCCTTCCGTCAGCGCATTTGCTTTCCCGATGACTTCATTTAGTGGCTTCAGAAATTCTATCAACCCTGGGGTATCAGGTTTCTGCATCATTGGTTTAACGACAACGTCAGACTCAAGGAAAGTGCCCACTAGATTTTAACAGAGACTGATTTGAATAGTAAAGGATTGCAAAGTGATAAAGCCAGATCACGAAGGAAGCATTTCACTCTGAGACAAAAACGATCAGAAGAGAAGAGAAGCGGAAGCAGATCAAATAAAATTTCAGCAATCCAGAGCCTTAGCTACAACCGAATGCACGAGATCAGCGCAATGACCACCGAAACCTAAGAACTAAACAACGAGATGGAGGTCCTCTGGGGAGAATAATGGCATTACAGCCAACGAGCACCGACCTTGCTCTGCTTGACCTTAACAAGGAGGTCCCTCTGCACGGAGAAAGCCTCCTCCAGTATCTTCGTCGCCTCGAGAACCTTCCCCCCGATCTTCTCTCCCGCTGCCGATAACCTGCCGAGGGACCTCTCCCTCAGCTCATCGAATGCCTTCACCGCCGGATCAACAGGTTGCTGCTCATCCGCCTCGATCGACAGCTGCGATCCAGCTGAAAGCGCTTCAAGGCGAGCCACCGCCACTTCCAGCCGCTCCACCAGCGCCTTCTCCATTGTTTCCCTGCACAATCCGGGCGGGCCACTCCCCCTTGCGCCGCTTAAAGCTCTCCTGAGCTGGCCTCCCTCTCCGCCTTTCTTCCAGCGGAAGAATTTGTGGTCGCGAGATGGGGTCGGGAAGGCACCGAAAGCCGGTAGAATCGACCCCCCCAGAGGCCGCAGCGTCCGAATTATTCCTCCGAATTTATTTTTTTTTTCACAGATTAACCCGATCAATGAATCTGGGCCACGTGGGACACAAATTTGAGTAATATCCATATATTTAAAAATATTAATAAAATGGGTCCAGCCCATTTTTTTATATTTTCTGCAATATTATGAAAGAGGACCATTATCTTTTAAATTTTAAACTTATATTAATGATGGAAAACTGGGTCATCCATGGATCGGTTGGCCCGTCCGAGTTCTTCACTCGGACCGCCGATTCCGTGTGCCCTGAAACAAACCAGGGCAAGAGTGGACGTCGGAGACCACCGCGTCTCCTACATTTGACAGTTTTAGGTCGGGATCGTGCGGAAGGCTGGAGACTCTCCTGGTTGCTCGAGAGTTGTGACGGGGTGAAGACGGCCGACGGTCCGGGAGGGAAGATCTGGAAACGGAAGCTGGGAAGGCAAGGCGGCAAAGGCGTGCGACAGACCAGATCGAGCGCGGGATTGTGAACTTCCCGGTGTCGATTTCCTACCGAGAGTTTTGGTTTTCTCTGAGATCTCTCCATTCCCTCAGATTTGTCTGGAGATAGTCGGGGGAGAAGAGATCTCTTGATCCGAGAGATGATCACGCGCTCTAAGCTTGCAGAGCAGCTCAGAGATTACCAGATCCGGTCCCAGCACAAGTGGGCTCTCCTCACCATCTTTTCCCCCAAACCTCAGATCAACAGCCGGTTTGTGACAGATCTATTCACCTCTAGTTCTTCATATTTTCAAGCTCCTTTGTTCTTTCTTGTTTCTAACCGTATTTTATGGCTTTGGGAAATTTTACTTTATGGTTCTTCGGCCGTTAAATTTTCGCTAGATTTCGGAGTTTTCTATTTTATTTTAAATCAATGATACGATTTTCATTGTTTGCTTGCTGCAATTTTTCAAATGTTAGAGATATGATTTTTACATCAACCGTATGTGGTCGTCTTTTGGAGCTCGAGTTGAAGGACGGAGCGAATCTTTTTCTTCGGGGATATTACGGTTCACCTGCTGCGCATCTTCTCCAGATGCCCAAGATACTTTTGGTCTATTACTCCGTTTCGTCCTTGCACGATGTAACTTTTATGTTCAACTTGACATGTCTTCGTCTTACAACAGCCACTAGTAATTCAGAACAATAGGGATAATACGTGATAATCCAAGTTCCTGCTGTTCCTTGATATAGCTTCCTAATGCCTAGCAAAGGTGGAACGTCCGAGCGAAGGGTCTCAAGTCTATGACCGAAAATTGCTCATCTTCTATCCCATTTTGGTTTTTGATTGATTTTCTATGATCCCATTCATCAAGTAGTCTGACCTGCTGAACCTGCCAGTTTCACTTAAAATAAATCTTTTCTACGAGAACAGGCCCTGACCCAATACAATATATTGTCATGTGCTACATTAACTAGTCTCGAGGATGAGAACAAAGAGGGAAGTGTTTAGGTTAACAAGCAGTGAACAATGCCAATTTAAAGGGTAGTGTCTATGATTAGTGCTGGGGGGCATCAATTGAAAACATCATCTTCAGCCAGTACCTGGGCTAGAAACAAAATATCGAAGAAATGGCGAGTAAAAAATATTCATATTCAGAATCTGTCGTTTTCTTACCATTTGGCTTCACGGGGAACAACTCTTGAGATTGATGTACATAATGCTTTGAATCGCCTCCAGGTTACTTTCGAACTGAGGTCTTAATTTGGCTTCCAAGAAATACAGACAGGTTCTATTCTTTGTTCAATTATATAGTAAATCGATAGTCTTTACTAGTTGACCAGGAATATGAAACTAGTTGGAAAGATCATAATAACTACAACGTCCTTTGTGAGCAGGGAGAATGTTTGTGCTTGCATTTTTCATAAATTGTACTCGGGCTTTTTTATCCGGAGGTTTAATTGCCGTTTTTAAGTTTATTTGCTTGAGATTGTTTTGGAGTTTGGATATTTTCGGAATGTTCTGCACTGTTATCTTTGCCAAATTTTGATGAGCGAGTCATACTTTGTGACTTTACAAACAAGCTCAGACCATATTTCACTGACATGGAATATTGTTAAGAGGCAGATTCAAATCAGTTCCTTATTCGATTGCTTATCTTCTACAGTAGCCGGTAATGTTTAGAATTAAATCTTCTGAGATTAAGTGTTATTCGATTGCTTATCTTTAATTTATTGGTCATACATCATATAACCGGTGCATGTTTTCTGAATATATTGCTTCAATATCGTGAATGGTCAATGTTTATTCGATTAGAGTGACTTCAAGCTGTGATCATAAAAAAAAGTGCTTTGATTGTGACATACGTGCCATTTTTGCAGGGCTGATGTCATCGAAGCTCTATCGTGCGCCTTCCTCCTCTGTTTACTGGTAGTATTTTCGTATGTAACACTTAATCTCAGACACTTTTGGCTTTCGAGTTGCATTTTATTTCTTGGAATCCTCCTACCCATATGCCTGGCAATTTCTAGGCATAGAAAAGTTGCGAAGAAAAGGGAAAGAAGATTGCTACTGCCATTGTCCATGTGAGTGTCACATGCAGAATTCTTAATCTCTTTTGTTGACCAGAAAGAGTTTTATTCCTTGGAGAGCTCCTGTAACGTATGAAATCGTTCAGTAGCATCAAAGGCTGATGCTACTTATCAACAGCCTGTGCAAATCATCCTTGGGTTCCCTGTCGTTTGTTGCGTTTTGCTTTCAGCTTTTGTGATTGTGAAATATTCATTTTTCGTTACTTGTTATTTGAAAATGGATCTACTTTCTCGTACATTACTTCTTCTATGGATCCTTCTATTTTTCTCAACTCCCAGCAGTGATCTCAATGAGTAAAGTTGGATCATATTATTTCAGTTTTTAGATTTTCTTCTGTGAATGAACATTCTCCCATATTGCTTGGTGCCCCGTTCTGAACGTAGTACAGGGACTCTTGATTCTCTTGCCCTCCTCACGCACGTGATTCTCAACTGGCTGGTCAACCGGAGCAGATCCTCATTTCCAGTCCGCTATATTATTTATTTTTTGCATTAATGTTATCTCTTCTGTCATATTATTAATATATTTTTATTTTTCTCTGACCATGGTCTCGGATGATCTTCCTCTTGCATATATATCCTGTATTTATGAACATATTATTATTATTATTATTATTATTCTCATTTAATGAGCATAGCTTGTGGCAGATTATGAAGGATTCTTGCTTGGTATATATTAAAACTGCCTGGCCCACTGTCCTTCATGGTTCTCCTCGCGTATGTTCTTGAAGGTTTATGTGATTTTGCCCAGTTATGGAGGCTTGAAATTTACGTTTGTGCCAAGGTTTGACCAAATAAAGTCTCGATTCATATCCTCGTGACGTTTGAATGCTCAGTTTCTTGGTCCCTCCCTGACGGCCCTTCGGGGGTAGACCAGAAATTACAGGGTTCAAAGAAGAGACGTGTCAGGATTAGCTTGTGACGACCAGGTCAAAGGTCAGCGCCGCCCCACCAGCCAGGGTTGCGACCTGGCCCATCCCTGTTACTCTGAATCTTGTTGCCCGATTCTCCAGGTTTGGTTGGGGTCGGGCCCGGAAGCCCACGCCCATTTTCTCTGGTGACTTGGCTGTCTGTGGCAGGTGGCTATTGCTTGGTCAGCGCACCAGCACTTCGTAGTCAGATACTAATTATCTTCCTGTCTTACGCCCACTTTTTTAATATACAAATATGGGCTTTTTTGTGCGCTCAATAATTCGTAAAATGAGAATATTAAATATGAAAATGGATTATTTTATTTTTCAAGTCGCCGCTTCTGAATTAAGTTAATAACATTTTATTATAGAACATTAATTCTTAGAGGCTACGTGCGACCCACGCTAGAGTTAAGGCGGTGCGGAGCGAATATTCCACGCAGAAACTGCCGCCTTGCAAATTACGTAAGCGCTGACGTCAATTCGATAGCGTTACCCCAGCGTACACCGTCCGTTCTTTCCCAACAACCGCTTCATCCGGGCCGTTCGTGCTTTCCCAGCTCTGCTATAAAAACATTGTTAGACGAGGGAGTTATAGATCTATTCTTTTGAGGCGCCGCGTGGCGTCCTCATTCAGCGAGGCCAGATCCGCCCGGGATGCCACCGATCTCTTCGTTCAATCCGCTCCCCCTCTCCTTCCTGTCATCGATTCCTTCTCGTTTTGCGTTTTTCTTGGTTTTCGTTTTTGGTTTTTGGGTTTCAGGATGGAGCAGAGCGAGCTCGTCAGGTACGTGATGGCGTTGTTTATGCCCTGGGCGTGCTGTTCTTCCAGAGATGGATATATTTCTTAGATGTGAAGAAACACGGAGGTCTGTCGGAATCAGACGGTGTTTCATGCTTTCACCGGGCGGGCAGATCTGACGTTCACGTCATCGAACCTTCGGTCTCGTGCAGGAAGAGTCGCGGTGGTGGAGAGGTACTCGTAGCCAGATCATTTCGTTTTGTAGAAAATGATGGAAGGGAAGGAAAAAATGTTCTGGAGTGGCGCCGAGAGTTATCGGGGGTTGATATGTCGTGAGATGTATCAACAGGCCTTTGCCATGTTGGGTGCGCTCGCATGGCAGGTCACCGAACCCTAATAAAAGGTCTATTTCGCCGGTGTCTGTGGGAGGGGGGATCGCACGGGCCATTCGTTTTTGTCTGCCCGGGGTCTCCGCCTTCAACCTCTGCTCCCGCCTGCCTTTGGTCCTCCGGACGTCCTGTCTGGATCATCACCGTCCTCGCATGATGCTCTGTCCAAATACGTATAGCCGAGCGAAATATCTGCATCAACAATCCTATCTCAGTGGTCGTCCATACAGACGGTCCCTCGTATGCGGATGAGGTATATCGTTTATTTCTTGTGATATTAGCTTTTATTTTCTCGAGCGGATACCAAAAAGTTCGGTTCCCACACCGCTAACATTTATTTCGACGCTTCATTCCCTTGCGTGCAATATTCGGAAATATTATTATCTTTTTTTTATGCTTATGTTACTCAATTTAAACGCCTTTGGGATGTGCCAAGGCTCTTCTGATTGAACTGTGATGAAAGTTGTAAGGTCATTTTCGATCCACCGTTCCCTTAACTACCTCTGCTTGTGAAAAGATGACATGTAATATAGTTGTACCTGCATCTGTCGACCCTTAGGGTGGATATTCTCTGTTGTACTAGCGAGCGGAGGGAAGAAATGAAGCAGTTAACGAAGGTCAAGACTCTTTGGACCGATGCGAGATCTGCTTGAGGAAACTGTTGACGGGGGTTGTGATATTCAACGCCAGGAAAGCTCGAAGGGTGCGTTCGCGGCTGTGGAAGGGAGGAGGGCGGTGCATGCTTGCCCAGACGTCGATGTAGTGATATTCAACATGTGTTCTTTCGTACGACATGGATCATTTTTTCATAATAAGCTACCGCAGATAATTCTGATCTGCGCGAGCTTGATTGGTCACATGATTATTCTGCAAAATTAACTAGATTACTTCAGTTTGGTTCCGGGGTTCCTCGAATTTCGCGATTTATTTATATCGACAGTTCATACGACTGACATTTATTCACCGTAACTCGTCAAAATTTTCCAACTTATTTTTTCTAAACTTATTCTTGCAATATGCACCGTCGATATCATCTCCTGCGAATTCGGCCGGCGTTGGCGATTTTGACGGCGAGATTCTGCCATAGTCGTGCTTTTTCTCCCGCGATCCCCCTCAATCCTTCGTAATTTTTTATTTTTTTTTCCTCCCCGGAGGTTCTTCAACCCGAGTTATTTTTCTGGCAAATAATCATTATCAGCGTTGATTTAGACTGATCGTGTTTTTCGAAAAATCGTGTTCAATGCCCCGGTGCGGTGGTTCCTCGCTATCTTTCCTTTTTATTAACAGCGATTCGTAGTTCTTATGTTTGGGGATCACTGAGTCGTCCTCGTTGACAAATCCCCAGGGCATGGTCGGTGGTAGTACTCGGCGCCGGCTTGAAGCGTCTCGTGATATCCTCTAATTCCGCCATTGGCTTCCAATGCCGGTCCCAAGCCCGGATTAAGGAAGAGGGGAGGATATCACTGTCCCTGCATCGCTTTCTTCTCGTCTCCGGAGGTGCGCACCGGAGCTTCTGAGGAGGGAGAGGTGCGCACCGGAATCTCTTATATGGCGAATTCTCTGGATATATATTTCTGGCTGGTTCTCACACGTGTCAACAGAACGAGTATAGAAAATTTCCGCCACACCCTTGGAATCTAACCTAAAAGGTATATATACAATTACAGAGTCTTAAGCGTCACATGAGCCATAAGTTACGCATCCATCAGGGCCCTCTCTCCATTACCCTTTGTCTTCCCCCCACTTCCCGACAAAAAGACAACTGAGATGATAGAAAGAAAAATGAGCCGATAAGATTTTGTCACTATCTTTCCGATAAAATATGAAGATGCACGGTGAGTTTTTCAACAGGTCCCAAAATCACATGGGACATTGAGGGCATAGAGAGAGAAACTGGACTAGAATTTTATTTATCAAGGAATCATATTTTAAATGTATTATTTTAGAGAGAGAGAGAGAGAGAGAGAGAGAACTTGATTTTTATTTACCAGAGAATGTTTATTTAAATAAATTACTTTAGAGGGAGAGAGAAAGAGATCACTTTAATTTTATGTGTAGAGGAATCCTAATTTATTTTATTTATTTTAGGGAGAAAGAACCCTTGTTTGTTGTTTATCGATGAATGCTAATTTAAATAAATTATTTGTGTTGTGATAGAGAGGGACCCTTTAATTTTATTTATCAATGAATGTTGCTTTAAATAACTTATTCCAGAGAAAGAGAGACCTTGATTTTTATTTATCAAATTGATGCTAATTAAACAACTTATTTTAGAGAGAGAGAGAGACATTTATTTTTGTTTATTAAGGAATACTAATTGAAATAAATTATTTTCGAGAGAGAGAGAGAGACCTTGATTTTTCTTTATCAAAAGGAATGCTTATTTTATTTACTTTTTTTTGTTTGTGATTATATTGATATAGTTTCAGTAAATTATTCCGAATCCGGTGACGTGGGCACGAGTGCCTGTCCACGGTCAAAGTCCGTGAGAGCCACCGCCAGGTGCCGGTTGAGTTCACCTGCCCCAAGTCGAGCAATCCACGTGAACCCCCCCCCCCTCCCCCTCTCTATCTCTCTCTCTCTTTCTCTCTCTTTCGCGTCGGGAGAAAATCGTCGCCAGGTGTTCAGTAACGACTCTCTTCCACCCAATGAAACGGGGGCAGTGGGGGGTGGGGAGGAATATTTCTATCCCTTTCGCCAAGGGCAAGGGAAAGACGGTCCCCTGGCAGTGTCGAGGTCCCTGCCTTCTACACCAAGGCTCTTGGAGGTATGTACATTCATTATTCGGCGATTTTCTCCCCCCCCCCCCCTCCTTTTTTCTTTTTGATTAGCTCTCAGTGGAGTGATGCGAGAATTTATCGTGTCGACTGCTGCTTCGTCGGCTGTCGCCGGTGATCTTTGAATGGACTCGCTGGCTGCCGTAGGCCGACTTTCTCATTCTTCGTTGCTCTAGATTTGGATCTGGGATTTGGGGCCTTGCATCTGCGAGCGTTTTTGTGTAATTAGAAGCGACGCGCCTTTGCGGAACATTTCGTTGCCTCCAAGTTGGACCTGATCAGGCTAAGTATCGTTCTCCGATCGTATTCCGGACACAAAATCCTCGCTAGGTTCGGGAATGCTAAGCACCCTCAGATTAATAATTATAATATCATAGAAGGCATCTGGAGCTAATTATGACCCAATCCAGTCCAATTGCTTGCTCAATATCGTCGCGAAATCTCTGTTCTTCTTGTCTGGTATCGGACAGATCGAAGACTCTGCTCATCTATAGCTGATACTCATAACTTCAAGCCCACAGTGATTCTTCAAAGCATCGAATCTCTGAGTCTGAACCATTATTTATAGTTCTTTCAAAGACTGTCATCTCAGCATCTTTTTACTCCTTCAAGCCTCCTCGGCTTCTTTTTTCTCGAGTCGATCTACTCATCGGTGTGGTTCAGGATCTCATTTTCTGCTTCGTACGTTTATCAAAACTGCCAAATGAAATAAACTCTAATTGAAAACTATCAAGAAGAAAATATCAATTGTGGACAAACTAAGTTCTTGCTCCTTTTTACATGGATCATTGGTTTTAAGCAGTTTCTCAGTTCACTTGTCTATCATGTGTACAAAGACTTGCTCGAGCTTGGTCCTTAAGCTATGGGTGGTTCTCCTCATTTTTTGCTTTTTATTTATATCGACTCTTAGTGAAATATTTTTGATTTTTTGCATTATTGATTTAAAATACTGCCTAATTGCTGCTTCAGGTTGTGTTTGGCTGCAAATCAAGGAGACAGCCACTATGATGCGCAAAAGCCACCACCATCATGACAGCCACAATGATGAACATGTGAACCAAGAAAAAAAGGTAACCGTGGTGGATGGATCCTGAGATGTTTTAGTAGATGGAGCATGGGATTCCACTGAAGAAATTCATGTTTGCCCACTAACTCTCCCGAAAACTCTCTAGAAGTGCAACCATCTATATATGGTATGCTGTTGGCTTTCCTTACACTTGAGTAATTTCGTCCTCGCCATAAGATGAAAATGCGTAATCCGAGATTTTAATCAGTGTTTGGTCGACCCTCTTCAACTTTCAGCTACCTATCCCTTCACGTTGTGATTTTTATTCCTTGTTTGGCTGACAATTCTTATATATATATATATATATATATATATATATCAAAGTTTGCCTCTATCTTCTTTCCCTCTGCTCTTCTAGTTTCTTTCAAGTGCCTTCTTGAGTGCTTGAGAATGATGCATGTGATTGACTGAGCGACAAATATGGAAGTTCTTTCCCTGCTCATTGGTCTCGTGATTGCTGAGAGGCCATTTTTTGCGCTCACTGGGCCAACACCTGGTTCCATCTTGCAGAGAAATGACAGTGCACAGGCCAATCTGCCGGAAATTCACTACCGTTTTAAATTTTTTATTAGATCACTCTGCCATTAGGTCAACGCTCAATGTGACGGTGGTGATATTCTAGCTCACATCATTGACTAGCCCAATTATGATCAAACCTTCATGTGGCTGCGAAATATGATCGCCCTATTTCACACCTCATTTTTCCGTTGCTTCGTATGCTGTGAAAGATTTATTTTCTCCCTTTCACATAGAATATTGTTGCCCAGTTGCATCACTACCGTCTTCTATTGGGGTTTGACGCTCCCTTCCTTGAAGCAGGTCAGCGAGTTGAGAGCGGCGATCGGTCCCATCTCGGGGCGCAGCCTCCAGTACTGCACCGACGCATGCCTGAGGAGATACCTCGAAGCTCGGAACTGGAGCGTTGACAAATCGAAGAAGATGCTGGAAGAGACGTTGAGATGGAGAGCAGCATACAGGCCGGAGGAAATCCGCTGGGTGAGCCGGCCCAGATCCATACAGACTGCTCACTAGCTGGAAACTTGATTCTAAGAGGGCCCCACCTCTGCTGTTTCCTGTTTCCAGCACGAAATAGCCGGAGAAGGGGAGACGGGAAAAGTCTACAAAGCGGACTTCCATGACCTCGAGGGGAGAACCGTCCTCGTTCTCAAGCCGGGCAAACAGGTCAGTTCATCTCTGTAGACCTACCTTCCATATATGGATAGATATATGGGTAATAATGAGGGTACGTGTCCGCTGTGGAAACAGAACACGTCGTCTCACGACAACCAGATGCGCCATCTGGTTTACCTCATAGAGAATGCGATTCTCAACCTTCCAAAGGGCCAGGAGCAGATGGTCTGGCTGATTGACTTCACAGGGTGGTCGCTGACCAAGGCCGTGTCCATGAAGACGACCAAGGAGACCGCTCACATCCTGCAGAGCCACTACCCCGAGAGGCTCTTCTCCGCCTACCTCTACAGCCCCCCGAGGATCTTCGAAGCCTTCTGGAAGGTCAGCCCCTCTCGCTCGTTATCCTCAAATTGGGGGATTTTTTAAATTTTATTTTATTTTTTCTCTCTCTAGATCGTCAAGTACTTCCTGGACCCAAAGACGTTCCAGAAGGTGAGGTTCATCTACCCGAAGAACGAGGAGAGCATGGAGCTCATGCGGAGGAGCTTCGACGCCGCGACGCTCCCTGCAGAGTTCGGGGGCGAGAGCACCTCGCAGTACGACCACGAGGAGTTCTCCAGGCTCATGGCGAAGGACGACATCAGATCGACCGATTTCTGGGGGGCGGCGGATGCCGAGCAGGAGAAGCACGCCTGCAACGGGTACTCCTCGTCGGAGGTCGCACCGGAGCCGGCCGCCGCCGCCGGCCACGGGAGCTGAGGCGGGTGAAGCAGGTGATCGGAGAATTCTAATGGTGCAACAATTGCCTCAGTTACTTTAAAGCTTGGACTTAGTACCATCGCGTTTAGTATTTTCATCTGTAGCTTAATCGATTTGGGGTCTCTTCTTCTGTCCTCTTCCCTCCAACCCTGTTTTATACGACAGCACTCAAAAAAGACTGCTCTCCTCTTGCTCTCTCCTCCACTCGTCTCCGCAGGAGAGAGAAACAGTCAGAGGAGAGAGAGAGAGAGAGAGGGGGTGATCAAAGGATTCGCCTTTTGAAGTTCCTGGCGGTGGCCTGGTAGGTGCGGGCGAGAAGGCCGACCCCGATTCCGACGCCGAGGCAGATGCCGAGTCCGATTCCGACGCCCACCCTCACCCCGGCGTTGAACAAGGAGAGCTCCCCCCCTTCTCCGTCGAGATACTCATCCCTCGAGCAGAAGCTTCTGCAGTCTTCGTCTGCGGCATATTCCGGCTGACCGCCTCCGCCACCGCCGTAAAACTCGGCCCCCTGAATCAGTCAAAAGGATATTTTGAATCATCGGAAGAAGTAATAGAAGTAGTAGAAGAAGTAGAAGTAGAAGAAGAAGAAGAAGAAGAAGGATGAAGGTTTATTTATTTATTTACCAGAGAGCTCCTGAAGTCTTTGGGTTCGTACTCTGGAATCGAATCCAGCGTCGTCTTCCTCTGGTTCTTCTTCGGGAGACCTAGCTGAAGAGTCTCGGTGAGGATGATGGGAGAACCAGAGAAGCAGCCGGTGAGGTACACCTCAGCGGCCGGTATCTGGGCTTCCGCCTGCTGCCTCCCCTTTAGAAATCCGCCGTTGCCCGCCGTCGCGGCCGCCGGTGGCCAACACCTGATGCTCCAGGTCTTCCCTCGACTCTTTCCTTCCACGGCGGCGCCGCCATCGCCGCTGGTGAGCTCCAAGGCTCCGGAGAGCACCAGATCGTCCTTGTCGTAGACCTCGAACCTCATGCTGCCTGTCAACCTTATGCTGTCGGTTCCCACGAAGGTTGTCTCCTCCGTCTCCCTGTCGACCCTGTCCCTTCTGAGCGACGAAGACACGATCTCGGAGTAGATGCTGCTCCTCCTGCCGTTGACCTCGATGATGGTGTTGGGGGAGAGGGGGATGTGCGTGAGCGTTAGATGCTCGGGGGTCGAATCTTTGACCTCGAAGCCGGTGAATCTCACGTAGAAGACCCTCAGATCGAACCATGGGGACGATCTCTGCTGGTAGAGAGGATGCCTGATGATCTTCCAGTCGGGATGGGATTCTTCAACCCCGGTTGGTGATGATTCTTTGAGGAAATCCATCGTCTCAAGGTTGGGTAGATCCTAATGGCGACGGTCTCATTAGGACGGGGCACCGGAAGAAGTGGCCGCAGGATCGCCGTCCTCAACAATCTGCCAACGAAGACGACGGTACAGAGTTAGGGTTCTGCAGGGAAGAGGAGCAGGATTTGCAGTTAAGAGTATTAGGGGATGAAAAAAACCCACTTGGGTTGATAAACATGTGGCAATCAAATCGAAGGAAAAAGAAAACGTGAAAATAAATAAGAACATCAAATCTCTGTTCTAGGTTATGTTTACGCCAGAATATCGAGGAGATTAAAAGATTAATCGTCATAAATTCTTCTGCAAGTTGCATGATTCGAGCCGCAGGAAAAACATGATGAAGGAGGGCGGACGGACGAACTACTAGAAGAAATGATCCCACAATCGTCATCCCGCCATGAAAACCGACGACGGCATCAGCCCTGCGCCTTCTCTGCCCTCCCTCCCCCAACCCGCCTATCAGAGCTCCTCCACTCCGACCACAATCCACAGATCTGTCCACAGTTTTTTTCGAATTCTCACGCCAGCTCTGCGGAGAAAAGCACGGAGAAAGGGAGACTCCCAAGCGAGGAGATGGCATCCATACGTGACACGGGAAGCACAAACACAAGATCTTCCTCTCTACGAAGAAAATTTTCAGGAAGAAGTCAACAGCGAGAGGGGGAGGGAGGTACCGTCATCTCGATTACAGGGATCTGACGGCGGATTGGGGAACTGGCCGCCCGCACCTTCCTCCTCCTCCGATCTCTCGTCCCCTTTCTTCGACCGCCACCTCCGCGGGAGTTCTGCGCAGGACGAAGGACGATGGAGGACGAGTCTCTGATAAGTTACTCTTCCACCATCACGCGGTTATAAAATTTTTTTGGACGGCGGCGGTCCCTGCCGTCGGTTTGACCCCTCCTGCAGATCAGAGCGACGAAAAATAAACGACGATTAAGAAGAAAATGAGAAGAAGACGATGACGAGTCTGAAAGGGATCAGTCATCCCTATCAATCCTCGTCCCCACGATTTTGACGATCGTCTAAAAATACACTGATCTCTGACCTAGATGATCGGAGAACCATATAAAACCGAGAAGGGAATTGCCTCCGCGGTTGTCCACCAGAGGCCGAGAATTTCCACACAACTCGGGGTGCTGTTTCCTGCAGAGAGCGCCGATCGGTTTCCTGTTCTCCTCCGGCGATCTCAGGCCGGTAGGCCCCGCTGTCGTCATCCACCTCCACCGCTCTTCTTCATCCCTCTGGCGATGATCTTATCCGCTGGTACTCCGTCCCGCCACCGGCGAAAGCGACCTGCAAGCGGACTCTCTACTCCTCCCCGAGTTCTGTGAGGGAGACCGCTTTCAGCCTAAATCCTCCTTTCTAAAATCAATATTTTTTGTATTTAATTAAAATAAACTAGTTTAATCTATTTACGCCGAAAATTACTTATCAGATATTATTATTATTTTTTCCTTAAATTGGGATGAGTCGTGGGGGAGACGTTGGGCGGGGCCTGGTCTTGGGATGGCCCCCCCACCCTCCCCGCTTTGACTAACCACCTCGAGCGTCTCAAGTGCTTTGAGAAATTTGAGCCGGGGATAACTAGTCAACATAGATCATTGACTTTTGCAGAAACAATGGAGACACGAAGACCGCGTGATATCGCGATGTTACGGCGTTGATATCCCGTTCAGAGACGAGTTTTCAAAGCCAAAATATGACGACGGCGAATTAGTTAAGTGGGCCCGGAATTCAACAGCTTCACAGTTTCAAAGCCCATTTAGGTACTTTGAGATGGGCCTCTTTGACTTCTCTAGTTGAAAATGGAAGTTAATAGGCTAATGGGCTGATCCGGATGAAATCATGTACAGCCCAAAAATCGCCTGGTCCGGTTCTACTTTCATTAATGGGCTATATTTTTGAGGTTTATGGGCCAGGCTTGATTGCAGCCCGGACCCGGACAAGATGTTTAATGGGCTGGGTCTAATCTCATCAGGAGCTATATTTTTTTGTCCCATGACCCATGGGCAACCCGACCTAGGATTTTTTCACTTGTGTCCTTCTCTTTATCGTCAATTTTGCGAAATGTCGTTGTTAGATAAATATAATGTTTGAGGCGAATTTATGATGATGGAGATTTTAAAAATGACTGTCACCTCACATAAATTGAAGAAAAATGAAGATTGTACAAATAAAAGGTTTATTTTATTTTATTTTATTATTTATTATTATGATTACGCCCTCTTTTCGTACCGCAGTTTTTGAGTAATTTTTGGAGGGGTTTTACCTCCCCGTAATACCACGAACTAGGGAGGAATAACATTACCGCCCCCGTCTAGTTTGATATTAAGCACAAGTTCCTTAAAACTCTCGGCCGCGTCCTCGTGAACTTATCGATAAGGGTTTATATACAATATTAAATAAGTTTTTTGTATACATTATTCATTTTATGTGCTTTTATTAGAAATAGGAGCGCCCCCCCGGGTCCTGGCCCTGCCGATCTGTATGAAGCCCTAGTCCACACCATCTCTGTAGAACGTACGCACCTGCTTCTTTCTCTTCCGCCATTGTTCTTGTTTCTTCCTCTCCCAGTTCTCACCCACGAGGGCTTCTCCCATCGGACCACGCTCTTTAGTGTCGGAGCATCCTCTGCCGCCTCAATTCGCTTGTTGCTGATCTTTACCAGCAGACGCAGCGTCACGGTCACACTGCGAGGTTGGGTAATCCTCTTGCCTCCTTTCCTCATTGTTCTTCTAGTAGATTGTGCATCCCACGGAAATGAGCAACCCTTATATCTGAAGCCGCTTGATGATGTGACTGTTATGCTCTTGCGCCCGATCGTGGAAATGCAGCACACGCGGCAGTGATGGGGAACCACTGAAGCCATTGAACTGTTGGTTGATATGCCAATTGTCTGTTTGCACGCTTTCCGGTTTCTCTTCATGGGAAAAAGATTACCATTGAGATCACTCTCTGTAGCAATGTTTTCCCTCATTCAAACGCTTTGTGGCTTTCTTTGCATCCTGAAAGGTAGAAAAATTATGGTCATTCGGCATGTCAGTAGCATCATGTTAGTATTGTAGATGAGCAACCCCCTACCATCTGTATACAGGGAGAGCACAATGACGGGGAAATTCACATATTACATGGTCATAGTATGAGGAATTTTGTGGAAGAATGGATCGTAAGAAGTTTTTTGTTGAATAGGCTATACTTTTCGCTGAACCAATGCTTATATCGAGATTAAATTGTGACTAATCATTGCGTTCGATTTTCTTCGATAAAAGTCACCGGAACTGCTTTGGTTTTCTCTGTCATTCCATGTCTTGCGTAATAAAAATGTGTTTTAAAGATGAATAAGTGATTATGTAGGATTTACTAGGAAGAAGGAGATGGTAATCATAAGAAATCCCACTTGGATGCCTTCTTGCAGAGGTTTATTCGTGAAAAGTCTTTCTGATCTAGAAAACTTGAAATTGAAGATATATCATTAAAAAAAAGATGATCTATCACTGAAGGCAAGAGTATAAAGAGAAAAAAATGTAGCCGTCGCTGTTTTGAAACATAAAATTCTAAGAAACAAGTTTGCATTACAAACTCTGTTTAGAAATTTTTTTTTGATGACCCTTTTAGTGAGAAAAAATGGAACGAAACAACTCCTGCCTTCTTCTAAGCAAACAGCCCAGAAAGAAACGAGAAATAGATGGAGGAATGTATCATCACGTAAATGAATCTCTTGAAGTTATGGTAGATTTATCTAATTTTTATGAATAGTAGTTGTTGATGTGAGCTAGTACTCCTGCCATTGCGACTGCCCCTTATTGCTTCTGCTTCTGGAAAAAAAAATGGCCGTAATCAGTAGCCGCCATTCATTGATTGTCTATCCCTTCCGTCTCATGTTCTTTAGAAACAGTCTTTCACAGCAATAGCCACATTTGAGCAGGATTCCTTACCACAATTAGAAGCATCACTAGCAGAAGTATCAATCGGCATCATCGACTACCCTTCCCACTATCAGTCATACATTTTTTTTATAATTTTTTTTTTTTGTGTTTCCAACTTACGCACATTACGACCCTTTCTTCCATTCATGTCTTACCTTCTGGAAGAGAGATTATATGAGGAAAATAAGTAAACGAGAGGCCGACAAGGCTTTTGGAGCCATTACATATTTAGTTTATTATATATTTTCCAATGTTTACCCTCTGCATTGGTCGTAAGTTTTCCAATGTCCACATGCATGGATGACTTCTCGTTCAAACTTTTGATGTTCTTGAATATAAACATGTTGCACGTGTTTCTTGGAAGAAACATATGGTGAGGTATTTATTGTACTCTTGCATCTCGAGACTGTCGAAGATTCAATACAATTCTGACTCTTCAGACTAATTGATGCAAATATTCGAGGGATTATCAGTTTTTCTTGCTAGATAAATTTAATGACTCACTTCCTGTTTTGAAGGACTTTATTTTAGAAAAGAGATTATTATATTCCATTTCATTTTTGGCTGTCTATTAGTTGAAGTCTGTTCAAACGGGTTCCTTGGGACAAAAATTGATTCTCATATTTTGTACAAGGGAACTACATACTCTTCGAATTATTAAGAGTGGAAACTATGGGAAATATTTCATCTACCCTCTTGATTATGTTTGGTCCGTTATTACCCAAACTATTCAATCTCAAGCGTTTCTTCCTTCCTGCATATTTCCACACAGATCAGGAAGTGTTGTGATGAATCTCTCGGCCATATGCCGGCGGGTAGGTCTAAAAGAAGTAATTTCTAGCTCTCCTGCATACAGTGGTTCCACCGGTGGGTACCCTCCTCCATTGCCTGTTCTTCTTCCTCCTCCATTGCCTGTTCTTCTTCCTCCTCCATTGCCTGTTCTTCCTCCCTAATGACTGAAAGCCTGGTTTTCAGATGCCACCGGAGGGCTAAGCCTGATCTTCATGCGGTGGGCCACGAAGAAGACAGCAGGGTCCACGAAGAACGGCCGGGACTCCAATCCCAAGTTTCTGGGAGTGAAGAAATTCGGCGGCGAGGTGGAGCTACATCCCATGATATTCGATTGAATATTCTCAATTACCAAAGTCTCTCTCTCCATTTTTTGCTAAATTTGGCCGACTCTGCAGAGGGTGATACCCGGGAACATCATCGTCCGCCAGAGGGGGACCCGATTCCACCCGGGGGACTACGTTGGTATGGGGAAGGATCACACTCTCTATGCCCTCAAGGAAGGCCAGGTGAGATTTGAGCGGCACAAGCTCAGCGGCCGGAAGTGGGTCCACGTTGACCCCAAGGATGGCCATGTTCTTCACCCTGTCTATGTCAACACCTCTGCAAGTGCTGAGTGAAGGTTCCTCTCTCTCTCTCTCTCTCTCTCTCTCTCTCTCTCTCTCTCATGGGTTGACATTTAGTATCCGTTTGGTTTTCTGTGCTCTGTGGGCTCGCAAACCCTATAGTTTCATGTTCTATGGAGACTGGACAGAGGGAATGCCTAGGATTTGGGGGTTTGACCAATAAGGTGCGATATATTCTAATGCCAGAGCTATGGCGAATGCATTTATCGTCATTGATGCATAAATAAAGATACCAATCAGTGGCGACCTCCAATAGATTAGGTCGTAATTCCACTCAATATTTCAGTTTATAATTGCCGAGGCCAAGCAGAAGGATCTCGCCAATGGTGATTGTCTTCAAGAGCTTCGTCTCCCTCTTCCTCCCTCTCCAGATCGTGGTTTCTCAAGAACTTGGGTTTCTTCTGTTTTCTGTGCATAATATCTGGTTATTACTCTCGTGGGTTCATGCCACCTTCATCTCTCACTCTCGCGATCTCTTATCCATCTATCTCAACATATTTATACACAAGTACATAATATCCCCCTCCCTCTCTCATTTCAAACCAATATTTTAGATGGCATTCGTATCACTCCTCTCCTCTGTCGTTTAGGAAACTTAGGGATAGAAGAGTACCATCTGCTTCAGAGGTTCATTCAATGCTGAAGTAGAAGAGAACCAGAGAGATTTCGCCATGGAGAATACCGCCTGTGGATGGGTTGTGTCTCATCTAAGGAGAAGGCATACCCGAATGCTAAGTTGCGTTGAAAAATATATAATATGGAACGTATGACGTTTTCGCATCCAGACCAAGCTGAACTACAACTGGCTCGGATTCCAAAGAAGCGCCCAGAAAACAGTATCCGTGGTCAACTCCTATGAAGCCCAGACTAGGACTGTATGGACCAGCCCTATTATGTACTTGGCGGCATGAACCCACGACCATAGAAATGAAGGTGGCACAATATACCTAAAGTCTAATTCCTCCGAGAATTTCATCGAGTCTGACCAGCCAGCTAGGGCTGTACCATCCCTCTTATTTTCGACAAGAAAGCCTCTTGTCCACAAGGTAACATATCATAAGAGGGATCGGAAGGGTCATCACAGTTACCAGATGGTTAAAAATGAGGAAGAAGAAGAAGAAGAAGAAGAAGAAGAAGAAGAAGAAGAGAAGTAAAGGTGAAAAGAGAGCATTGTTTCTCCAATCGCTGATCAAAATCGAACAGGATTTGAGGATTATAGACGAAGAAGACAGAAACTTGACAGTGGCAAATAAATGAATCCAGGGACCAAATACCTAAAGTCGAAGCATTTCAATTTTGAAACTTCCTTGAATGCACTGATTACTACAAATAAATATAAAACATCGATAAACAGATACACACTATTTTTATATCTCAAGCTTAAGCAGGGTGACCATCCTAGACATATTCAATGCAGGTCGATTCTCTCTGGATTGCAGGAAATAATTTTTTGAAAAGTTAGGCACTCAGCAAATTATTGAAAGTTCTGCGTGTCGCATGCATTTTATTTATTTATTTTCGATGCATCTTAATTACTTTCATATTAAATAATTATCCCTATCTGATGTCACTATGTCTTCAAAATATACACAGACGGAGGAAGCAGCGTGGTTGGATAATGCGATCAATGCAGAGCAGTTAGGAGGGGAAGAACGTGAAGGACTAGGGTCAAGGAGTAATGAATACATGGTCCTCCACATTTGTAACTTGAGTTCTTTCTTGAAGAAGTGAGAGATGAGCTTACAGTGATTTTGCAGGTCAAGTCAATAAGATTGAAGGACCTAGGTAGAATGCGTACAGATTGTGTTCTCAAAGGTGATTGGGTCCAGAGAAGGGGAGAGCAAGCTTAAGAAACTGAGCACAGCGAGGGAAAGATCAACATATTTTATAGGGAGTCAATCCCAGATGTCTCCTACCAAGGTCTCCTAGATTTGTTTTACATATATATTTCAATGACTAGAGCTTGCTCACTTCACCAGATTGTTCTACTTCCTCACCAGTTACACATCCACGTTGATTCACAACATCGGTTACAACCTTGGCCCTCGTGAATTTCGGCACCAGTTGATAGTTTTACAGACCCTCACAGCATTCCACAGAGATCTATCTCATTTCTTTGTTCTAGAGTGATGCTCGGTGGCTACTGCGGATCTTAAGATCCAAAAGGTCAGGGTTTCGACATACACTCATCCCCACCCCCACTCCCCAACCTAAAACTCGGGAGTTGATACAACAGGCACTCAAAAAGCCTACCTCGTACTTCAATTCTTTATACCATAATTTCAGAGCCCTTAATATGCTCATGCTTTTAAGAATTCAGTAGGAAGCCATGAGAACATATGAGTAATTCCTCTCTTGCTCAGAGGCTGAATGAAGTCGGCATATCCTGATACTCTTATGGAAAAAACTAGGTAAAAGCCATTGAGATTTCTAGAAGAGTTTTCAAGATGAAACCAGATCTTCAGGATCGAGTCCCTTTCGCAGCCATCTGTCTATAACAAAAGAATGGTGCGGAAAGGAAAAAGGGCGGTTGAAAGCTGCAGCATATTCGAATTTAGATAATTATAGTAATTCTGGAGGCAAAATACTTCAATATTCTCCACAAAAACTAATCACTAATACATTACGCTGAAGGAAAACCTTTATGTCGATGCATTAATAATTAATAGAAACCCCACTTCGCTACATGTTTTTTTATCATAATACAGCTGAAGAAAACCCCGAATTTCTTCGAGGAGAAGAGCATACATACATGGAAAGGCCGGGGCTTTATAGCCAAAAATTACAAGGGTCAAGAAGAAAAAAAAAAAGAAGAAAAAAAAAAGAGGAAATTTCACCTTGCAAATAGCGAGGCTCTATCCTATTCGTTCTGCTAAATTAGAACAAATAAATGCAATAGATGATAGTACACTCTGCTTACCTCTATAGTAGGCCATGGAGAAAATCCAGACGTCAAGACTATGTACATGGATATACAAATTGGCCTTTAATAATTTCCCACAGCTTGATTCCAGAGGAGCAATAGAGTGGCAAAGAGATTGCAGGCGCACCCATCGATCATCCTCTCAGATCTTCCCACCGACCGATCTCAGCCGCATCTCGACCAACCGGTCGTTGAATTCACCATCGCTGACCTTGAGCATGTTGGCAAGAGACATATCCTCGAACCCATTCTCCACCAGAAGCCGGTGGCGCGGCTTAATCTTTCCCTCGAGACTGAATGAGAAGTATTGGGGGAAATCCTTGAGCTCTGAGAGGTCGCGCCCCATTTCCTCAACCAGGTACGCCACTTTTGGGCGGAAATTCTTTTCGATGCTGAATGTGAACAGGCCCGGCGACCTCAGTACCATCTTGATAGCCTCCCTCCGGGAGAACCCAAGGTTCTGTATGTACTCCAGCTTGGGAATGAGAGTACCCTCGACGCTGGACACCAGCAACAGGGTGGTCCTGCAAGTAATCCGGTGGACTCCCACGAACCCTAGACGCCGGAGGAAGTACAGCGCCGGCAGGAGCTGGTCTTCCACGCTGGTCACGAGGAGGCGAGGGCAACGCAGGACAGCAGTGGGGACGTCCCTGGGAGGGATGCCCGCGGGGCCGAGAAGGAAGCGGAAGACAGGGAGGAGGTCGGCGACGGGGTCGCAGGTGAGGAGCTGGGGGTGCATGGACAGAATGCGACCGGCACCTGCTGGGTTTGGGGGGAGCCCCATGGAGGAGAGGAAGGCGGCGAGTTCCCGCAGAGACGAGAGGGAAGCGGAGCGCAGGTGGGGGTTGCGGGAGAGGGCCTGTGCGGGGTCGATGCCCAGGTTTCGCTCGAGGTACAGGAGCTTTCGGCGGAAGAGGAGACCCGCGTCGGACGGAGAGGACGAGGTGGGGATGGGGATGGGGGGGGTTGAGCTGCTGTACGCGGTGGTGGAGCTCCGGCAAGGACGAGTGGAAGGATAGCCGATGGGTATGGAATTCGGGGTTTGGGGGGGATTGGGGAGAAGGGAGATGGTGTGGGGTGGGAGGAGCCGGGGGCGGATCATGGCCATTATCGTCTCCGGCTCGCTGCGGGGGCGCGCTGAGGCTGTACTCTGGGAGAAATATGAACGGCTATGGTGAGCATAATATATACGCTTTTATATCTATACAAATATACGACAAGATATTTCTTTTGTAGACTAATATCTCTCATCGTCTTCTGCATACTCTCACAATCTCAAGGATATGCCTAGAGAGAGAAAGAGCGGATAAATCGTGTCTATTATCAATTATTTACCATTACACACGCATTCTAACGGGTATGCTTCGTGTGGTATTTATCGATTCCTCCGCGTAACTGGTCGATATCCATTTTTTAAATCATTTTTTCCATAATTATTTATGTCGATGTAATTAACTATTTCCTCATCTCAATCTGAGCACAAAATAATAATAATAATAATAATAATAATATGCCACTCCAAACCGTTGACCGACTCATATGATTAAGAATAATGAATGGAGAGTTTATACCTCACGATCAATCTCTCTTGATCTAGCTTTCCAGTTATGGGTCTTTGGTTTTTTTAATGAGCTACCTCGAGCTACAACTGGTTGTACTCAAAAGCTCAATCACGATCAAAACCGGGATTCTGAAGATCCTCGATCGGAGATTCTGATCCTGCCATATTTGGGTTTTTCTTAATTTCCATGTTTCTGGGAGAGATTAAGCGGCATTAAAGATCCTCGATCGGAGATTAAGAGAAACAATGCGGGGACGATAGTCGGGAGAGATGGAGGCGATCAGGTGGAGAAACCCAGGAGAAAAACATGGAATTGTACGAAAATAGTGTTACAACGAATCTCCTTCTGCCCGCCGTCGGCCGCCTTCTCCATCTGCTCTCCCCTCCCTCCGCTCACCTACCAAACGAATCTCCTCGTTCACCCAGAGGGTGGAGAGAGAGAGAGAGAGAGAGACTTGGTGGTGTTTACTACAGTGGGGAGCCATGGCGGCGTGATGAAGCAATCAAGCTGGACTAGCCCTTAAGGGTCTGGATGATGGTGTTGTGCCATGGGTCGGCCAGGTTCTGCGCCAGGTTCTCGAAGGGGCCCTTCCCTGTTACGTTGTGCTGGATAACAAACCCTAGGAACGGCAGCATCGCCAGTCTCCCTGCAACGAGTTGCAGAAAACAGAAGAAACCCAAGTTCTTGAGAAACCACGATCTGGAGAGGGAGGAAGAGGGAGACGAAGCTCTCGAAGACAGTCACCATTGGTGAGCTCCTGCTCATTTCATATGAAATGACTAATATACCCTTATGACTAACCATAATTCACAGTAGGTGCCATCTCAAAGGGACAATCATTCAGCCCATTACTGCGGTGGGGGTGGGCCCAAACTCAGCTGCTGTCTTCGATCTTGGGCCCTATCTAATGGGCCCATCGGCGTCGACCGATTGAGGTTCTCACGTAATCGGACACCCATTGGCATTTAGGTAATTTTAGAAATAAACAAGGATTTTTACAAATGTGGGCCATACCTATCAATTTCCGGGCCGCCGTCGCCACACGCGTCCCTTCGATTGGCGGGCTTTCGTCTTCGGACCATCCTCTTAATCTTCTACGGACGACGTTTTGGGCCATTGTTTAGTCAAACAAAAGTGGGCCATGGAGAGATTTCACGGCCCAATGTCCCCATCACATGCGTGTCTTGACAGTCGTGCTTTCCTCGTAGCTGACTGACCTGAATTGGACAACCCAATAATTTTAGAGCCAGCCAACTTATGAGCCTATTCCCACTAACGTATGTAGAGAGAGAGAGAGAGAGAGAGAGAGAGAGAGAGAGAGAGAGAGAGAGAGAGAGAGAGAGGCATGTCATCAGATAAGGTAGTTGTTAGCTGAATACAGAAAGGGTATCCACTAAAACTGACGGCTTACAACCCGTCCATTATTTTATTGAAAGGGCTCCTGAATTCTGGGCGGCCCATGTCCTTGTCAAACCTCTCGGAGAGAGAGATGGAGGAGAGAAAAGGGGGCACGAGAGATTGCGAGGCTGCCACGTCGCAAGACAATGGGGCCCACTAGGATAATTCCCAAAAAGAAATAAAAGGATGGGCCTAGTTCTGAGCTGTTCGAGAAAAATAACGCTATGATTCGACCTCTATCACTTGCCATGATAACATAAACAACACATCCCATGATTGAAAACTGCATTTAATTAAAATAAGGTTAATTAAAATATTTTACATTCTTATTGAATAATATGATCTCAATTTCTAACATTATCTTACATGTTGGCTCCCGACATCTTCCAACATATTCTAGAAATAGTCTTAAAAAAATGGCTAGCACCGTGGGTGAGCCGTACTCTATTATTTAAATAAATAAATAAAAACGAAATAACGACTTGAGAAGTGATGGCGTCTCCATAATTTTATTTAATTCAGCTGAATTCTATCTTAAATGCTATGGGCGGCAGTGAGAGGGAGAGAGATAGAGACGGCTCTGTCAATGTGACTGGGTTCCGAGAACAGCGTTGTCTTTCTTTATGAATTACGTCTCTAAAAGTGAATGGGATCCAGATCAACGTTGCTTTTGTTTACTAATTATATCCGGGAGGGGGGGGGAGAGAGAGAGAGAGAGGAGAAGGGGAGAGGGGTGGAGGGATTCGGAATCAGGTCGGCGTTAGACTATATGCTTCTTGCCGACATAACTCTCCTGAGGGCCTGAAGGTGATCCGGTGGCACTTCGCAATCTTAGAGGGAAGTGATACGCGCTCTGAAGGAGCGCCGTGAGCTCACCTCGTCCGTCACACCACGCGCGCGAGAGAGAGAGAGGGAGAGAGAGTGGGTGTTATAAGACCTCTCACTTGGGCCCTTGGAGGCGGCTAAGTGCCCTCTTCTCCGACAAAAGTGAGCCTTATCCCGTCTTCGCGGCGGAAAACCCACCCAAAGCCCAGATGGGCTTCTGTCTTCCTTCCATCGGTTTCGTTTCCGAGTCACTTCACTCGTCGGGCATGGAGCTACCATCGGTCCCATGGCAGTTCGATCAGGTATGCTCAAAAACATCAGCAAGTCTCAGAAAAGAATCGTTTCTCCTTAGAACAGAGATTGATCGAAACGTTCTTTTCCAGGGGTTCGACGATCCGGGCTTCGTCGACCAATGTGACCAGATGCCCCCGCTTGGGGAGTTCATCTCGGAGGAGCAAATGGCCGCCGCGCTGGGGAACGACTTCCGGAACTCTCTCTCACCCGAGAGCCGAACTTCGTACTCCACCCTCGCCCCTGCGGAGAGGCCCTCAAAGTTCCTGAAAACCGGCGGCTGGAGCTCCTCCGACGCCTCTCGCAGGAGGGTCCTCTCCTTCGCCGCCGGCGAGGTGAAGCCGGAGGATGAAGTGATGGGGTTTTCTGTCTCCGTGGGTTCGGACAGCAGCTACGAGTCCGTGAAGGGGGAGAGATCGAACTCCGGAAGGAGATCGCCGTCTCGCTCAAAGGATCATTCGATCGCCGAGCGGCGGCGGAGGGAGAAGCTCAGCCAGCGGTTCATAGCTCTCTCCGCCATGGTTCCCGGTCTCAAGAAGGTACTTACTTCCTCGTATCCATGGTTTCATCGGACGCTCGGTTAGGACATTCACGCCAATGAAAGATTAATGGCCATGAAAAATCTGCTGTAATAATCGTCAATACATATTTCCTGGTGTACGCAGTAAAAATCGAAACTTCTGAGATAGAGGTCGATCGACGATGTGGGTTTTAGATTTGAGCTTAAGATTTTTTCAAGGCGGGACGAGTTCCAAGCTTTAGACACAACTTCTGCTTCCCCAACAGATGGACAAGGCTTCCGTGCTGGGGGATGCTGTCAGCTACGTGAAGAAGCTTCAAGAGCGAGTGAAGACGCTGGAGGACCAAGCGGTCATGAAGACGGTCGAATCGGCGGTCCCCCCCAAGAAGTCCCAGCCGGCGGTGGACGGCAACAGATCCTCCGACGACGGGAACTTCGACAGTCCGGCGACGGCGGGGGGCCTCCCGGAGATCGACGCCGCCGTCTCCGAGCGGAGGGTCCTGGTGAGGATACACTGCGAGAGGAGGAGAGGCGCCCTGCTGAAGGTTCTGGGGGAGATGGAGAAGCTTCAGCTCTCCGTCCTCAACGCCAGCGTCATACCCTTCGCCGGCTCCTCCTTCTACATCACCATCATGGCCCAGGCAAGCCTTCTGTATCCTCTTCTTCTCTGTTTAGCGAGAGAGAGAGAGAGAGTTCGAAGACTGAAACGAGAGCCTATATGGGTTCTTGCAGATAGAGGAGGACTGCTCCATGACTGCGAACGAGCTCGTGAAGCATCTCAACTCGGCGTACAGGCAGCTCATTAGCTCTAAATCAGGGCGCTCAAGCGTCCAACCGTGAACAAAGGGACGATGGATGGGCGCCTCCACGTCGTCTGGTTAATCCTCCATCGAATTAGGCCCCGGTGATGCTTCATTCATTTGGAGTCTCCTCTCCTCGTTCTTCTTCGCGAAGGGGACAAAGGATGAAGTGGCTTTTTGCCCTTTACCCCCCGCGGGCTCTTTTCCCTAACTCTCTTATCCTTTTTTCTGTGGTCAACTCGTGGACCAGGCTCCAGTAGGCGTGGGATTTCTATGTATTTCTCTCTTGTGGGTGGCCTGTCGTTTTGACTTTTCTTTCTCCTCGTTGTTCGGTCGTACTGGCACTTACGTTTAGGCCCCCTCATCTTGTATATTTTGTGAAAAAGTCTAGTTTTATTTATTTATACTAAGACACCCCTGTAACATAAGTTATTTCAAATAAGTACATCATAGCAACGCTGTTCGGGCCCAGCCATCTAGCGTACCTCGGTGGTATGATCACCTAAGGGGTAAGTGACCTTTTGTGACGGATCTAAAGCATTTGTCCAACTGCCATAACGGTCGGAGAGAGAGAGAGAGAGAGAGAGAGAGAGAGAGAGAGAGAGAGAGAGAGAGAGAGAGAGAGAGAGAGAGAGAGAGTGAGAGCAGTGGGGGGTTTCGGCAAGGGGGAGGGATAACAAAAAGAAAGATCACCTCCTAAGTCATAAGGAGCCGCTTTGTAATGGGAGAAGGTGTGCACCACAATGGGGAGGTTATTTCTTTGATCTATCTCCTTGACTAACTCCTTTTAAGATAGCTTCTTTCATCTTCTATATGCTGAATCAAATCTTATGTAATTATTGAATACTAAATGATTTCTCTGATTTTTGAGTTTCATATCAATGTAGATATACATATATGAGATTATCATTAAATTTAATCTATCTTAAAATAATTCATTAAAAATAAGTATTTATGATTAAGATATCTCCAATAAGTATGTGTTAGTTGTAATTATGTCTAGAGATTAATTATTAATTTTAATTGTACGATGAGGAAAATAAAAAAAAGATACTAGGAGACAACAAGCACATCTTGTCTATTTAAGGGGTAGTAGTCTTTGGATTATACACATCTAGAGTCACTTTTGAAGCATCTTATCACTCTAAGAGAGAAAGTCAAAGTGTATATAACTCAATTGTCTTAACTTTTAAAGCCTAGAACCTTATTTGAGTCACAATGGGCTTAAGTGTGTTGCTCTTTCTCTCTTTGTCATCATTCTTCATGAATCAATACTAGATCTAAAACTTCTATCACTAATTTCTTTATTTTTACTAATTGCTACATGAATATGTTCTAATTCAACTTTAATTTGTTACTAGATTTTTCTTTAATGTTCTTCCAACATCTCAATCAATGTCTATTAAAAAAAATAGATATGAAATAGTACTTTATGCAGATCAGATCTAATTCACATTAACGTACACATGATGATCATAATGTACTTATTAGAAGGAAGAAGGCCTATATTGAAGGGAAAGTTTGAAGTACCAGTAGAACCTAACTTAGATGGAGATAAATCAGATATAGGATGATGAAATTCTTTATTTGTCCCCAATATTGATGACTTTGGGCATTATTGATGTCATTGTAGTAAAATTAATGGAGCAGTTCTTAGAGGAGTGTTGTGATAGATAATTAGATGTGTCTAAAATAATTTGATATATATATCCTTGATGGTATTTTCATCATCAAGGATAAAGTTCATGTAATACATCAAGTTTTTTCATTTGTTTCAATCACCTTGTCACATCACCTTGCCATCTCATTACTTTATCTTACTATCTTGTCATGCCTCGCCGACTAATCTCCTCATCTTGTTGTCTTTATTGATCTGTCTTATCATCTTATTTTATAACATGATATTATAGCATAGTCTATCTCATCTTGGTTGATCTTGTCTCTACCTCAAAACAAGTACTATCAAGTTGACAAAGGGCAATCTAAAGCTATAAATTATGTGAGAATATTTATTGAGTCACTTGTCATTTATTTTATAAATATTAAACATCTTAGTCAATAAGTTTGTAATCTAGTATCTTCTAAAAATATCAATTACCGAAATATTAAAATTTATCACAGTTATTTGATGTTGTTACAATCATATTCTTCATTTGATCGATCAGTTATGAAATATTTGACATATGATTTACTTTACATACTTTATTTAGTTGATTAAACACTTTGCAATGGAATAGACCAATTACATATAAGGAGAAATAATAGTGATAAAAACAAGATTGATAAATATCTCATCATTATATATTTTTGTGGAAAATCCCACCAATAATTCTCATGTAAGTAAAATGACTAACTCTTTGATAGAAACAAATTTATGAATTACCTCCACAAAATTGGTGCAATATAGTTATTTTACATAGGCTGCTACTGCAAACTTATATCTTAGAGTTCAAGATAAAATCAAAGACATACTTTTTTTGGCTACATAACCAAATGTTGTAAACCTATAACATAAGTTCTACGTTTGTGAAAATAGCTTAATTATGTCATAGATCTTAAACTATGTTAGCTCAAAATTATAACAAATGATCATAGACAAATAAAATACTAGTGATATGTAGAAAATGTTAGAGGAAATGTTCAGTCATCACAAATGCACAATTATGTGTTATCAATTGACTTTTAATATCCACTAATTTAAATGAGGATCATTATATATTAAAAATTATTTAATAATTTTGCAGAGATTGTGGGATGAGTTGGAATCATTGTATTTCAGTGATTGACCTTATATAGAAGTTTAAAAAGACATATGAGACATCTTCTAGAAGATTGTGTTTACGTTTCATATTGACTTGAATAATGAATATGATCCATTGAGGAGTTAGATATTAAACTTGTATCTTATTCTCACATATGAACAAGCTTACTATAAAGTGTTCAATGAAGAAGGGAGAAGACAACCGATAAATCGCACTCTTAAATTTGTCTAGTTTGAAGTGTGAGAACACTCAATTTTAGTTAGTATATAGAATATTTTTGGTTCTTACATCTTGAAAAAAAATTGACATAATATATAATATTAAATAAATTAGATATATGACACATGAGAATGTTTCATACTCAGATTTTTCTATAATTTCTATTCATGAGTTGATTGTTTTTGACATTGTAAAATTTCAAAGACTCATTACAACAACTATAAATAAGCAATCGGCCATCAATGAACATGATCAAGTTAACATGAAGTGAAAAATCTCACCCATCATATAATTTTGAGGTTGTTAGCTCTAAAACTTTCAATAACATGATTGATATTCTAACTCACTTCACTTTATATGAACTTGAGTAGAGAAAGTGATTGTAACTAATGGTAATCAAGCCACAATTCTTGGCAAAGACTTTGTTAAGCTAAATGATCACTTAACTTTACCTTTAACACTTTATGCTCCCTTACTTTATATGATTTACTCTCTATAAGTTCTATCACAAAATAATTAATTTTTTGTGCATTGTTCTGATCATATTATTTTTCCAAGATTTAAAGATGAAATAAATGATTGAGAGTGGTCTTGAAGTAGAAGGGCCCATATTTCCTTAAGCTTCAAAAGAGAATATTTCTTATGCCTATACATCTCAACAAAATAGAATTAAAAAAAATGATATTACATGTGCACTACTTTTTTATTCTCATATGTCAAAATATTTTTAGATAGAAGTCATACTCATAGCCTCATATTTAATAAATATAATACAATCTCACCATTCAATATCAAACTCTTTATGTATTATTATTTATTAAACATACTTTGAAGACATATAAATAATAAACTTAACTAGAGATTGATTAAATATATTTTCTTTATGTACTCATTTATTTATAAGAGTTATAAATGTGTTAATTATTTATGTAATATGTGTCAATAGTGTTGAGTTTTGGCTTGCATCAAGATTAAGAAGGGGGGGCCTGTTGAATTGATCTAATTTTTTTTATTTCATTCCTAAATAAGGTATCTTAGAATTTCATTCTTCACTTATAATGATGCATAAATGGATCTCCTAGTTTACTTCATATATACTATATTTTTATAGTGGTTCAATCAATTGCCTACATCTATTCTCTAAGAAACAAATTACTCTTGAGTTCCACTACTTGCCATTATTTAATCACAATTGTTGATTAAATAGCTCAACTCTTTTGAAGTTTCACCCATAATCTCCCTTCTAGATTAATGGCTCAACTCCTACAAAAATTTAACTTGAAATTTTCTTTTTAATTCATGACTTTAGAAGGCCACATTATTGTTAATAGGCACAACTGTCACTCATGATAAATAAGAGTTTAATATCACGTTTATTAAACAACAAATAATAATGATATTAATGTGCTATGTTGATGAAGAAGATGCTGATCAATGTCTGATGTTTGTTGTTTTCTTCTTATAAGGATGTTGGCTGAAGATGAAAGACATTACCCTTTGAAACTAGCTGATGATGATTGTTGAATACATAAATAATATTCTTCAACTTGATGCTAGTTTGACTAACCAACAAAGATCTCACAATTTCTCTTAAAGTTTTCTACAAAAATGTAGATAAGACTTTTTGAGGTTTTAGAGGGGTTAAAGATATGTATTCAACTCTAATTCCATTGATTTTTTTTATATTTATAGATAAATCTAATTCAAAATCTACTCCTATTTTCTACTATCTCACAGTGGTAATATTTATAAAAATATTTAAAAATTCAAACATGTAGAAAAGAAAATATGATATGCCCTTTGTAAGTTTAGATATCTGCAAGAGAAACTAATACATGACTTCTTTAAATTAAAATATAAATATTCTAATTGTATAAGTTCAATCAAAGACTAGTAAGGATTTGATATCATTAAAACATGGTTGACAACAGATATCCTAATAAGATGACGATTTAACAATCAAAACTTACTTGAATCACCTCAATAAAATATGCTCATCAATTTAACATCAAGTTAACATCTTGAAATATTATGTCACTATTTATAATCATAATTTTGGTGATTTAGATATCTAAAATAATTTTATAAAATAGATTATTTAATATCTAGAAAATCATGTTTGACTAAATAAGTCATATGAATTCAATCAATTTAATTGATATCAAAATCACTCAAAAATAATGATATAATATCATGAGTACAAAATAGACTAAATTTTTGTACCCATATTTTAACAAGACTAAATAGTTGTTAATTTTGATGTGCTTATCATTACTTTCTCACTATTATATATTTTGTAAATATGGACACTTTCCACAACATTATCTAATATGATAATTCCATATAATTAAATTAATCAAATATATAAATTCAATATTATTGATCATAAGTATGTTTAATGAATTATCATATGAACATTTAATAATATTATATTAAATTATATATGAGCACTTTAATATTATCTTGATGTCAAGCATATTTGAGATTAGGCATAATTCGATCATTTAATTGATCTTATGAATTATTTTCATCATCAAAACATAATTCATTTGATGCTCAACAAAGAGATGTTGCCTCTGTCATGTATAATTTTTTTTATTATCATAAGTTTATAATTTTGGGGGTGATTTCTTATTTAATCCTTGCCCATTTCCATCACTTCATATTAACTTCATGTTATATGTTCTGTACCCAAATGATGACCTACACCTTGAAAACATAGTGCCATATGCGACTTTAGTGAAAAAATCACTAGAAAAATTTAGAGTGTAGATTGATAAATAATTAATTATGTATTCTTGACATAGTAGAGATTGATAAGGAAATATTGACTATAAAATCATTATGTTGTAAAATTTCTATACTTTTGAATTCTAAAATTTCTTATATTTTAAACTTATAGGAGTTGTTTCCTATTGCTATATAAAATGGAGTTAATTATTGTACAAAACACTCAATATCTCAATTTGTGAATTATTCAATAATTTCACACAAATATTTCTCTTTTGTTTTTTCTATGGACTTAATAACTATGCCAAGTTTGTTATAATTGCTTACAATATTGTACTAGTAGATTTATTAGTTGTCAAATCCATAATTTAGATCGCAATGATACATATACTCAACTAGTGGCTATAGGTTTTACTCAAATTTATTGAGTTAATTATGATAAAGCATTTGTAACCAATGTGAAATTGAAATCAATGAGTATTATCACCATTAGTTATCCAATTTTCTCAGAACTTACAAACGTTAGATTGTAAAAATATGTTATTAAATGATGATTTAGATAAATAATTATACTAGTACTTACCTCTAAGAATTGACACTATAAGAATATATTATATGTTGGATTGAACAATCCCCCAAGACATAATTTGATAGGCTTTGACATGTAATACTATCTACAAAGAAATTTAGATCATACTCTCTTTTACAAAAGTAATGTATAGTTAATGTGCAATATGGATTGTTTATGTTGATGATGTAATACTTACATGGGATGATGTAAATAAAATACGAACTTCAAAAAAAACTTGGCAAAAGAGTTTGAAATTAAAGATTTGAGAAATATAAGGTATTTATTTAGTATTAAAATTAAAAAAAGAGAAAATATGTATTAGAACTCCAAAGTGAGATTGAGAAGTTAGGATGCAAACTTATTATGATACATATAGAAAATAATGATCATCTAACAATCATTATTAGTGATGAGCTTCCAACTGAACTTAAGCATTCATATAAATGAATAATTAAAAAAATACTATATTTCTTACTGATTATATTATATCTAGCCTATGTTGTGAGTATTGCTAGACAATATATGAATGCTCTCCACACCCACACCATTCACATACAAATTGTTCAAAAAATATTTAAATACTTAAAATCTTACTAATGCAAAGGATTTTTATTTACCAAATTAAGACACTTAAAGATACAACAATACATATTGGGCTAGATCAGGTGGAGATAGAAGATCTATGAAAGTCTATTGTATATTTTTGAGAATAAGCCTTGTTAAAATGAGAGGCAAGATACAAATGGTGATGTTGAAGTCATGTTGAATATCATGCTATAGTTCATGAGTTAACTAAGTTATTATGATTAAAAAAATATTTTTTAACTGATCTTCATATAGTAGTAAAACATTATGTCAAATTCTATTGTAATAATAAGGCAACTATGAATACTGTAAATAATGTAGTATAACATGACAAGGCAAGAAATATTGAAATTGATCAACACTTTATTAGAAAAAAACTTGATGAAAATGAGTTATGTTTTTACTATATAGGATCAGCCGATCAAGTTGTAGTTATTTTTACATGATTGCTATTGGAGACATTCGACTAAATCTTGTTCATGTTGAGTAGAGTATTGTTATAACAAATCAGGTGTATCTAAAATAATTTGGGATATATCTTTTAAAATATTTTCTTCCTCAAAGATAAAGTTCATGTAATAGGTCTGATTTTTTCGTCGTTTTCAACTGCTATAATTGTGGGAGCTTGTCTTTTAACTTAAGGGAGTTGCCATAATAGAAATCAGAATTTTTTTTTCTTGCCTCTCTCTCTCTCTCTCTCTCTCTCTCTCTCTTTCTCAATTGCCCTCAACTTCTATGTAGTCTGACTATCCTACTAAGTTTTGCACCCATCTGCCTCGTTTTGTCACCATGCCATTTTACTATTTTGTCTCGCTATCTTGCTGTTTTGGCTTATCAATTGCTCTCCTCATCTTGTTGTCTTTGTCGACTGATCTACTCATCATAGGAGATCTTGCTGTTATATTAATCGAGAGAATGTTCCTTGCCCTAATCACAGTAAGTTCAAGACTGCATTAATTTAGAAAAAACACGTTGAATCACCGTCTTTGCTATGTAGAACTGCCTGAAAGAAAGTTAGGAAGGGGAGCTTGCCATTTTTAGCTTCTACACTTCCCTCCTTTAAAAGTGAGGATTGAGTGTACAAAATTTTCCTTAATAACAAGTCCTTCAATCCCTAAAAACTCATTTCGTTCTGTCTAATCTTCGAAAAATATTCTTCAAATTAGTATCCATATGTGGAGTGAACTTGGGGTTATGCGAAGGTTATTCATACATCGATTTTGTTTTATTTTTTTAGGAAAAGGATTGTATGACCAATGTTCAATAAGGCCTTGGGAGATGTTTGACGCTGATATGCAAGTTTCTCATTTGATAAATTATTTCCTCACATATTTTTTTTGAATATTTTGGTACATAATCCGCTATCCCTTCTCTACTATATTATCTTCTTGCATAAATAAATCATTTGACACCCTAATAAAGTTTCATGCTTTCGGTCATAATTGTACTGACTGAGGGCTTCAACAAACCCCGCTCTTAAGACTTGGACTAATCATCATATATATGACCCATCTTTGTCCAATAGTTTCAATATCTTAAATGTCCTCATATCTGAGCAAGAAATGTAAAATGAAATCAAGGAGTGGAGAGAGAGAGAGGGAGAGAGAGAGAGGGAGAGAGAGAGAGGGGGAGAGAGAGAGAGAGAGAGAGAGAGAGGAGAGAGAGAGAGAGAGAAAGAGAGAGAGAGAGAGAGAGAGAGAGAGAGAGAGAGAGAGAGAGAGAGAGAGAGAGAGAGAGAGAGAGGAGAGAGAGAGAGAGAGAGAGAGAGAGAGAGAGAGAGAGAGAGAGAGAGAGAGAGAGAGAGAGAGAGAGAGAGAGAGAGAGAGAGAGAGAGAGAGAGAGAGAGAGAGAGAGGAGAGAGAGAGAGAGAGAGAGAGAGAGAGAGAGAGAGAGAGAGAGGAGAGAGAGAGAGAGAGAGAGAGAGAGAGAGAGAGAGAGAGAGAGAGAGAGAGAGAGAGAGAGAGAGAGAGAGAGAGAGAGAGAGAGAGAGAGCATTTCTGTGCCCTACACTTGAGTCTGAGTAAAGACCGAACACAAGATGTGGGCTTTTTGGCCTGTAGAAGGTGTCCCTCGTGACAAGTAATGGCCAAACTGTTGTGTGACCCTTTGGAGCATCTGGGTAGTACCGAAAAGGGTTCAATTTCCTATTCTATTTTATTTCTCAGGACATTTTTCAGCGTTTAATTTTTCCTCATTATTTATATGGCTGCTCCGCCACAGGTCCTGCAGAGGGGAAGGCCCTCTTGAAAGACCAGGCCCATAGTAAACTGTAACAGAGATCACACTGCCAAGCGATTATAACGAGAGATGATGAGACTAAAAGGAGGGAAAAATTTCCATATTTAGTCATTGAACATGACATTTGATTGCTTATAGTGGTGCAGGAACAGACGTTATTCATCCCATAAGAGCACAAGCTCAAGGCTCCAGTGGATATTGGGCTCTTCTTCTTCACCCATCAGTTCCTGATGAAAGAGACCCCCTTGTCAATGCTCCCGGCCAGCTCCTTCTTCGCTTTCTCCAACCCCGCCCTGTCAATCACCAACCCAAAGAAGACTTTGAAGACTTTGCAGCGGATATGAATGACAAGATTACATCAGATTAGGGGTCCAAGGTCAACGGGTATTGAAAGTCAATCGATCCCAATAATGGGTACATAAAAACTTACGCATATATATATATATATATATATATATATATGGTCGGGTCCCCATCAATCATGAAGATGGAAATCGTTTACCTTTCATACTCATTCAGGGGGCCAAGAGGGAATATCTCCTCAGCTCCACCACGCCCCAGCCGGACTCTTGTGGCGAAGAAAGGCAGCTCGGTGACCTGCAGCATGGCCAAAGGACACCTCAGCAAAGAACCATAGAGAGAGAGAATGACAAAAAACACTAGAGAAGGTGCCGCTGGGAGAAGATCACCTGAGAGGCAACAAAGGAGCATTCTACAATCCCTGCGTCGCCCCTCAATCCCCTCAAGCATGCATCAGCAAATTTAGCAGCAGCATATGCCTGCGTGTGGTTTTAGAATGTTTCATTTTGGGAAAATTCCAGAAGATGGGTTTGTGTAAAGAGGATTGAGAAGATGAACTGATGGGAACAGGGATGAGTCACTGACCATTGAGAGTGTTGCAGAGCCGGCCCCAGCTTTTGCCTGAAACAGAAGGAAAATGGATCAGTTTTCTCTCATGGATTCTCATTCTCAGCAGCATCAAGCCACCTACTTATAGGAAAATAAGCGCAATTGTCCTATTTCTTTGATGCTTCCCTCAGAAACATTGCATGATGTTGCTGCAGAAGGCTCAAAATCGATAAGCTTTTAATGGAGAGGGAATCTGTAAGTTTATTATTATTTCAGGGGTTGGAATTAAGATCCCCCTGAGATAAATTCATAAAAGGGGACGTCTAACGACTCCTGATACTGGTGGTGAAATGCTATTTACGAGTCCCCTGCTATTCTCTTAACTTAGCATAGTGAAAATTTCCAGTATGTAGTCCAAGGTTACGAGTAATAAGTATAGAAATAAATAGAATTGAGAAGATGATGATTGTGAATGAGCTCTTCTACTACTAGCTAAAAAAATGAGGAAAGTAAAAACCCTCACCTCGACAACCTCTGTTCCTCCATTTTGTATGCGATCAGTTAAATAGCTGATTTCCTCTGCAGTGAATGAACTAGGGGGCTTCACCTGTGTAAAACCTCCAATTAGCATAGAAACGCAGATGATTACTGAGAGAGAGGAGAGAGAGAGAGAGAGAGAGAGGAGTTTCCAACCTGTGACAAAAGTGGTAAAATTGTAACACCTGCATGACCGCCAACAACAGGAACATTGACCTCCCTCGGGTCTACTCCCAGTACTTCCGCCTGAAAAAATAGAAAATAGCAGAGTAGACATGAATAAAAACAATGATCATCCAGCCAAAATCCCCAATGTTCTTCATGTAAGTTCAAATGAAGAATATAATAAGATGTCTGGAGTAGATGCCAGAGGAGGTCCAATGCTCACCACAAAGGTGTTGGCTCTCACAACATCGAGAGTTGTCACACCCAATAGTCGCTTGGGATCATAGACACCGGCCTTCTTGAAAACCTCTGCTGCGATTGGAACAGTGGAGTTCACCGGATTGCTAATCAAGTTCACGATCGCATGGGGGCAGCACTTGGCAATTCCCTCACACAGTGTCCTGACGATCCCAGCATTGATCTTGAACAGATCGTCCCGGGTCATTCCGGGCTTCCTTGGAACGCCAGCTGGAATTATTACAAGATCCATCCCCGTCAGTGCGTGCTCCAGCTGGGCCTGGCCTAGAAATCCCCTGACCTGCATATTGAAACGAAAGAATTCTTCAACATCTAGACAGGAAGATACCATTATGAAGATTATGTTAGCCTCAAGATGAAGTTTATGGTATACAATTTAAAAACAAAGATGAAAAAAAATGAATGAGGAACATGATCAATACGATTTTGCTGAAAAGTGAAAGTTAGGAATCAAGAGATTACCACAGCACCGGTATCCATGTGACTGATGTCGGCTGTGACTCCAGGAGTGTTGACAACATCATAGAGATGGAGGACTGAAACCAGTGGGTTTATCTTCATCAGAAGTGACAGGGACTGCCCTATGCCCCCTGCTGCACCCAATACAGCAACCTTGAAACCGGGTGCCCCCCCTTTGGCTCGACAGTTGCTCTGAGTCAATGAACTCTCTCCAACCTAATATTTTCAAAAATCCGCAAAGAATTTCAGTCTCATCCACTGAAAGAAGAATGGTTTTAATATCTTCTACACTGATCAATTCAAAAGGTCCAAATCATATCTGACTTTAGATATCCAAAAAAAAAGAGAAAGGATTTGAGATGATGCTTCCACCAACACTATGAAAAACTGTATATTCGATTAAACGAGGATATTTAATCATAGAAAAATCAGAGCATTCTCGTTAGAATGATCGAATCCTAGTAAGTCATGAATTGAAACGTAAAGCGAGAAGATAGAAAACGGAAGACGGGAACATATACAGCACTAAAATCGAATGAAAATAAAACATTGGTGATTGCAAATCAGGGTGGGTGACAACAAGTAATACCCAATGCCAAAAGATACACCAATTAACAACAGAAGATCAATAAGCTTGCACAACTACAAAAACGAAACTAATTTGTTCATCTCATCTTTTATATGAAAAATCAAACGATTCTCAGAAATCCGGTGAAATTGAGCTCAATTGTAGAGATAATAAAAGATGACTGTGAGGCAAAGCCACCCTCTCGGCTGTATGAATCCGGAACAAACATACAAGATTGCAAAGGAGAAGCAAGAGGAGCAACCTAAACGTACGAACGCAAAAAAGTGTGCCTCTCAGCAGACTTCAGACCGTAAATCAGAAGGTGGGCCTGCAAGGAATAAGAAAGAAATACCCGGGGGAATTCGGTGCAGAGGTGAGCGGAGATCCTGGCGAGCCGTTGGTTGACCTCTGCGCTCGGCTGCATCTTAGGCTCTCTTGCCGCCACCCCCCTACGGAAGGAGAGAGAGAGAAGGAAAGGGAGAGGGAGAGGAAGAGGCTAGCTTGAAGGCGTACCGAACGAAATGAAGACTGCAGCGCGCAGCAGAATATGTCGTAAAGAAATGAAAGATGAAGGGGAATAAAAAGAGGAACAGAAAAGGACGAGCGATGACGTGAGAGGGGGGGGAGGGGGGCAGCGCTAGCTTCCGATCGGGAAGCGTGCGTCTGTGGAAGCGAAGGGGCTTATCCTACTGCTGTGGCTCTCCCCGCCCCCGAGTCTAGCCATGTCTCTGCATCAGACTCCCCCTCTCCATCACTCGAAGCTTCTCTCTCTATCTCCTCTTCTCCATTCCTCTCCCCTCCTCCTCCTGTCTCAACCTTGCGCGGGATAAGAAAGGAAAAAGGCCGAGGATTATACACGTGTCATGTACTAATAGGTTAATGTACGTTGCGTGCATCTCAGCACGGCCTATCGAGCGGCTTGCGTCACCGTTCCCTTTTCCGAGACGATTGCTCCAAGTCGGTTAAAGACGGTCTAAGGTGGGCCGAACGAAACTAAATTGACTTGCCCAGGGCAGTGGGCCCATAACGGATCAGTGGGCCGACTATCCGCAAAATGACGAGTAATTCAATTCAGATTCTAGCCCAAATTTCGGAGGATAGCTGAAATGGCCCAGAATTGGCGTTTGGGCCCAAAAAGCCCAGAATCTATGTGCTTCACCCAAATGGACTTTGGCAGATTAGCCCACAAGGTGCCTTTTTCCTTCAGCTTCCCGGGCGCTACGTGGAGAGAGAAATGGTCAACGCTTTTCAATACGGTGTAACTTGTCATAAATGGTCAAATGAACCGTTGACCGTACTGGCGCTTTCACCCGGGCCTCTGTAGCCAGAATGCCGTGTTTCAATCATGGCCGTTAAATGACTCCGGGGATGGCGCCACGTGCCACCCTTCGCCTCCTCGTCCGCAGCCGAAGCACTCGGGAAAGCGATCACGCGGAACTGGTACCAAACGGAATGTGCGGGTAAGAATCGTGTGTTCGCGCCCACAAGCGCGATGTAGCTCTTGGCCAGTAACGTTACCAGCGTCAAGCGGTCTACACACCTTCCGTTTCTCTGTTTCCCAGTCAGCACAATTCTCGTGCCAAACCAGGCAGGATAACGAGGAAACCAGAAGGAGAACGAGAGCAGTCATGGCGGGGGGGACCTGCCGTTGCAACGTGGAACGGGCGGAATGGGGTGATCATCGGTTAGCGGTGATTCTCGAGGAGAAAGCGGCTCCTTCCCTGCCTTCTGCGGCCCTCCTCCTCTTCGCCCATGTTCTGGTCCTTCCTGGCCCTTGTAATGAGTCGTCTAAGAAGCTTCACCGTTGTCTTCTTCCTGCTGCTGTCCAGCTTCCTGATGATTGATGCCATGGCTGATGCTGATATCCTGCTCATGGCCAAGGCCGCCCACCTCGACGATCCCTACGGTCGTCTCAGGGAGTGGGTTCCCTCCTCCTCCCCCTGCAACTGGACTGGCGTCGGCTGCAGTTCGGTTTCCGGCGTCGTCATCTTTATCGACCTCTCCGGCGCCGGGATATTCGGCGGATTCCCCTCCGAGTTCTGCAGGATCTCCACGCTCCGGCGGCTCAGCCTCGGGGACAACTTCCTCAACGGAACACTGCCGACGGTGGCGCTCTCGCCCTGCTCGCGCCTCCGCCACCTCAATCTCTCCAGCAATCTGTTCGTCGGGAGCATACCCGAGCTGAGCCCACCGTTCAATGATCTCCAGGTGCTCGATCTCGCCCAGAACAACTTCTCCGGCGAGATTCCGGCGAGCTTCGGAGTGCTTCCCTCCCTGCGGGTGCTGAACCTCTTCGGGAACCTGCTGTCAGGGAAGATCCCGCCGTTCTTGGGGAATCTCTCTGAACTGGAGATGTTCAACCTCGCCTACAACCCGTACGAGGAAGGCCCATTGCCGGCCGAGATTGGGAACCTGACGAAGCTGGTGAACCTCTGGTTACCCTTCTCCAGTCTCATCGGAGAGATACCGAAGACGATCGGAAACCTCGAGAGGCTCACCAATCTCGATCTTTCTCACAATAAACTCACGGGGAAGATACCGACGAGCATGGGGAGGTTGAAGAGCATCGTTCAGATTGAGTTGTATGAGAACCGCCTGACGGGGGAGCTGCCGGAGAGCTTGGGGAATCTGACTTCTCTGCTCCGCTTCGACGCCTCCGAGAATGGCCTCAGGGGAACCCTGCCGGAGAGGTTCACAGGTCTCCACCTCACATCTCTCGCTCTGAACGACAATCTCTTGGAAGGGAGAATTCCTCGGAGTCTCGCGGCCAATCCCAGTTTGGTCATCCTCAAGCTCTTCAACAACAACTTCTCTGGCGAGATACCGGCGGAATTAGGCCGGAACTCTGATCTGATACTGTTCGACGTTTCTACGAATAATCTCGTCGGCGGGTTACCGAAGTATCTATGCAACGGGGGGAAACTGGATTCGCTCATAGCCTTCAAGAATAAGCTCTCAGGTGAGCTATCCTCAACCTACGGTAGCTGCACCAGTCTCAAGAACATACGAATCTTCAATAACATGTTCTCCGGAGAATTTCCCAAGCGCGTATGGGGCCTCCCCAGGCTGACCACCATCGAAATCTATGGAAACCTGTTCGAAGGTTCTGTCTCGCCGCTCATCTCTCAAGTTCATGGCCTGACGAAGCTCCTAATCTCCGGCAATAACTTCTCCGGCGACATTCCGGTGGAAATCTGTAACCTTCGGGGGATCGTCACCATCGACGCTGGGAGCAACCGATTTTCCGGCGAAGTCCCCTCCTGCATTGCCCAAATGAAGAACCTACAGACGCTGGAGCTCCAGGGCAATTTATTCTCTGGGATGATACCAGTTGGCGCATGGCCACTGTTGACGAAGCTGAACCTTTCGAGGAATAGATTCTCCGGCGAGATACCAGGCGAACTAGCCGATCTCCCGGTGCTAACCTATCTTGACCTTTCCGAAAACAGCCTCATCGGCGAGATCCCTCCAAGACTTGGAGAACTCAAGCTGAACTACTTTAACCTGTCCGACAACGATCTAGCTGGGCGAGTACCCGCCGGCCTCGCGACGAAGCTCTTCCTCTATGGTCTTCTAGGAAATCCAGGCCTGTGCAGCGACGCCAATCTCTCGCCTATTCCAACATGCAGCACTCCTCTCCGACGGGTCTTCTCCGGTCTAACCCTGGCCACCATGATCACAGCTGCTCTTCTACTTGCAAGCGCACTGGCTATCTTGACTAAATCCTTTTGGAAGCATAGGGGGAACAAGGGTCAGAGGCCCGGTCGGCCATGGATGGTCACCTCGTTCCACAGGGTGGGCTTCGACATGGCGGACATAATCGACTGCATGACGGAGGAGAACCTTATTGGCACCGGGAGCTCCGGTCGTGTCTACCGGGGAAGATTGAAGACGGGTCAGGCCGTGGCCGTCAAGAGGCTGCTGTGCGGCCGCGGCAGGGGGGAGACGGCAACGGCGGCGCGAGCCTTCTGCGCGGAGGTGGAGGCGCTGGGGCGCGCGCGGCACAGAAACATCGTCAATCTTCTCTTCTCCTGCGCCGCAGAAGGGACGATGGTGCTGGTGTACGAGTACATGGAGAACGGGAGCCTCGGAGAGGCTCTCCACGGGGAGAAGGGAGGTTCCTCCTTGCTGGGCTGGTCGCAGAGGGCGAAGATTGCCGTAGGGGCGGCGCAGGGTCTCGCTTACCTCCACTATGACTGCGACCCACCCATCATCCACCGCGACATCAAGAGCAACAACATCCTTCTCGATGGCGATTACTGCGCTCGCGTGGGAGATTTAGGGCTGGCGAGGACGATGCAGAAGTGCGAGGCCATGTCTCATGTGGCCGGCTCATGCGGCTACATTGCCCCAGGTTCGTCCGCCGACCTCTTCTCCCTCGTTCTCCCATGGATTGTTCCTCCGGCGCTCACTGGTGCTTTCCCCGGCGGCGCAGAGTACGCGTATACGCTGAAGGTGGATGAGAAGAGCGACGTGTACAGCTTCGGGGTGGTGCTGTTGGAGCTGGTCACGGGGAGGAGGCCCGTCGACGCGGCGGCGTTTGGGGAAGGAAGGGACATCGTGAAGTGGGCGGCAGACGCCGTCGTGGCGGCGGCGGAGGGTGGCGAGAGGGCGGTGGCGCTGAGAGCTCTGATTGACCAGCAGCTGAACCCCTCGTCGGAGGAGGTCGAAGGAATGCTGAGGGTGCTCGACGTGGCGCTTGCATGCACTTGCGCGTCGCCTGCGAACCGGCCCTCGATGAGAAGGGTCGTGGAGCTCCTCCAAGGCCGCCGCGCCGTCAGAAACTGCGGCGGCGGAACGAGGAGATTGTGATGTGGTTTAGTTCCGAATTCATCGCAACTGTTGAAGAAGACGTATTAATGGGTCAGATCATGGCCCATTTTAAAGTTCAAGATAAAGTTCTACCGAGATGAGGCGCTTCTTGTTGGCATGCCCAAAAAGCGATTCTACATTCAAAAAAATAGCGACGACGATATGTATTCACAAAGTTTTATTCTATAAAAAAATCAATTTTGACATGTTTAGTTTTCGAAAATGAGGGTGGACTTGTTCAATGTTGGAACATTAAATACATTCAATGAAGTTGGAAAATATGTCATTTAATGTTGCTTTGATTAGTAGAGTATATCCGTTGTGTAAAAAAAAAAAAAGTGCAGTATAACAAAGTTAATAGTTCAAAATAAAAATTTTGCATTGTAAAATAGTATAAATTGATACTTTAATATATGAAGTTTACATTGTATGATAGTAAAGTATATATCAAGGTCGATACTTTCAAGATTTGCAAGTTAATGCTTCAAAGTAAATCTCAATTGACATTCTTTCAACGTGCTGACGCTATGGGAAACCTTCTGATAAAATTGTAAGGAAGTTTTAAAGCCATCAGCCATAATGCTTAATTTATTTCTCCTTCATACTAATTGGTTCATAGTGATAAAACTTTATAACTAGTATATTTTAGAGCCCTGAATCTAGAATGGTGAGCTCACACTTGATTTCTATAAATCATGCATCCCTTTTGCATTATTATCTTAAAGGTCCATATATAGTTAAGTCACTTGAACTAAATTATGTCATATATGTTATGCCAAGTTTTATTCTTTAGTAATATATTATGAAAATGGAAACAATTCATGTCCCTTCTCTTAGCTCCTTCATGGCCTCATCAAATGCAATATGGTTCTATTATCACCATTCTTCATTGGCCCATTGCCAAATGTTTATATTGTTGGTTATATTTTAGTTTAGATTATATACCAAGAGAGGTGGAGTGAATAATTTTCAATTATAATTTAATAGTTTTACTTATTTTAAATACGTTCTATCAATTTTATCTGCAGTGAGTTGTCATAGTTTCTTATAAGTCCACATAGAAGGGTTTGGGATGTTATACACTAGTCTAGGTCACCACATTACTTGTTTGACTTGGTCAACACATTTAGTAAAGAGTACTACATGTGTAAGTTGTAATTTTTTTTACAGTTGTTTCATATTTACGTAGATCAAGTCTGTATTTGAAGGGTTCATACCCATGGTTTCTACTATTTTATTTCAGAATTATACTAGTGAATTTCATATGATGAACAAATCCATCACATGGTAGAGTTGACAACTCTATCATGCAACATTACACACCAAAGCATTAACTTGGCTTTCTACCCTTATTATGAGGATTATCCTAGAGTGCTTTCACATAGGAAATCAATTTCAATGAACTTACACTCATGTTTCAATACTGAAAGAATATGCTTTTTGATGTTGTAAGCAATTTAGACACCAAAGAAAATTTGGCAAGTAATAACTTGCATCAGATTTTTGGGGTGAATTTCAAAACGTACAGCAAGAGATGATCGATTATTGAAGTACTCTTTGAAATCTCTTCTATGACCTATTTATATAATCCTAAAACTTGATCATCAAAAAATAATTATGTAAGATATGATTGATCAAATATTTCTGAAGTTAACATGAGTTAGGCTGTTACTTTACCAACTTTTTGACTAAGTTAGTATGCATGCATGTTAGACAATAACTTTTCTAAGATAACTTTGATTTTTATAACTTTTCAAGATATGTAGTCTTTGTCAAAGATCCATTATCTTGTGTTAGATTATTTATTGTGTCATAAGTGTGAATCTTCTTAGAGAAAATCTACCTTTTCCCAATCTTGAGATTTAGTTTGACTTTTGGAGTCGACAAATTTTCATCTTTAGACGTAGATATGTTGACATAATCTTTTGTGTTGTCATACTTTTCTTTCTTCAAGTTGGTATAAACACTTTTACAAGTCCCTACAAGTCATAAATATAGAAAGTGATTTTTTTTCTCTCATCTTATTTTTCTTTTGAAACACTTTTTGTGATCCAATTTGATTTATTTTTATACATGACTTTGTTGACATCTCTTTCTGATACCTCAAAAAATGTTTACATAGAAAAGGGAAATATATATAATTATTTATATCTTAATTCTTTGATTCATATAGTGAATCTTGAACTGCTTAGTTACCTAAAAAAAAAGGGTCAATTTTTTATGTTTATCTTTAAGTACTTAGTTATCAACAACAAATCTTGAAACCAAACAAATAACTTCAAGAGAGGGAGACAAATCAGAAGGAGACATGATAGTCCAACATATGATTTGTTGTTGAAGAAATAGCAATGAGAAAGGGGATAACATGGGTGGTTGTTATTTCCTAGACTCATATTTAGGCTTTCATAAGTGGAGAGAGAGGGTAATTCAATCCTTTTTCTAGAGTATGATAAATTATTGGTGTATTTTTCTAGGTTCCATATATTTGATTAAAGTACACTTGCTAGTGATCTAGAGTTTGCTTCCAAGAAGATTCTTACACTTTTAATGAAATATTAACTTTCTAGAGATATAAGTCATACATTAGTTATTACTATAAAAGTATACTTCTCTAATTTCTATCATTTAAATTTTCCATGAAAATTACAAAACACTATTTTCTAGTTACAAAATGTACATACAAGGCAACACAAACTACAAAAAGGATTGTGAATCTTAAATCGAAATAGAGGCCGTTGGTAAATGAAAGTCAAAGCAAGAAGATTTCAAACATTGACAAGTTCATTCACCATAGTTCATGCAATAGAGTTACTAGATCAGTAATAGAACTCCCATTATAGTTGATACCATCACATCTACTTTGATTAATTATTTTATAAGAAGGTAAACTAAATTACATTTGATGAAGATTCTCATTACACTCTATTGTACATACCTTGTATCTTCCTTATGTCATTGACAATTGATTGAAACAACTTGATTTTGAGCCTATTATTATTAATGCGTGCCCTTAACTAAGTTTTATAGTGGTGAAAAATCTATATTTGGGCACTAAAGAACTAAAGTGAAGTGTGGATTGCTTCCAAAAAAAGGAGGCTCAACAAAACTAGAATGGTCATAGGGGGACCCTTTACAAAGAGGTCATTGCAAAATGTGACTTATTGAATGTCATTTAATCTATGTTGAATGAGTGAAATCTATAACAACAATGGGTTGACCAAGGTAGGTTGATATTGGAGATGATGGAGAAACACATGGGTTAGTACTCACTAGAATGGATGAAGATTGCATGGAAGTGGCAATGAGGTATAGATAGGAATTTGATTCAATTCAAGGTCAAGTAAAGTTTCCTCTAAAGAGTATGTTAATTCTAAGTCAAGCACATCTTGTCGTTGACATAACGACAAAGGAGCAAAAGGGTCATTTTACAACACAATATTATAATCAAATATCATGAAAATGATGCTAAACGGTTATCTTAGCACATTATCACATAAATTTGGTATTCAATGCTTGTTCTCTTGTCCATACATGCTTTAGAAGAAATGACTAAACTCTTGAGGTCATCTCACGCAATGAATAGTCCAAAATAAGAAGAATCATTGATTAGAAAAAGTCATGTAACACGAATTAGTCTGTTGTAAACTCAAAGTAGAGTCGTAGAGGGTAGCAGAGCCTAACCCACTCTAAGCCTAGCAACTTGGTTGTTGACTTTATCCAATTTCTTATGACCTAAATCGAAAACCATGATTTGTCGACGACCCAAAATATTACTACAACTACCTGTGAGTTCTTTTCATGGCTCGCATGGGATGAATAGAGTTTAGTGGAGAGCAGCCCGATCTAACAACTCATTTCCATGCCCATTAAGTCTCTTGATACTCTTGATCTGGCATCTCTCATGGTCTGCCAACGTATACAGCGAGGGCTTTGTCATCCAGCGACCGACAACCCCGCCGGCCTACAACCGCAGCTGGCGGTCCCATCGGGTTTGCTTGTCCTTCCCGGTGGATCCTCTCCCTCCCCCTCTCTCACAATCTGAACCTTTCTGCGCCTGACCAATAATTTGCTGGCCGCTGGAGGCCTTCAACTTGCCCGTTTACGCCATCTCTCTCTCTCTCTCTCTCTCTCTCTCTCTCTCTCTCTCTCTCTCTCTTTCTACACGGATTTCATACTATACGTATCACGTCCAATCTTGCACCCTTCCGCCGACCGGCCGCCACGGAAGTTCGGTAATAGAATACTTACGGCGATATCATTCATTATTATATTGATGCCTTTTAAGACATGTAATCAAATTGTGACTCGACTCCCCCTCATCAATCTTGGATGAACATTCTCTTTTTTAATCTCCCGCTCCCTCAGCCGCCGCCGCCCTGGCCCTACGTCATCCCCCCCTTCGATGCCATCCTCCCCGAGGACCGGCCGTTGACCTTCGTCCCAATTAGGTCTTCCCGAGACGCCCTGGGCCTTGTCTCGCTATGCGTCGGTGCACGGGGGGGGGGCGGGGGGGGGGCGGGGGGGGGGCACCGGACCGAGACCAGACGAAGCCTATTACTTGTCCAATCGATCAGATCAGCCAGTCCACAAAAAAGGGGCTTAATGGGCCGGGGTCACGGTCTCCGAAGTGGTTTCTTCAGGGACGGAAGAGGTGATAACGTCAATCATGCAGTCAAACCAGGGCCCACTAAGAGGAATCCGGCTCAATGGGTCTCAAAGCTGAGAGACGTGGGCGGCGTGGCGACCACCCACCCCTTCTTCCTTATCCCCTCCGTGCTGACGGTCTTCCTTTCTGGACTCGTCGGTCTTGTGGGGCCCCTTGGATTTCCGCTGAAGTCCAAAAGGGGACTTGTGGGTCCCAGGGATGGGAGAGAGATACTGACGACTGGGCCACGTGGCGTGCTTGATCGCTGTCAACTGGCTGTAATGGGCCAGCGGGGATATCAGCGGGGGATTCGGGTCGGCCCATTTGAGCAAGGAGCCGGGGAGGGTGGGGCCCCGTGGTCCGACGACGTGGATCCTTTTGCCCGGAATATCGAGGGCGGCCAGTTGACCATGGGTGATATTTCCACGGCTTTCTTCGTTGAGGATCCTTCCGCGGCTCCCCGGAGGTGCAGCAAGTCGCCATTCGTGGCGACGGCTCACGCGGAGTCCTTTTCGGGGAAAGGTAGTGGCTTTTGGGTGCGTTGAAATCTTGGCCCGTCTTTGTTGTTTACTCGCTGGATTTCATGCAGATACCGTCCCCAGTTTCTATACCCAACCACTCACGGAACGTAGGCTCCTCCTCCTCCCCTCCCCCCCCCTCTCTCTCTCTCTCTCTCTCTCTCTCTAGCTTTCCGACGCCTTCCGCCTGCTGGTGTTTACTTCTTGTGATTCTCGTAGCTCTCTCTCTCCCTCGCTGGCTTTCCGACGCCTTCCGCCTACCGGTGTTTACTTCTTGCGATTCTTGTAGATAGCATCGCGTTTTAAACCTAACAAAAAATAGAACGTTGGACTGAAACTCTCTCTCTCTCTCTCTCTCTCTCTCTCTCTCCTGTCTTAGCGCTTTTCTGACTCATTGTGCGAACAGAAAACAGAGTTGCTTGTAGCTGAAAGCCACGCTATCTCAACTCCTCCCCCTCTCGTTCAGAAATGGTGGCTTCAAAAGCTCTTCGTCCTTTCAACGTTACTCTCACAGAGAAAGAGGGAAGGAGAGAGACAGAGAGCTTCTGTTCTGTCAACGTTCGTTTGAGAGAGAAAGAGATCCCTGTCACTCTCTACATAAGATCTGCCGACGACCCGCGAACGGAAGTCAAAAGATGGACACGTTGGTCAACTCTCTTTGGGTCGTTCACACGCCACGTGGCCTACCGCCCTCCTTTAGACTCTCCAACCTAGCCTGAAACCTTATTTTTTGGAATCCATCCACTGACATGCCGAAAGGCGGCATGTTGGGTTGGGCCCCCAGTACGGGCCCAATAGCCCCACCCCACTGCAGGCCCGGTTTCCGAAACCGTGTAGACCAGACATAAACGAGGCTTCTCTCTTCACCGCCGCCGTCGTCATGGCGGTCGTCAGCGTGACCCCACCCGTCCCGTCATGTCCGCGAAGAATCGAAGGTGGGCTCTTCGAGCTGATCTTCCTGCTGCCAGACAACATGGGTTGCTCCCATCACCGGCTTCCATATACCAATTATTGTAGTTTAGTATATTAGTCTGTCATTCATACTTTGGGGAGAGAGAGAGAGAGAGAGAGAGAGAGAGAGAGAGAGAATAGGTGGGGATGAGAGGGTTGTTTGTCAGCTGATCGTCGTAGAAAGAAGGCTAGTTGATATTAGGGCTTGAAGAAAGGAGATGCGGCTAAAGCCAATCATTTATGGCGGAGGATAAGCGCAGTCCCTTTGGCGGCCGCTCGTAGCGCAACCCGAAAAGGGTCGAGGGCTTGGTGGGTCTCCTTCCCCCGGCCTCCACCACCTCCCAGCGGACATTAAATTTCCACCGCACGACACCTAGCGCAGCGCCTGGTTCTCCTTCCTATAAAGCGGCTGCTGGCTACTGCTCCTTCACCAGCGTTGCCCACCTCCTCTTCCCTCCTCCATCGCTCTCCCAGCTCGGAAAATGGCGTTGGAGACGGAGCACAAGAACGCCTTCGCCGTGGAATCCGTCGAGCTCGCCGAGCACGGCGACGTTGGCAAGAACGTTGACGACGATGGCCGTGAGAAGAGGACTGGTAAGCCTCTTCCCCTACCGTTTCTACGCTCTTGGCCAAGACAGGATTCCGCTCATGCGTTTCCTTGCTTTTCTTGCTCCACCGGCAGGGACTTTGTTAACGGCGAGCGCCCATATCATAACGGCGGTGATCGGGTCGGGGGTGCTGTCTCTGGCATGGGCCAACGCTCAGTTAGGGTGGGTAGCTGGGCCAGTCGTCCTCATGGCTTTCTCCGGAATCACCTGGTTCACCTCCACGCTACTTGCAGACTGCTACCGCACCCCCGACCCCGTCACCGGGAAGAGGAACTACACCTACATGGACGTCGTCAGGGCCAACCTTGGTAGCCCTCTGAAACCCATTTATTGCACCATTTTCACCATTCTTCTCTGCATCGGAACTCATCTTCTGACAAGGACTCCTCTCTCTCTCCCCCTATTTATCCGTCTGACTATTATCTCTCCTTCTTTTTCCTCTCATTCGCCCCCCAGGTGGCCTCAAGGTCCTGTTTTGCGGGGTTGCTCAGTACTGCAACCTTATCGGGGTCAGTATTGGCTACACTATCACGGGCTCCATTAGCATGGCGTAAGAGTCAATCTTTCGGGCTTCTGGGCATCTCCCTACTCTCCGTTCGATAATTTTATTTGTGCTTTGATAATCTGATCAGAGCCGTCCAGAGGTCCGACTGCTTCCACTCGGAGGGCCATGTTGCTAGGTGCATCGTCTCCAACTACGGCTTCATGGCCATCTTCGCCTCCATCCAGATTGTCCTCTCTCAGATACCCAACTTCCACAAACTGTGGTGGCTCTCCATCGTCGCCGCGGTCATGTCCTTCGCTTACTCCTCCATCGGCCTCGGCCTCTCCATCGCCAGGATCGCAGGTTCCAATATAGTAAAGAAATATCATATATTTCTCTGCATGCACTATTTACCGCGGATTTACTGACCTTTAATTACTCAACAAGGGTAAGTATTATTTCCTTCTAAACCTGATCCTGAGAGATTCGCGGGGTGTGACTCGCAGAGAGACCGGATGTGAGGACGACGCTCACGGGGGTGACGGTGGGGGTCGACGTGTCCGGCGCTCAGAAGGTCTGGAGGACGTTTCAATCTCTTGGGAATATCGCCTTCGCCTACTCCTTCTCTAACGTCCTCATCGAGATCCAGGTATCATCTCTCTCTCTCTCTCTCTATCTATCTATCTATCTCTATCTCTATCTTCGTGTATATACATATCTACACGCACACATCTGTCCATCTATCTCTCGCAATCTCTCCCACTGGTTTACATTCTTGGAGCAGTAGTTACTATCGTTATTCTCTATTTACTCGGAAAGGGCAGACTCTATGACCGACACAGAACTTTGAGGGCATATTATGACCAATCCGTGGCCGTTCGAGGCTACAGAATGTCGGATTTTCAATGTGGTTGACTATGCCTGAGGGGGAAAATTCTTGACCGGTAGTCGTGCCCCGCCAGATGCGTTCTTGTCTTTCCCTCCTGGACACGCGTGCCCTCGGAATCCATCGATTCGGGGGGCCTTGGCTGCATGCCCTTTTGTGCAATAAATACTTCTTTTGACGAATCCAAACACAGTCCGTCCGTGGTCACCGTGGAATCTACCTGGGTCTTCCTGGAATTCCGAATCATTGGTTCTCAATTTAATAGATAGTGATAGGTAAGGAAATAAATAAATTTCAAGATGCTCCGTCAGGTTGGTTGTCATGGCCCAAGTGATCCCGGGGATCGGCGAAGAGACTGGGTTATCTGGGTTAGACTTGGACTAGGATGAAGTCTACCTTGAAATTTTACTGCCCATTTTTATTGACATAGGTACAAATTCTCTCTCTCTCTCGCTCTCTAACTCTATTCTTATCTATATTAGGTTTGGGTTTTGACAAAGTTCTGCTTATAAGTTCTTCGGATTTACGAAAACGTGTAATTACCTCCCCCCCACCCCCGGCGTCTCTGTGTGTCTCTCTCTCGATTCTTACCTGGGTTAAATTTGAACTTTGATAAGTCCTACGGCTTTATAACCATATGTAATTCTTTCTTTCCCTCCCTCCCTCTCTCTCTCTGTATATATCTCTCTCTATGGGTGAAGTTTGGGTTTTGGATTAAGTCATCTTAGAATTCTTCTGGATTTATCCTCACATGTGCGATTATCTCTCCCTTTATCCATGCTAATGTTTAGACTTCTATGAGTCCAGTTTTATTGCCGGCGGTGCAGTTCACTCTCGTCTGCGTCAAGATTAGGCTTTTGGCAATAAACCTCAGCTTAGAAGCCCGGATTTATTGTCGCACGAGGCATTCCCTCCTCCCTCCCTCTCTCTCTCTCTCTCTCTCTCTCTCTCTGTGCCCGAAGATGAACATGAGAGACAGGCCTACATAACGCCATCCTTGATTAGAGTCCATCCAACTTGGACATGCAGTCCATGGAGAGTAGATAACTTCTGAGTTATTATTTTTATCGCGGCGGCGGTGCCTGATGATATGTATCCGAACTCAGGACACCTTGAGGTCGAGCCCCCCGGAGAACCAGGTGATGAAGAAGGCCTCATTCGTCGGCGTGTCCACGACGACGGTTTTCTACGTGCTCTGCGGCTGCCTGGGCTACGCGGCCTTCGGCAACGCAGCTCCCGGCAACTTCCTCACCGGCTTCGGCTTCTACGAGCCCTTCTGGCTCGTCGACATCGGCAACGTGTGCATCGCCATCCATCTCGTCGGCGCCTACCAGGTTCGCTTCCCTAGCACACCTCTCTCCTCTCCGATTCTTGACGTTACTTCTCTCAATTATTTGCCGCCGGTCGGTTGTCGTCGGGCGATGGCTTTTTAGGTTTGACTCCTTTCGTACTCACTTTGTTCCATGACCACGGCGGCGGCGACGGGTGTGGGTTCCCCACCCGGAAAGAGCCACTGCGCCGCCCCTTGAGAGAGAGAGGGGGGGAGAGAGAGAGGAGCACAGAAGAGAAGGTCGCATATTGTTGACCTTGCTCGCACGTGCTGCAGAGTCGGGCACGAAACAGCCTCCAGGGTTTTACAGCAGCAGACGGGGAGAGAGAGAGAGAGAGACTGACATGAATTCCTGATGGGGGAATTGCAGGTGTTCTGCCAGCCGATCTACCAGTTCGTGGAGACGAAGAGCCGGGGGAGGTGGCCGGAGAGCAGCTTCATATGCAGGGAGTACTCTCTGAGGGCCCCGGTGGTGGGCGAGTTCTCCGTCAACCTCTTCCGGGTGGTGTGGCGGACCTGGTACGTCGTCGTCACCGCCGTGCTCGCCATGATCTTCCCCTTCTTCAACGACTTCCTGGGGCTCATCGGGGCCTTCGCCTTCTGGCCCCTCACCGTCTACTTCCCCGTCGAGATGTACATCGCCCAGGCCAAGATCCCCCGCGGCTCCTCCGTCTGGATCGGGCTCAAGATGCTCAGCTTCGTCTGCCTGGTGATCTCCGTTGTGGCGGCGCTGGGCTCTATCCAGGGTCTAGCCACCGACGTCTCCGACTACAAGCCCTTCAAGACGGTGGGTTAGCCGGAGGGCAAAGGCACCATTGCCGCCGCCGGCATAAAAATAATGCATACTGTCTTCTTCCCTCCGGAGAAGAGAGCCTGTTAGTGTTAGAGAGTTTTTTGAGGGATGTCTCAAGGTCATATCGTCTGTATAACGGTCCAATTACGCGCTGATGTTAGGCGTTTACGGTGGAGCTGAGCTCCTCCTATAGTGGCAATTTTCCCATGTTCGTATCCTCTTCTTCTTCATCTGGTCTCGGGGCCTCTCTCTTCTTCTCTCTACATCGTATACCCCTCAACCAAGGGCGTCTTCTCTCTCTCTCTCTCTCCCCTCCTTGCAGTCTCTCGCAGACAGGTGATGATGTGAGCAAACTGCACGACAGACGGATAGCGAGAGAGAGAGAGAGAGAGAGAGGGTGCCGTATACTAATAAAGATTTTGTCAATGATGTATCTTCATAAATATCTTTTTTATTAACCATAAATCATGAAAATACTCGCCTCAAGATCTTAGCACCGAAACCAAGTTCGACACGCAACCCGAGCACCATCTCCGCCCACCTCACAGCCACCGCGGGGGGCATTTGGCAATAATGCTTATATGAACCCATTCTTTCCAATATAGTCCTCGAAGATGATTTTTATATAAATACCCCTACTCAAATATAGTCCTCCGTCCTCGTTCCCACTCGGCCCAATATTTCTCTTCGAGACGATGACCCCCCACTAATTCATGAAAAATCAGATATTTATTAGTGCCCAGTAATTTTATCTAAATATATGAGGAATTTACAGTTTCAAATCGGTAACAAGACATCGGAGGCGCGCCTACCTGGGAACACTGCCCGCCACCTTGCAAGGTCTCATTTAACGCGTGGCGCCATCTGGGAGATCCTGTCATCGTCCAGCAAGGCGTAGGGATCCACGTAGGACGGTGGCGTAATGTGCAGCCTGCTCGCGTCATGCACGAAGCTCGTCCCGAAGAACTGCACGCCAAAGGCGCGGAGAACAGGGCCACGATGATCACAAAAACCAGGGGTGGAAACGAGATAACAAGAGTTTCAGGTCCTTTTTTTTACCAAAAACTAAAGGAAATCGCACCACGGCAAAGTTTCCCTCCTGACATAATTTCGGATTAATAACGGGGGGAAAGAAAATTGATGCGAATTGGGGGGGGGGGGGCAGAACATAATTTTTACGTCCGGCAATGGGTTCATCAGTGCCACTCTCTCTCTTCCACTGAATGTGATCTGGCGGGCTTCAGATCCTCCTCAGCCTACCCACCAATGGACTTATGCATTTCTCAACACGACACAAAGCCAGGCCAAGTTAGGGCTAATTTCGATTAAAAAAATGGGCTGTGCTGGAACAGGATAAGGCAGATTTCATGATATAGAAAGAAAAAAATTACTGCCGTGGCAGCTTGTTAGTTGTTTCTAGCTCAATGGGGCTCTCAGTAGGGGAAAACTGATGATATAAAGCATATAAAGAAGCGTGGATTGAGAAGGGGGAACTTACGAAGTATAAAGCTGAGAAGAAAGCAACAGTGACGAGTATCAAAGGCCCAAACCCTAGAAAGAATGTTCCTCCAATCGTGAGGAGGAGCTTTGCTCTTGGAATTAGACCCTGAAATTAAGGAATGGACGAAAACACCCCACGTCAGGCATCATCATACAGAAAGAATGATACAGTCCAAGATCCAAGGAAAACTCTCGACTCAGCATTTTACTGAATATAGTAGTGAAATATAGTAACTAAACGTGCTTCAGTAATGTTCCACTTAGTCTGTGTTGGATGGATACTTCCGACCATGAAGGACAGAAGCGAAGTGCTCATTCTGTATTGTTTCCTCAACACAAGACATCAAGGTTTTGGATGGTCCTGTTCATTTGGCTGATATGTGGTAAGGAATATATCTGATACAGCAAGAATATTTAGGAGAAAAGTCTCACATAGTAACCCCTGTGAATCTAGATTCATAAATTCCTATAGGAATTCTGGCCAGTTTAAACATGATCTTGAATAATTCCTATAGGAATTTCTTTCGACATGTTTTTTTCTTTTTTTTTCTTTTTTTTTAAGGCATGCAAGCTCCTAGTTTGGGGAATCATGGTGTTCCAAGCAAAGCCAGACAAGCAGTAGCTGGTGCCACTGGGCAACCATCTAATAATGATGGAGGTCTTATCTTATAGGACACATGAACAGGATCAAAGTGGAGATGCCTCATGATTTTTAGAGAGCGTACATATTCCTGCCTTAAGGAACAGGAGAGAGAGGAAAGATACGAGCATCGAAGCTGCAGATAGGAAAGGGGCGAAGAAATAAGGGTTTTAGGAATTGGCCAACCTCGAGTCCTTCGCTGTTAAGAGCCATGGATCTCTCCCTCTGGTTCAACAGACCCTTTTCGTAGTCCGCTGACATCACGCCCTTCCTCTTCACTGAGCCTCGACCGCTGTCAGCCCTCTGAGGCTCTTCCTCCACCAAGTCCATCTCCTCCATCAGCCCCGGGTATGGGGTCCGACCGGTGGAAGAGTCCTCCAACAGGGACGTCGGCGTCATCCCCCTCCTCTTCAGCTCCTTCATGAACAACGACTCCGGCTGCTCCTTCCCTGCAACCACCACCAACACCACCACCACCACCACCACCACCACCACCACCAAATAAGAGACATACAGACACAACACAATCAAAGTCCCTGGAAACAGTGGATAAAATCGAAGCTATCGGCTCAACAGCAAACGCCGGGGCTTACCCTCGGAGCCGGTGTCGTCCTCCCGGCGGCAGCAACGGAAGGGCAGGACCCGGCCCGCTGAACTAGAGAACCGCCGCCCGGGTAAACCTGTTCGGATCCCTAAAATAGGGGAAAACCCCGATATTGCAATCTGCAAGCACGCCATCACTCCTTGCTCCTCTTCCACTCTGAGCTCCCCGCCAGGAACTAAGAATGGCAGATGCAGCAGCGGAAGGACGAAGCTGCCGTCGATCCCATCCCTGAGGAGAGCCTCAGCGGACACGCAACGGGAGCACACCCGCCAAGGAATGGCGGCAGGAATTTCCTCCGCTTCTTTACGATATCCTGGCGGAATAGGATAACCTCACTGCTTCGGAGGGCTCGAACGGCTGCAGACGCCCTGCAGGCCCCCTCTTTCACGTATTCTCCGTTTTTCTGAAGAATACAAATTAAGTTTTTTGGGTGGAGGCTCCAGGAGCCACCAGTTGAATGATCGAAGCGACGACGACTTGAGGAGGGATGCGGCGGAGATGCGTCGACGAAGCAGTTTTGCTAGCTCTCGGGGGTACAATGTCCCGCGAGGGAGCTTTCGTTGTACATTGTTGACAGTATCGACTGCACCAAAGAAAGCAACTCCCATACGATCTGAGTCTCACGGATATGCACAAACCTAAAATAACACAAAAATGATGACAAATTAATCGATTATCACGTGTCACACTGTGTAGACAATGAGGTGTGAAGAGGGGGAAGAAGAACAATACTATGTACTGCAATATTAAGAGTTTTACATTGCTAAAAGGTGATGGACTAATAGGCGAGGCCAATACCATTTCTGCTTAAAGAATGGGTGACATGCAGTACTTCTAAGCAAGATGATTAAACCCTTCAGATAGTAGACGTCAACAAGACTTGGTCCAAGCTCCATCTCAAAGATGATGTGGTTAAGTCCCTCCCTAGTTCTCAATTTGGGCCGCCTACTGGGTCTAACCAAGGGCCCACAACTTATCATGTAAGAGAGGACTGAGGGCAGGTGGACCCATGGTCCACCTAGGGAGTTAAGAGGGTATAAAGACCCCTGGGGACCTCATCGTGGGGACACTTTTGGAAAAGGTCGACAGAAGAGTGGAGGGTTCTCTCAAATTTGTCCCTAACTGTTCTAAAATTTCTTTCCTAAACCTTTTTCTGTTCTATTTTCTTGGCTATTTTAGTAGAGTTGAATTCCAGTTTCTCTTGATTATTTTCCTTTCTCGATACCATTGTTATGTTATTGTTTTGGCTCTTGTTATGAGACCCTAAAAACTTGATATAAAAGCTATGACACTAAATATAAATGATGAAACATTCAAAGGCCTAGAAACGGATATCAAACATTTGAAGAAAGGCCTCAATCTGCTATTAGAGAGATTGCTAATAGTGGAGTAGATATACGTCGGCTTTTGTATTTAGAGGCTGCAGTGAGAAAGCTGACCCAAGTGGTGATACAACTCTCAATTTGGAAGAATGACTTGCCTTCCCCACCTCTATGAAATGAGGAATGATTAGTGACAACAAGAGAGACGACTACAAGTGACTAGAGGGAGTGGAGAATATGATTACACAGCTTTAGGTAACTAATAACCTAAGCACTGTTGAACAAGAAGAACCTAGTGTCCAAAGACCAGTAAAGTAGACACCAGCTTGTAGTATTGGATCTTGCTTGTTAGAGATACCCATCGTTAGTTGTAGTAACGCTATCAGTTAGATATTCCACACTGAATTATTTTTGAGATGTAATGAATTAAGGACTTAGACGAATGAAGAGTGATTACAGTAAGCCTCGATGAGAAATCATTTATATGGTCCAGATGAAAAGATATTGGAGAGTCCTTCAAAGAGTGGGATGATGTCAAATAGAGGTTGTGAAAGTGATTTAACTTGTAGATGACATATACCATATAAGGGTAGCTTCTTATTACTAAACAACAATGTATAGTGACATAGCATGAGAGGGAATTCGAATTATCATTCAACGTGGTCCGAGGGTTATTGGAGAAAGCAATTAATAACATATTTGTCAAAAGACTGAGTGTAGAAATTCGAGTAGAAGTTAAATCGTTCAAGTCATGAGGCCTATATAGGAAAAGAAGTATACTTACATTATGGATACAACACATGCTATGGAGGAAAAGAATGCTACTATCAAAACAAAATCAATATTAAAAAATATGAGGATAATGAAAAATGAATCTATGAGGAATTTGACTCCAAGATATACAAAAAGAGTTCAAGGAACTAGGTACCCTAAGTCACAAGCCTAACAATCAGAATGCTCATGCTCCTTAACAACACAAAATGACAATTGATTCTAAAAGAAGCATAGTTGCAGAAACAGAGGGCTAAAGGCTTCTAGTTCTCATGTGATGAACAGTCCCAACTTGGGCACATATATAAAAAGGAGCTGCAATTAATTATGATCTATGAAGAAGAAGGCGGTTTGAATGAGCTAGAGCAATTGCAAGTAAATGATACAACTTAGACACAAGGTGAGACAAAGAAATCCAACATTGAGATCTCCCTCAATTTCATTGTTAGGCTAATAATGTCAAGAACGATGAAGTTGAAGGGAAATTTTTTTAAGGAGTTGATGGTGTTGATAGATTGTTGGGCAACCCACAACTTTATATCACATGAATTGATAAGTGAACTCAGTTTACATCTAGCAACAACCATAAACTACAACATCATATTGGGCCATGACATAGAAGTGAGGGGTGTGGCATTTGTCAAGGACTGAAAATACAATACTTAATGGTGAATAAAGATTATTTACTCTTGCAGCTTGAGTATAGTGACATCATTTTAGGAGTATAATGGCTCAAAACTTTGGACAAAATGATCATAGATTGGTGGAATCTCATTATGGTGGACAAAATGATCATAGATAGTGCAACAATGACCATTAGAGGAGACCCACAATTATGTAAGTTGAGAGTGTTGCTTAGATCCATCCTTTGTGAATTTCAACAAGGACAACAAGTGCTAGGTCCCTCCCTAGTAATCCATTTGGGCCACTTATCGGCCTAAGCAAGGACTCACAACCTAAACCCATTTTAGTATTACTTGCCATCGTAAAAGGAACAATAGTGTAAGAAATGATTGAGAGGGCAAGTGGGCATGTGGCTCAATTAGGGAGCACTTTTGTAAGAAGTCAATAGAAGAGTGGGGCGCTCTTGAATTTGTTCCCAACTGTTTTAAGGTTTCCTCCGAAACCCCCTATATTTTTTATTCTATTAGCTACTTCAATAGAGTTTAATTCTAGTTTCTCTTGATTATTTTCATTTGTCAATACTATTATTTAGTCATTATTTTTTTCTCTACGATAGGATCCCAATAGATGGATGGCAAAAATGTATAATCTTTAAGGAAGTGCCTAAAAAGATTCTAGGCAGACATCCACATTATGCATTTAGGGAATGAGGTTATGTGCATTATTACAGTTCATTTGATGCCTTTCAATGTCAAAGAGAATTACATACATGTTGGAGCTAACCTTAGCTTATGGTGGGTAAATTATCATGAATATTACTATAAGCTAATCAGCCCAACTCAAAGTAATCAGCAATCAGTGGATAAGGCATAGATATCTAACTAAAAATTATTTTAATCATTACAAACGTGGGATTAGTTGTGGAATGCATACATAATGCCCCAAAAACAAATCATTAGTGTAACAAAAAAAGCCACAAAATTTTTATGAGTTGAGCTGGTCTACATCCAAGAAGACTTTGTCCACATGGATATAAGATCATGATCTGAGCATCTTATTTGTGACTGTGGAAAGCTACCATTTCACATTCTCTACTTCATTATCTAAGTTTCCCTTAGTAAAATAATGAATATTCGAAAATTTCACTACCTTGATCATGAATCCATGGCAAGTCTATAAAAAACTAAAAGTTGACACAATCTTTTCTTCCATTCCAAACTAGAGAGAAGTCTATCGGAGTTTCCATTCCTATTTAGCCGTCAGTTTGAAAAGAAAAGACCATCATCTACATCCCAATCGTTAATGGTTTAAATAAGCAATAGAAATTTCAGAAAACAAACTACGTCACAAAAGATATCTTGGCAAGAGGTAAGTTAAAATTGCGTCTTTCTTTTATTGGTACAACAGACGATCAAATAAGAGAATTCATATTTTGATGGACAGAAAATAGTCCACCTTTCTTTCTAATTCCCATGAAGAAACTAGAGAATCAACCATTCCCGAACTATATACCATGTGCATAATCCCCATAGGACTGATATTCCCTAGAAAATGTAGAGTCAAACCTTCTGCACCTTCACCTGAAGCATAATTCAGATCCTTTTTACTGAAAACAAAGACTGAAGTCATTTAAGTAATTGGCATAAAATGATGATTTCGCGCTCTCAACTCAAAGGCTTTCAAGCAGATTCTCAACAAACATGCCGTTTTGATGTCTGTCCCAACCATTTGAAATACCTCCATGGGAGGTAAATTAATTGCGCTAATAGAGCTCTATATCGAAAGAAGCAATAAGATGCAGATAGGGAGTGGAGTAAAGTTGCGCCAGGTTCGTCCAGAGAAGGGTGAGTCAGGGAGTAGGGTCAGGTCGAGAGCCGGTCGATGGACGAAGCTAATTATACGGTGGAAAAAGGATTCGATGGACAAACAAGATTAAGGAAATATACAGAAAGACCTAACAAGAGAGAAGCTAATAATGCACCAGACGGAGGGAATAAAGCCCCCTGAACTGATCAAAAGCGAGCGGGACTTATAGCATTCATAGATCCGCTGCATTGAATTGGCCTTGAGATAGGAAACGGTGTCTTCTCTGGCACCAAGCTTACAGAGAAATGAAGGCAGCAGAAGCATGAGAAGTGCCCGCTGCATCCGTTTGGCTCGGGGCTAGCACTCCACGCTGCTGCTTATGCTTGCTGTGAATCCACCGATCGTCCTCCTTCCCGGCCAGCGGAAGAGATTGCTCGCGCAGGGAAGCAGCCCCCCTTCCCCCTTTCTGAATGGAATGGAAATTGGCGGGTAAATGGGCTTTCAAAACATGGGTAGCGACCGAACTATCTAGAGACCAAATCTTCGGTTGACCATCAGACACGCCTCGTTGGAGATGAGAGCATCTCTGCCGTCGATTCTTCACAAGCTGTTCTGATGATGCTCGTAGGCGCCATTACCCCACCATCCCTACCGTACACCGACCGAACTCCACGACCGGTGCCACGGTAGGCCCACAAATAGAACTCGGCGGCCCATCATAATCGAGTTGGACTATTCCTAAGCGGTTCTGCAGGAACATCTGACTCCTCACAACTGGCACGCCTGCTGTCAGGAGCAAGCGATGGCCTGTCAACAGCTGTCCTCCTCTTCTCCCGCGAGACCATCCCTTCCCACCTCTACCTCTCTCTCTCTCTCTCTCTCTCTCCTGTGTATGAGAGCGGAGAAAAAGGACCCGCTGGTGGGGGATCCAGCTGGAGAGAAGGGTCGGCCCGCACGTCTACCCATGGTTTGATTCCCAGGCTCCAAGATCCGCGGGCATGCCAGGCTGTGCCCCGCTGCCCTCCCCTCTTCTCCAACTGCAAGCGGCTGCCCAGACCGCCATTGCCGTCGTCTCCTTCGCCTCCTCCCCTCACCCCCTCTCGGCAATATCGGAAAAACCCTAGTCTTCTTCGGCCTGAGCGACGAAGAGGAAGGAGATGGATCCGTGCCCCTTCGTGCGAGTCCTGGTGGGCAACGTGGCCCTCAAGGTCCTGGGGGCCTCCAAGCCGGCGCGTGCCGGCGTGCACCCGTCGTCTTCCCCGTGCTACTGCAAAGTCCGGCTGGGCCGCTTGCCCTGCCAGACGGCGGCCGTACCACTGATCCAGCCGGAGAGCGCCTTCCCGGAGGAGCAGTCGCTAGCCCTTGCCGTCGTGTTCCACCTGAGCCGGGCCGACCTCCAGGCCCTCGCCGGCAAGTCGCTGTTCGCTGGCGGCCGGCCCTGCCTGAGGGTCTCCGTATACAAGGGCCGGAGGGGCGCCACCTGCGGGGTGAGCTCCGGCCGGCTGCTGGGGCGGGTGGCGGTGCCGCTCGACCTCAAGGGCGCGGAGGCGCGGCCCTGCGTCTTCCACAACGGGTGGGTCTCCATGGGGAAGGAGGAGAAGAAGGAAGGTGGCGGCAAGGGCAGCAGCCCTTCGTCGCTGATGCACCTGACTGTGCGCGCCGACCCGGACCCTCGCTTCGTCTTCGAGTTCGGCGGCGAGCCGGAGACCAGCCCGCAGGTCTTCCAGATGCAGGGCAGCATCCGGCAGCCCGTCTTCACCTGCAAGTTCTCCTGCCGCAGCTCTGGCGACCGTAACCGTAGATCCAGGTAACCCACTCCACCATTCTCTCCATCTCCTTCTTCGATTCGAACTCAGGACTGATCAGGATTTTCTTTCTTTCAGATCACTGCAACTGGAGAAGACGAGCTCCACTAGGAAGTGGCTGGGATCCTTCGGGTCGGATAGGGAGCGGCCGGGGAAGGAGCGAAAGGGATGGTCCGTGACCATTCACGACCTCTCCGGCTCTCCGGTGGCGCTGGCCTCCATGGTCACCCCCTTCGTCGCATCCCCCGGCACGGACAGGGTGAGCTGCTCCAACCCCGGCGCATGGCTCGTGCTCCGGCCCGGCGGCGGCACCTGGAAGCCGTGGGGGCGCCTCGAAGCCTGGCGCGAGCGCGGCGGCGCCGGTGACGGCGACGATCTTGGGTACCGGTTCGAGCTCCTCCCCGACGCCTCCGTGCGCGGCGGCGGCGCCGGTCTGGTCCTCGCCGAGTCCACCCTCAGCGCCTCCAAGGGCGGGACCTTCGCCATCGACCTCACCGGGAACGACGCGTTCCTCTCACCGCCGCCGCGGGAGACCCCTCGCCGGAGCTGGGACCTGGGGCTCGGCCTGTACCCATTCAGCGGCAACAGAGGGTTCGTCATGTCCTCGACGGTGAGCGGGCGGGGGAAGAAGCAAGGCCGGACGGCGGTGGAGGTCAGCGCGCAGCAGGTCGTTTGCACGGAGGACGCGGCGGCGTTTGTGGCCCTCGCGGCGGCGATCGACCTCAGCATGGACGCCTGCCAGCTCTTCTCCCACAGGCTCAAGAAGGAGCTGCTGTCCCAGTCGCGGGACTCGCTGCCATGAACGCCGGCGAAACCAGAAAAGGGAAAAGGACCCTTTTACAACGTCCTTTTCTTTCCTGCTGACAGGCTACTAACCATAGCGGGGGTGATGAAGCTAGCTGCTTTGTTTTGACGTGGGCGGTGTGATCATCTGAGAGTTCTTGCTCCTTGCCATTTTGACCTCCATTTTTCGGTCTTCTCTAGGGTTTTTTGAATCTAGAAGAAGTGCATTTTTAATGATGGGAGAGAATAGGTGCCTTCTGATGATGTTGAGCTTTATTTAATCTTCTTTACTCAATCCTTACAACATGCATGAAGTTCTCTCTCTTTCTCTCTCTCTCTCTCTCTCTCTCTCTCTCTCTCTCTCTCTCTCTCCAGACAAAGACAAGCAACTAGCATTAAGACAAAGAGAAGCCCCGTTTGTGCAGAACATTATTGAAATAAGGTGAAGGTGAGCGGAAGATAAGAGTAACTCTCTCTCTCTCTCTCTCTCTCAAGACAAAGACAAACAACAAGCATTTAGACAAAGAGAAGGCCCGTTTGTGCAGAACCTTATTGAAATAAGGTGAAGGGAGAAGAAAGAAAAGGTTTAATGCGTCTCAAAACCAGGCATTGACCAACCAAAAACAACGGCCGAACACACGACCCAATGCGCGACTTGAAAGCGGGACGACGGTCAATGATCGCCGTGGTGGTCTTTCGTCTCGAAGAGGCCGTCAGGACCTGCATCACAAGGGCACCATCGTGCACGATCATCTGAGACTTCTTCCGACATCAAGATATGCGTAAAGGAGAGAGCAGCAAGGATGACCCAGGGAGTGATCTATGATCCTCACAAAAGGTACGATTCATTGAAAAAGTGATCACATCTGCCGGTTCTTTCTACCTTCCTCGTCGTGTATGTAGAACGAGGATGATTGGGAGGAAGCATTGGGAAATCAAAGTATTCCATAAATGGAAAATAATATCTTTAAGGAATTGAAAAAGCTTTGTGTTTAGCCATTGACCCATTTTTTCTTCATCAATATTGAAAATTCCCACCCCGAAGAAAAGAAAAATAAAACAAATGGAAGGAACTCTCCGTAGAGAGAAAGAGAAGTGAGGTGTGTGAGAAACGGGGAATGGACAGAAGAAGAAATAAGAGATAATTGACAGAGGAAAAAACGTAAAGAGAAGGAGGTGAAGCAAAGGCAATCAAAGTGGCAGACATGAGGCCGAGCAGAGTGAGAAATGGAAATATGAGCCGACAAAGCAAAGATAGGTCAAGGAAGATCCAAAGTTTGAGAGCTTAGAAAGGGCAGAAATTAAATGCCAGAGAGCGTAGAAAGAAGGAGAAAAGATTGGAGACGCAAACCAAAACAAAAGGAAGAGTGCTTTCTTTCTTTCTTTCTTTCTTTCTTTCTTTCTTTCTTTCTTTCTACCGCTGTGCTGGGAGACTAGTTGTTCATTTGAACGGCGTCAAAGGGGAGGCAGCAGTAAAATTCCGCAATGGTCGAGTGCACAAGGTTAAAGGAAACAGAAAAGAGGTGCTCTGATGATGTGCTAGAGGATGAAGGTCAACGCAAAGGAGAGAGCAAGATAAGGTGATTAGTCATGATTTGTTACGTCATAGGATTAAAAGCTGTGGATAAGGCAGACCGAGCCAAGATCATGTGTGAAATTTATAATATCCAATATGTGAAACATCATCAGAACTATTTAGCTTACATGCAAAGAGCTATCTGGATCACAATATATAGAGCACTTTTACTAAATTAGAGAAAATCATATTTAAAAAACATTTGATTAGGTATGAATACGGGAAAGAATATTGGACTGTTCAGGAAATCTATGTCAACAAAAACTAATTGAATGCACCTGAACTGAGTATATCCACAGGACAACGACGAGATTGTACATCCAACGATTATAATAGAAATTCTAAGGATATCAAAGGTGAGGAATAAGCGCTTGAAAAGTCATTATAGCAGGGATATAAACCAGTCATAAGGGAAAAATTTTCTCAATTGTCCACCAAGGAAAAATAAAAATAATTATATGAACGTGGTTTCACATACAGAGCTGATGCCAATAATTATCGTTTAAGGAAGCAGGTGATGAAAGATAACACATGATAATCGGAGAAAATACATACCCCATGGGAATTCCTTGTTCCGTATGTGCAGATAAGGATAAGGCTGCAAGAAAAAGTAATTTTGAGACCTCAGATTAGTTCGTGTGTCTCGAAAATTCATGAAGATAGGCATAGCCAACAAAATAGCCCTAGAAATACAGCATTTATATGTATATATATCTGGTGGTGGTTGCTGATGGTTACCGGTGGTTCGTCAAAGTGCGCGTGCCCCTTTGAGAGACTGTAAATAGCTAGAATGGTGCAGCTCACGATCCCAGCGTATGTGATCTTCTCCCATTTCGCCGTCTCATCTGAGATCCGCCATTAAAAAACAAAGAGAAATTTGATTTCACGCCTGGAAAGAAACAAACCCTAACCAGAAACCGAAAATCATGCCGAGCAGGAACAAATAGAACTTCGAGGTCGCAGAGAAACCAAAAGGTCACAAGAAAGGAACACGATGAAGATCGAAGAAAGTCCGTAAGACGTCATTTGCGGTAATAGAATCAGAAAGCATCGCAAAGGCCATGGTGATATGAAACGAGAATCCTCCCAGCCCTCTCCGCTTACGGGCATCATCGTGGGAGGAAGCGGAGAACCTCCTCTTGCCGGCGGACGCGACGGTGCCGGACCTGGTGCTACCGCGTAGAGCTCTCAGAAGACCGGATCTCGCCGCCATCGAAGCCACCACCGAAACCTCCCTCCTCTCCCCCCCCTCCCCCCTTGCACTTCTCTCCTCCCCCTTTCTCCGAACCTGACGAATCGAATACCTTCCTACGCCTCCCTAGCCTTGATCCTGACCGTAGGATCACCATCAAGGCCGTACCTGCTTTCCAGTTGATGGGCCTAAAAGGCTCTCAGGAGCCTAACACGATAAGAAAAACGTTTAATGGGCTTTCCTCTAATGGGCCCGATGATTCCGGATATGATTATATTACTGCACTCTCGATTGGATCCAACTTCCAGCCCATTAAGAACAATTCCCTAGTCCCTGGTAAGGCTCCGTCTTACGTGGCGCACACTCTTCATAGGCCCAGCCAGTCGGTAACTCCACTCCATTTACCTCCCCCTCGATATAGTAGATTTATTTATTTATCTGCTCGTACGGCCCCCAGGTACGACTAAGAAAGATCAAGGCATCTGTGGGACCCACAGCCCGTCGCAAATCCAAGAAATGCATGTCCCGACAGGTCTATATTTCCATCCAGAAAAGGTTGAGACCTCTCTCTTTCTCTCTCTCTCTTTCTCTCTTTCCAGAAAAGCTTAAAAATTTGGTTCGTCGATTGAGACCTCTCTCTCTCTCATCTCCTCTCTCTTCTCTCCTCTCTCTCCTATCTCTCTCTCTCCCCCTTTATCCAATTAGCTTAAGATCCAGATGACGTTAAATTAAGGCAAAAGTGCAAAATAGAACGCATTATGAATAATATAAGCAGAAAGAGGGGAAACGACGACAAATCTATGATTAAGAAGGGATAAATGATCACGGGACAGTCCGCCTCAGATCTTCTCTGCGCTTTCTGCCTGCTCGGATCAGCACGCCGAAATCTTCCAGTCTGTATCTCAGAGGAGATCAGAAACTCTTAAGGGCGTCAACGGGGACGGAGCTTCGCGAGGGACTGGAGCTGCAAGGACGATGACGGTGGTCTTTTATTGATGCAGCCGGGCATGTTGAAGTCAATGGGGGGTTGACCTGCCTGGTCTTCCTTGTCCTCTCGATCCAGAACGTAGGTTTCTCGGGTCACTCAGTGCAGAAGCTGAGGAACCCCATGTACTCGTTGTTCTTGATCATGCGGACGCTCGTCTCTACGCCGATGACGCCTGCGAGAGAAAGAGAGAGAGGGGGGAAGATGAAGGACTGGAAGTGAGGGGGAGGGAAGATGGCGGAGTTGCAGGCGGGAAGAGGGCGTACCCATCGTCAGAGCGCTGGCGAAGATGACGGAGGAGAGGATGAAGACGATGAGGGACGCCCTCTTAAGCATCAGCACCAGCTTTCTCACGAAGAACTGCCCCCAGAACCCCGCCATTAGAGAGACGCTCATGAGGTACAGTGCTGCGGAGGGAACCCAGACAATTAGCCCGCTGCCGGTCGTATATTTCCGGAGCAATGAAAGATCAAACTCGGCGAGAGCGCACCGTATGGGATGGGAAATCTCCGCAGGAAGTAGAATTCCACGACGGAGAGAGAGGAGGAGAAGAGCATCACGAACGTTGCGGTGGCGCTCGCGACCTGCAGGTCCAATCACCGGCGTAATCGTCGTCGGATGATCGTTAGATTTTGTGAATGAATCATATGGTCGAATAGGGAAGAGGGTGTTTTTTGACCTGAGGGATGACGCCAATCTCGAGCAGAAGTGGGCCCAGGATGAAGCCGCCGCCGGAGCCCAGGAGGCCGCCGACGGTGCCGCCTAAGATGCCGCAGAGGGCGCAGAAGAGCAGCTGAGGGGCGGTCCACTCAATGGAGGCCTCACAGACGCATTCCCAGTTGCCGGCCATCCTCCTCTCCTTGCTCTCCTTATACAGCTTAACTGCTTCCCACGCGAACACACTGATCGACACAGGGAACTGCAACCGGAGACGGAGGAAACTCAGTAACGTCGACGGCCATTCCAAAGAGCCTGATCTTGTCTCTAACACCCACCTGCAAGACGTTGACGAACCAGTACATCGGGCTGCAGACGGGCGCGTTGGTCTGGCAACAGACGAGAACTAGGTGAGAGCAGGAGATCACTCAAGAGAAGAAGGCTTGGGTTAGAAAGAGCGTCTTCTTGCCTTGGTGATTTGCAGCAGCAGGAAGCAGACCCACACGACGAGCAGGACAAGAATCCCTCTCCATCTCAAATTCGATCGAAGAATGTCCTGTCCGGATTCGATCATGGGTAAACTCAGATTCTATGCTACCATAAAAGTAAAAAAAATTCTTCCGCGTACCATTCCAGATCTCTCCTTCTTAGGAAGCAGCGGTGCGTAATCCGCGTCGATGATCACTGTAGAGAAGCGAGAAGATTTAACAGGTGCACTTTCAAAGACCAGAGCTCGACTGAATTTCTTCAATGAAGGAAAGGAGAGAGAGAGAGAGAGAGATAGGCACCTTCATCGCCATTAGCCTTCGAGAGGGTCTCCTGCCTCTTCTTCTCTTCCTCCAACTGCGGAAGAAAAGAATTCGCAAACGGGTCAGATTCTATCTAGAAGAGCCGTCACTCGGATTCTGCAGGTGAATGAAAGGGAATGAATGACCAGACATTGAAGAGAGTCTCCTGCTCCCACATATGAAGTCCTCTGAAGAAAGACCTCGATGATGTGCCTGAAAGGAGATTGCCAGTGTGAGAATTATCCCCGCAGAGACTGCAGTAACAGCCGAGAGCCGTGGATAGAGACAAACAGAAAGAGAGAGAGAGAGAGAGAGAGAGAGAGAGAGAGAGAGATCATGATGATTACCGATGAAGAGGATGATGATGAGCACTGTGATAAGCCAGTAGGGGAAGACGACGCTGAGTGAGACGCCGATGGTGATGCCGAGCATGAGCATGGGCTGGAAGAGGAGGGCGAGGTCGTAGTCGATGATGGGCACCTCCTTGGTTGGGTGCGCCACCCTGATGTTATACCAGACGGACGACGCCGACGCCCCCATTATCATGCCTGAGAACCCCGCCGGCGATAAGAGACGAGTCAGATGTGCTTCCAAGGATAGAGATATCGAGCGGGAGGAAGAGGCGACGGGGGGAAGCTACATTTGGAGAGAGCTGCGGCGGACTTGGTGTCGAAGCCGACGATAAGGTTGAGCATGGGGACGAAGATGCCGCCGCCGCCAACGCCGCCCACGGTGCCGAACGCCGAACCGAGGAAGCCGATGAGCGTCGCCATGGCGCTCCGCCAATTGAGCTCGAGATCCTATTCTCCCATGGCAAGACATGAGGAAATAAGCGATGAGAAGGAGGAGGAGGAAGAGGAGGATTGGGAGAAGGAGGTTACCGGCCAAACTCGAACGGGGCCGGCGGCGAGGCCATGGAGGAGTAGGGAGGACCCGTCTTCCCGGAGGCCTCTGGGGAGGAGGAATACGGATAAGATGGCGGCGGAGAAGGCCGCGAGGAGGTAGGCCACGAAACTCCTGCTCCTGATCTCCATGCCTATTAACAGAAAGGCGAACCAGGAGGAAGAGAGAGAACGCGGATAGAGAGAGAGAGCGAGCGAACGATCGGAACGAACGACCGTGGTGGACGCCTCTTCTAAGCCTGTGAGGACAGGACGACTATAAAAGGGCAACCTTTGGGGGACGGCCGTTACCAAAATACGGCGGCGGTAAAAGGGCAAGTCATGTACGTATTAAAACCGCCCACCCCGAATATCACAGCTGGGGAAGAAGCCGACTGGAGCAAGAAGGAAAGAGAGAGAAATGATCCTCCTTCCCGGCCATTTCGTGCTTCACGGAGAAGTCCAGACCCAGCGTAGTCGTCACATCAGATAGAAAGGAGCGGCAATGGCCCAGAGCCCGCGATACATCCCACTCAAACCTGAGCTTCCCCCTGGTTCAACAGGGACAGCATCGCGGAGCCCCCGCCCAACCAGTGCTTTGAACGGGCGCCTCATCGTTATCCCCCGGAATTCAATTCCGAGTTTTCTTCCTGTTCGTCCCCTCACCAAATCCCCGAATATCCACTCTATCTTAATGAATATAAAACCGCCAGAAAAAATATTAATATTATAGAAATGACCTGCTCATAAATCTTCCGACCTATGGGGCCGATACGATGCAAGTTATATTACATCAAATAAAAAATATTAAATGTCGGGCCTGAATTTAAGCCCATCGGGAAAAAATCCCGGCCCAAATGCCATTGGCGTTGACCCATCTAAGGGCCGAAAACCATGTAATCATGGCCCGGGGCCGTCCTCTCACTACGCTATGAAAGACTATCGTTCCCATGGGGTACGTCTGCGTTTACAGTAAGAAAAGAAAATATGTCCAATCTATAAAATAAAATGCTGACTATTATGTCAGAGGCGGCCCCACCACGGAGGGCGACCCGCTAGGCCACGTGGCTATTAAAAATCCGACAGCTCAATTGGACCCAAGTTTGATGACAGACTGTCTTCTTCCTCCTGATGGACTCAAGTGGCTCACGGCTGGCCGCCTCGTTTCCTCTCGAGGGTTGATATCCTCCGTCCATTTCGCCGACTGTTGGCGGACGTCTGACAAGTAATTTAATAAAATATTATTTTATGACGTCACGTTGCCCTCGGGGTGTCCATTCCTCATTTGACGTCCTCTCTGGCATCATTCGACGGGGACCTTCGGTCTCTAATTTCATCTTTACTATGTTTTCACGGTGTATTTTCTTTAATTGCCCATGAGTTCTTTCTGTCTGCATCCATTATAACTCGCGCATGCCATCAAAAATATTTTATCATTTTCAACATTGGCGCTTAAATGATTTTTGTAAATTTGTTGACCTCAAAATTACGGTTGACTTTTGGAACCTTCTCCCGCCTTCATCCTTAGTAATCACTTTCTGCCCCTCCCCCTTCCCTCAGCCTGAGCTTATCCCTATTGGGGCCGACCTCACACGAGTCTATTTCCAGCATCTTTGTCCATTTTTCAACGCGTCGTCTCAGGATGGGTACAGCCATTTCGGCCCAGCTGGCGCAGTTGCATGCGACCGACCCTCACGACGCCCGATCAAGAGGTTTTTAGTATTATGAATATTATAGTGTGCTTAAGCTTTTGGGGTGTAGAGAATGTAATGATTGAAGGGAAACTTCTAAGGGGTTGGGCAATTTCGAGTAGATCCTGTTAATTGTGACACATTGGCAATCGTTTGGTTGACTAGTCGACTGTCAACGTGACCCTTTGTTTTGGCTAAGTAAAAATGTCAACTGTAAACCACACGCCGGAGGGGATCCTCCCCGGCGGATGTGACGGCGCGATCGCCTCTCAGCCGCCCTTCGTATTAGGCGGGGCTTGCCCTGGGTAATGGGCCTAAAACCATTACCCGGTGATGCGAGGATGTGTAGTCCGTGGGCCTCTCTTGAGCTAGTCGTCACTGATGAACGAGGGCAATCATAACGAGTTGAAATGGGTCCGCATTAAATTTGGGAGCTGTGGATAGGAGGCATCGAGACAGCCCCAGCTCCATTATTTTTATCAAGGAGTTCGTCTAATGTGCAGGGCTTCTTCGCGGCCTGTCTAAACGGGTTATGCTCCTTTGATCTTTTAGCTGGTACTTCGTCGGAATGGAAGCCGCGTTGGGTTCCATCGACCTTATCCTTCGCTGACGAGAGCTGATTATAAGGATCTTGAGAGAGTTCGTCGTGTGGATTGCTTCCCCCGTTGACGAGAGTTCATCACAAGGAGCCATCAGCTCCAGAATTTGTGTGATGTCGAACGTGCATAAACAAAAAAAGATGCAGGAGAAGGAGGATCTATTACGTATCCCCGTGAGCTGGTGGGGCGCTATACAGAACACCGATGAGGATCGTCGAACTATTTGGAGGATACTCCCCACAACCGTCATCAAGCTGTTTTACGGAAAAGGAACCTTATTTTTTAGCCCAAAAGATGCCAAATTATTGAGAGTTTGGCTTTGGGGATCAAGGTTTCTAAGAAGAATCGAGCGAAGGCAAAATCGTACATTTTGTTTAAAAATGGTTGTAAATTACGGCTAACTGTTGAAGAAATTAGCTTAATATAGATCGTACGGATGCATTAACATAGAAGAACAATCACACAATAAAATATAGAACCAAGCCCAGACTAGATCTACATAGCACCCCGAAAAGATATCTGATGATTAATCCGTTTCAGTAAAAACCGTTCAACGAGGACGAGATGCGCGAGTACTCACCCATGAACATTATTCTGCATGCACAGGGTGATGGCTCGCTGGTCGGCGTTTTTGCCGAAGTGTCGCCTAGTTGAGCTGCGATGATTTCAACTCGGTATAGATCGAAGTGCGGCGGGACCATCGGTCGTTTACGGCAGCTTTTCTCATTGTATGTTCCCGGTGAGGGGCGAGCAAGTTAGCCCGACGTAATATTATCAGCGAAGTAGGTCCTCGGGGAGTACTTTCTCGGTCTCGGGCAACAGTGGCTGCAATGGCGAGCCCACACCCGCAGCATCCACCGGAATCGTCTCCTGTAGATTCACACTCTACAATTTGGGTATGACAGAACGCTGCCATTTCTGTTCTTACAGCTGTATTTATAAATCTGATTCCTCCAGCTGTAAGTTCGCTGTTCCATTTCGATTCTTCGCAGGGCCATGTGGCCGACGAATCGTCTGCCTCTGATTCGAGCCGCAAGCCTGCTTCTGCATTCTGAGCAGGAGATCCATACGCGCCTTCTTTCTTCTGTCCGCTCCTTCGGTTTCAACAGCGACGTCGTGTGGATCTGCCCTTCGTTGCTTCTTTATATTTTGGTCCTGGTTTGCAGTATATCGCTGTTTCAGGTCTGCTGGTGGGGTTGACGAGGATGGGAGAGGACCATGCAGACGAGGTCTATGTGGCATCGCCCGTGGGAATTCTGATATTTCACCTCGGCGGGTGCCCGTCAAATCTATTACAGTGCACCGTTGTAGCACGCGCAGCTCGTAGCGACTACTCGCCCGGTCTCTCCGGCCCAGTTTCCTGAGTGGGCACCGGCGTGAATCGTTCCTTCCTCACTATTTCGAGGAGATTTCTCCGGCTGATCCCCAGCGCGACACCCCGTTTGGCGAGGAGATCCTGCGCGTCTGGGAGCGTGCAGCGAGGGGAAATCCTCCGGTCTTTCCTGCATGAAGAACGAGTCGGGGGCATCCGACTCGTTTACCGGGCGGAGATTGGGAGTGGGGAATCCTCTGAAGTCATCTTCATCATCTATCCGAAAGGCGAGGGGGAAAGTCGATGAACAAGGAGATTTTGGCGGTAGTTTAAGCCGTAAGGTGGGGGGGGGGGGGAACATGTAATGATTAACTCATTAAATTCAACGTCAATCACTGCGACTGGATGACGGCCACCTGGCAGCTGAGAAGACAACTGGGAAGCTTACGGCTGTCAAGTTTCACCTGCTCCTGCCGCCCAGCGGGAGGGAAGAGGGAGAGGCCGGGCTGCCTGCCCTCAGTCGACGGGACGGTTCAGGCAAAAGCGAGGAGAGGATGGCGTGTCGGAGCAGGGGGTGGTCAGGAGGCCGTCGCCAGAATAAGCCGAAGCTGCCGGTCACCGACGCGGCCCCACCCCTTCCCGACCGTCCGTCAATTTGCAGGGAGAATAAGTCCCCCACGTAGAAACGAACAAGCGCAGGCAACAAAATGGAACTCCCGCAATGGCTCAGAATCCAAATTAATAACTCACCATCCTTCTCACTCTCTCTCGTACAAAATTAAAGAAATGCTTGGAGAGGGGACACGGAGAGAGAGAGAGAGAAAACCCCGAGTGGAGAGGGCACTGTATTCACATTTTTGGTTAACAGTGTGGTCTCTTCTCCGACTTAGCCGGAGATCCGGAGATCAGGGATTCATGATCTGGTTCCCGCACTTGCACTTCCAGCTGACGGGCTTGTAGTTGGAGCTGCCGTCGTCACCTCTGTAAGCCAGGGCAGCGGGGAAGCGTCCACCGCCGGCCCTGGCCTGTGGCACTGCCGGTACCTGGACCGGCTCGCAGTGGCCGCAGGCGCGGCACCTTCTCTCGCACAGCGGCGGCCTGGACCCGATCAATGCCCTCACCGTCACCTTCCCTCCAATATGCTTCTAACCAGAGAACGGGAAAATCGTCAGTCGTTTAAGCCCTCACAGGGAGAAGGGAAGAGGGAGGCGCACAAGGGAACAGCTAACCTCAGCTTTCTGTAGAAGCTCGGGCGTGGGCCTTCCTGCAAGTTGCGGAGAGAGCCAACGCTTCAGGAAGGAACTCTCACAATGCAACCCAAAGGGCATAAGAAGACGCTTACCTTGGGCTAGGAATCCCGTGTGGGTCGAGCAGAAGAGGAGAAACCAAAGGCACAGAAGAGGGAGAGGATTCCTGGGATGGCCAATACCTCGCCAACAACAGAAACCCATCTCAACGATTCGTGGATGAACGAGAAGAAATAGGCGAGCAGCAGGAACCGGTGGGATTCTCTCCTTCGCGTCAGGAACTGTTCTTGAAAAACCAGCAAGGCCCACTGATGGATGGAGCTTAAATAGCTAATGGGCGACGATGAATCTTGGAGACGAAGCCGAAAAGTTCTCAGTCACTAAGTTCTCCAATTCATTTCAAACATGGTATGATACACATTCCTCCGTAGATGCATCTACCTAGAGAGAGAGAGAGAGAGAGAGAGAGAGATTACCCCGAATTCTCAGAGGTGCAGAACAAAGCAGCGTTGCCGGGCGATCCCCGAACGCCAAAACAACAGAAAAGGCAGCGAAGAGTGACATCAGTTATGCATGGATTTAGGAGCAGCGGAGAGATAGAGAGAGATATAGAGAAAAAAGAGGGAGAGAGAGAGAGAGACGTCTAAAAGCCCCAACTAAAAGAGAGAGAAGTCAGCAACTAGGGGCTGGGGTGGGATCTTCCCGCAAAAGGACATTATCTCACAGCTGTGAGCCTACTTGTTCCCCCAGCTCCCCTCTCCACTGGTGTCATCCAGTAGTCATTTATGCTGTGCGTGCGCGCTTCCTCGCAGTCGGTGGCCTGTAGCCTGCGCAGCCCTGTCCAGCACGCCATCGCCCGGCCACACTCCTTCCCCCACATAAATGATAACAAAAAATCCCTCACTTTTCATATGCGGATAACAATACTTGATAGTAACTAATTTAGAGGTAAACAATTAGTATGTGCATATATTTGTATACTTTGGGAATAATGGGCACAACCGGAATTTACCGTCCAGATCATCTGAGCTCTCTCTCTCTCTATATATATATATATATTGCGAATTTTCAGCATATGATTGCTCGTAAATAACTAATATTTGGTTAGTCCTCAATGTAGTGATAAAAAAATACTAGTGTAGAAACTATTATAGCTTGGGTGTAAATGATCTCATTCAGTCCCTAATCTCCTGATGATCTTCTCGAGTACCTGTCTCAACCGTCTACACCAGTGTGGATGTTTATCCTTCCTTCGGACAATGAGTTTCTCGAGGTCAACAATACTTAAGATAAATTTGATAACTATCATATGAACTAGGAAAATGCGTGATATCCCAAATAAAGTGCCAACATCTATACATCTTAATGACGCTTGCCCCTTGGACGTCTTCTTCCCGTCATTGCTCTGCCCACATGAGCACTCTCGCTTTCCTCTCTATGCTCTCTCTCTCTCTCTTTCATTCACTCAGTGTCTCATCCTATCTCTGATATCAGTGGGAAGGTTGAGTAGGTGCACCGACCACGACCGGCGGCTCCTGTCCTTTCTCGCTGCGTCACCGAACGGCGTCTGATGAGAGAGGGTGGTGATCTCCATAGGATTTCCCTATTCCACCGTGCGACGTACGGTGCAATTTCTTGATGGGCTTCGGCATTCACTTGGCCCAGACGAATTGGGCCTCCCTACGTTCAAGTTTTGGTCGGCCTAATGGAGCTTGCCTCCTGGTGCGCCCGGCAGCTTTTGGTGAAGGTTAGATTGGGTCCAACTCCGTTGAGCTTGCCTCAAATTCTAAACACATTAATGAGATAGTGCTAATTGAAAATTAATCAAAGCATGGGTCATTGGAAACAAATAGGGTCTTGGAATCGCTACATGTCGTATGATCGATGTGGTGTCTGCTGACTGTTTTCATCTTGACTATCCAAACTTCCCATTCTCAAAAAGTAAGAGTAGGGAAATATGCTTGTTGGGAGAACACTTGCTTTTAGAGAGGAGAAGAAGAATATGAAAATGGTGTCCTACAAGCCCTTTCACCAGCAGCCATGAAGGTGATTGTGATTGTTGGCTGGTCAACTTATTAGGCCACTACGACTGCCAAAGAGAGAAGATGATGAAATCATAATACACTCCTAACCATTACAATGGATGCCCATCTCATTTCTCTCTCTCTCTTCCCCCTTTCACTCTTGTCTTTCTCACTATCTCTTCCTAATTATGTGCTGTGGTAGTTAGTCTTGAGAGATAGTGAGGATGTGGGAGAAGCTATATTTTGAGAGAGAATAAGATGATATGATTGATTCTCACTATTGAGTTTGACATGGCTAAGTGAAATACCAAGAGGATGGGGTGAATTGATTTATTATGTTTTATGTTCTATCTACATGTGTGTGACAACACAAGTTCTCACACAGTTTCTCAATTATGTGTGTAAGTTTTCCTAAATCAATGTCTCTTTCTATGTAGATTCAATCTAATCTCTCTCCCTTACCCATCACCATGAGAGAGACACATGACTTTTTATCCACTAGTTCACCCTTCATTGGACTATGTCTAATGTTAGAGGAACTTTTCTACCATAGTTCATTATTTTCCTCTGAAAATATAATTTATTTCACGTGATCAACGTTCTAAACACTCTTGCTTGATATTTGAAGAGATCAAACCCCTCATAGGTATACTTTGACTCTCAACACCACGTGTCTAAGTCAACTACACTAACTTTTTCAGATAACATACCTTTTACGGGCAATATAGGCTCTCAAAATCCTGTGCCTTAACTCAAACCTCTCTATACTCATCATCCAAGTTATCTTAAGTCATGATGGAGAGAGTCAACCTTAAAAAAGTGTTATCTTGATTCACTACAGTATAGTAAATCATATAATAAGACTTCAACTCTTTTTTTAAAGCACAAGGTAGTTAGGTTTGATGAATAAAGTTCCTCTTGAACTTAAATAAATGAGATGGATAAATATCTTCATCCATCATTATATCTTCTTTGTAAACTTGTTTATTTATCTTCTAATGTTTTCTTGTCTTTTCAACACTTAAGAACAATCACACAACTTTTAAATTCTTCCCATTGCTCCATTAGCATGTTAGTGAGTTTTAATTGTTCTTTATTTTGAAGCTATTCATTATTACATAGGTTGTTCTTGATATTTTATTTCGAGATATGTGATAGATTTTTGACATTTTCTCTTTCAAAGTCCAACTCAGATGTGGTCATTGAGTTTGTCATTTTGTCTAGATATAATGTCAACATGTTATCATTCATAATTTATGCTGTTGACTTTGGTTATTCTTCAGTTCGAAGCTTTTTGTTCTCATGTTAGTTATCCCTGATATGATGTCTAGAGATATATAACTTATCAACTTATATTTTTTTAGTTTAAAGGTTGAGCTTAGATATGGTCATTAAATTTGTTATTTTGTTCATATAATTTGTTAGCATGGTACCATCTAGGATACATGCAATTGATTGTCATTGTTCCTCGCTTTGAGTCTTATAACTTTCTCACAAATTCTATTCAAATATTTGGTCTAGAGATTTGTAATAGGTCAGTGATTACTTCTCCTTTTGAGGTTGAGTCAAAGTAAGTTGTTTTACTTTGTCATTTTGTCAACATATGATATTGATGTGTTACTATTCACAGTATCTGGTGAAGACTTCTCTACTTCTATGAGAGCTTCATGTGATCACTTCAGATCAACCATCGTGTAGGACTAGAGTTTGATTCATATCTTAGTCACTAATCTTTTGATATTGTTGTGTATTTATTAATCAATTTTACAATATGTTAATGCAGAGATATTGATTACAAGTTCTGCCTATACCTTAAACTTTATGATATTCAAATATTTCAGCTATCATTTTTCTCACCTTTTCATAGGTTATGTCCCTAGTTTGAATCTCATGTCTAATCATGTATGCTTTGATTTTTTCGAATGTTCCTCTCATTAATGCATCTAACTTCAGGTCCCTCATGTCCTATTTTCAAATCTGACTATGTAAGTTTATATTTTTGAATTGCATATGAAACTTCACATGTGTGAATACATGTTCCTTTATATTTATGTTCAGTAATATGATGATGTATTATTTTAACATGAACAATATCTCAAAGATGTAACTCATTATATTTGTTGATAGACATATGATTATTTCAAATATTATCAATATATATGTATTAATGTTTTTCAGAAATATTGAACTTGTGATATAAACTATCATCATGCCTATTAATCACTTAATATATAATTATTATTAAATAAAATTTTCATTAAAAGTATCAAAACTATAATCAACACTCACTTCTTCAATTTGATCAATCTCTATTTTTTTCTGAAAAAGGGAATACTTTCATCATAGAATTGAGGAAGAGATCTTAACATTTTGCATGGCTCTTTTTCTATTTGTTCTCCAACCAAAAATAACATCTCTAGCTCACTCTATAGATGATGGAAGATCTATTATGAATCACATAAATATTGATATATTATTTTTGTACTTTTTTTATTTCTTACAATATTTTCATCCTCATTATCTTGACTTAGATATCTTTGACCCATCCATACTTCAGGAATAATAAGTTTTTAATTCATTTTTCATTTGGGTATTTTTACTATTCTATTTTTACAACATTTGGTATTGAAACTTAATTACTGTTATCTTATTAAATTTAATATTTTAAGATGTCAATAATAAATTTAAGGTTGCAAAATTAGATGGAAATATAGACTTTAGTTTATAATAGAAGAGAGTGAAGTCAATATTTGTAAAACAAATACTTTCTATTTGTTGACAAAGCTTTGCATGGAAAGTAAAGAGAAAAAAAATGAAGATGATTGTGATGAATTAGATTCGAAATAGTCTTATACAAAGTGGTTTTGTTTAGCTAATAAGCTAATGCATAACAATGATAAAATGGATTTCTAATGATTGATAAGAGAAAATCTAAAATGTTATACATGTGAAGATCTCTTGAAAATATGATACATTTGACAAAATTAGTTATATGCTTTATGTATGTGATAAAAAAAATGTATTAAAACAAATGAATATATCTAATAAATTTATCTCACAATTTTGTAGCTTGAAGGCCAACATAGAGAGATAAGATCAAGTCATTATTCTTCTTTTACTATTACCTTAGTCCCATAATCATTTGGAGATGACATCTTACATGGTAAACTTTATTTGAGG